AGGAAGCAAGTATAAAGCACAAAATGCCGCCAACAACAAAAAACACACACTTGCAACTGGTTAAAAAAATTATGGAAATATTATTATTATATGGATTTTTTTTTTGATTATGAAGTATATGAAAAAACGACGACGATGAACAAATTATCGGTTATGGGTGACGCTTACGCTACAACAGCAACAACAACAACAACAATACAGAGCACCAAAGTGTGTTTTCACAAACAGAAATCAGAAAAAAAAGAATGCCCCATCCAGAATTAAAGAATGAATTTGAAATGAAAGAAAAAAAAAATTCATGCAATTTCAATGGCAATATGGTCATCAATGGTAACAATCATCAACAGATATAATTTTTAAGGCGTAAAAATATAAAATGGTGTTATATACACACACGCTGTTGTGTGGAGAAGGTCGACGAATGTTTTTTTGATTTTCTTTTTTTTAGGTTTTAGGTTTTCAGATTTTTTTTTTGGTTTTACTTATTGATGGTTCTAAGGTGCTCTGTGTGTGTGTACATGTGTTTTTAATTACTAGGTGGCTATCCTCATTTATATATTTAGCCATTGTATTCAATAATTATGTATGTGTGTGTGTGCGACCCAAAAAGGTGAATTTTGTTATTTGACTAGAAACCAAATATTTTCTTCACCATATATCATCTATATCTTTGTCTATATATTTGGTACATAACAACAACATTCTTGCATATAATTAATTGACATAATTATTGACTTAATTAGTATGTTATGGTATGTCTCCCATTGATTTTGTTTTTGAAATCTTTAATTTAGCAAAAAAAAAAAAAAGAATAATCAATAAAAATGTGAAAGGTGAAAAATAATTTTGAAATTTTTTTTTCTTTTTGCCAAATATATTTGACCCCTGTCTTTTTACATCCGAAAAAGAAGAAGAAAAAGGAGGAGGAGAAGGAGAAGGAGAAGGGAAAAAATTCAGATGCAGATGTATTCCGGAGATTTTAACATTCATCTATTTTTACATTTAGAAATAAAAAATTGATAAATTACGTAATAAGTAATTGGTCAGTTCTTTAGATTTGAGCGAATGAAAAAAAAATAAAATAATTTTCATTCGTTTATCCGATATTTATCGAGAAGAAAAAAAATCAATGTAACAACAGCTTGCTTGTTTGTCATTTTCTCAAACATTCATGTCAACAAAACGTGTGTGTGTGTGTGCGAGCATACATCATATTTTTTTTCATTCATTCATCAATAAATTTTTCACAATCCGGTAATCATCACTAGGTTATTCGGTTAGTCAGTCAGTCAGTCAGTCATTCAAAGAACAAAAGAAATGATGAAATAATAACTGAATAACATGGTCGAACAAACAATCAACCAATAACAAAACAAGATTATCCGAAAACAATTACCGGTCATTCTCTCTGGATCTCTCTCTCTATTTCGGGTGAAGTGGTCCATCCATTCATCATATACAAATCAAATTTGTCCATCAAATGTAAATTTGGATGATGATGAAAAAAAATAAAGATTTTTCATTTTAGGTGCAACTTTTCTATACTATCAACTAGTTATGGATGAAGCAGATGTGTGTGTGTGTGTGAAAAATTTTCTGAATGAATAGAAATAAACTGACCATTCGGCCGTTTATTTTTTTCTCCAATTTTACTACTATACACTTATGTCATTGAAATAATGCTGGTTGTTTGTTGTTTATTGTCAATTGATGATTGCAGTATTTTTTTTTTGATGAGGGGGATGGGGTATGATTATTAGTGGTGGTGTTGTTCCAAATGTGTCAATCCATGTGGTCCTTGTGCATGTGTGTGATCGAAAACAAAATCGAAATTGAAATCCAATTTATGTTTTTACAAATTTTCAACTATAGTTGTTGTTGTTGTTGCTGTCGTTTTCATATTTCATTTGTCATTGTTGTTCTTTATTACTGTTTGATTTGATTGTCATGTTTTTTTTATACTACTTCTGGATTATACTATCAAGCTTTTTTTCTGGTTATTTATTTATTAAAATTGGATTTTTTTTTTCGTTTCTGGATATTACATTTTCAATGATTTGATGCAATCATCAAATCATTGAATTGATACGGAAAGAATTGACGTCAACATATACGTTGTTTGTCGATGTGATAATTTGACAAACAAATATTAGTAATATATGTAAAAATATGTGTATGTTGTTTATTCAATGTATCCACCACACACACACCAACAGGTATACCCGTATTATTAGTAAAAGTCAATATCGATGATCATCAATCGTTTGACATCATCCAATTCGATCGATCAATAAACATACCATTCAATGAAACAAAAAAAAAATTTTTTTTGGGCTTTTTCATTATTATAATAATAATATTTATCGGCATAAATCAATCAAAATCTGTATTGTTTTTATTTCTTTCTTTTGCTAATGAATCACAAGATTCTATAGTCTATTCTAGATAAAACAACGACAACGACAACGACAACAAAATCAAAAGAAATGAGCATTTTCTTAATTTTTTAATATGAAAAATTAAATAAAATTTCGATCCGGGAGAGAAAATCGGAAATCTCTTTTTTTGTTTTCATTATTAAAAAAGAAAAATTTCCAAATTACCTAATGTAATTATAATTATCAACATTATCAATGATGATTGCATTACATCTATTGCAATTACATCAATCAAATTATCATTATCATATAATTAGACAAAATGTGACCACTTTTGTCTCTTTTTCGCTCTCTCATTCTATATTTTTTATTTTTTATTTTTTTTTTTTTTTTTGATAAACAAGATCACAAACATTAATCGAATTCCTTTTTAGCATCTAGCAAATATTTTTCTCTATGTTTGTGTGTAAAGTGAAGAGGACATGTGACAACAAAAAAAATTTCTTGAAAATCAATTAGAAAAAAATAAGTAATAAATATATAGAAAAATAATCATAAACACTGGCACACATATGAACCGTATTTCAATGGATTTTTTTTTTGTTCTATGGGTAGCGTATTTTTGGTTCTATGATGGTAGCCAATGAGTTAATAATTATCATCATTCAGTCATTTATTTTGTCAACAAAAAAAAAAAAAAATTTTAATTAAATTAATTCAATTACATCATAAATATGTCATATGATTATCATCGTAATTTTCAAAACAAAATATTGGATCATCATTCGTAAACATATGTGCAGAATTTATTTCCATTATTTATTATGTGTATGCAAAATATCACATAAACACACACACACACACACAAACAAATGTCCGTGGTATGCGGAACTGTAATACACACACACACACACACAAATATTTTGTTATACCGTAATCATCATCATGATGATTATAATAAAAAATCCTGAAAAAAATATATTACATGATGAAATATGTAAAACATAATTGCTACCAATGTTTTTTTTCTCTCTCTCTCAAGCACTCTGTTGCCATTATAATGATAGCAAAATTTAACAACAGAAAAAAAGCATTTTTTTCTGTCATTCTAAACCATGATCATCATAAATACCAATTATATATCTATTTATCTATCATTTTTTTTTCATCCGATGATTTTTTTTGTTCCATAGTTTCTTGTATCCGGCATTGCATTATTTATGGATATATTATGTGTTTATTGTTATTGTTTTTTTTCTGAGTGTCTAATAATAGATGTTTCGATAGACTTGTTGTTGTTGTTTTTATTTTTCTATTGAATCGATATTAATATCAAAAATGTCAAAGAAAAATGAGAAAAATTGATTAGAAAAATATATAGTTTATAACATTCATATGTCAATTTGGTTTGCAAATATACATTATAATGGTGATGATGATGATGACCTCGATTTATCATGCACGCGTTCGCGAGCCAAATATCAGCATTCCATTGATGATGGACATAAAAAAAATTCTTTTCCACATATTTTTTCGTGTGTGTGTGTGTGTATAAATCAATAATTGATTTTTGATTGATTGTATTGACATGATATAAAATGAAAAATTCATCAACAGTTAACGATTTAAATATTATAACCAAAAACAAACAAATAAACCAACAAACATTGATATATCATAACGGTGTGATAATTGTAACAAAAAAAAACAAAAACAAAATCAAATTCCTGATTTTGTTTTTTGCGCTTGGTATCATCAAAGTATTCTAATAGTAACAGAACAAAAAACCTTGTAGTTTGTTCAAGTGGTAGTAGTTAATTAGATTAGAATCGATGAACCAGAGAAATTCCAATTATATATTGAAAAAAAAGGAAAATATTCAAATTTATTTATTGTTTCTACCCAATCTACCTTTTTTTGTATGTTTTAAAAATGTAAAAATATCATTCGCCGTATAACAGAGAGAAAAAAAAATATATATATGGAAACGATTTCGTGCTGTGAGGCCACATCGCGTGCTATCCAATAACTCTACACGCGACGATGATTATACTTTGTCGAATACGATGATTGTGTGTGTGTGTGTGTGTGTGTGTATGATGTGCGTTTTTTATTTCTTCAATCATCACCGCAAACGATCAAACAAATCAATGGCTAGCTAATTGAAAACCAACAACAACAATTTTCACCGAAAAAAAATCATATATACACACGGGGACAGCAGCTGAAACAAGAAGATTTTCGGAGTAGAACAAAATTCATTCCTGTAAATATACCTGCGAAAACAATCAATAATCAACCAATCAACTAACTAACCGAAAATGAAAAAAAAACAAACATTTGTCGTCGATATTGTATTGAGAAATAATGTTGTTGATAGCCATACAAAAACGATCAAAAAATTCATTTTTGATTCAATTCAAAAATCACAAAAATTCTATTCTCGAATCCAATCAATTTAAGCATCGGTCATAAAATTTTAAAATCATTCAAAATTGATTGACAGCCATTTTTTTGATTGATAATTTTTGATGGAATAAAAAATTATAATTTTCTCTCTTTCTCTATGTTTCAATTGTCTAATATTTCAAATGTGATGACTAGATAATGAAATGAAATGAATGCCAAGGTTAAATAAGGGATTTTATTTCAAAGGAAAAAATTTCTCTTTCTCGTCGTTTACATCAATGTGAAATAAATCAATTTGATTTGATTTCATTTGTTTGTCTGTCTGTGTTTTAAGTACATTTATTATAAAATCAAAACAAATACAAATTCAATTTGAAAAAAATGTCCCATGTTCAACATATTCGGCTGCTTTCTGTTTTAAACGTTCCAATAGTTCACCATTATCCGATGATGATGAATATTTCATTTCAAAATCATAATATTTTTTAAATATAAAACGCATTTTATGCGGTGAAAATTTAAATGTTAATAAACGTTCAAAAATATTACGTATAAATTCAATCGAATCATCGTGGTTATCATTATCATTCAATGTATATTTAATAAGCATATCGATATAGATTGACCATTTATCCAACCGTCCCCAATAAAGTGCCAATAATTTTTCAAATAATGTTTTACCATTTTCACAATCACCATAACAGAATTCAAATTGACCAAATTTTGAAATTAGATCAATATGTTGTTGTTTATTGATTGCGGCCAATGCTTTAACAAATAATTTTCTGCCATTTTCAATTTGTCCATTTTTCATATAAAATAATAGAAATGAAATCCATACAGTAAGATTGGTATGAAATTTTCTTATCATAAATTGATAAATTTGTTCAGCATCATCTTTACGTTCACTTTCATCATAAATGATTGCCACACGGCTATAAATGGTTTTAGCATCATTAAATTTTACAGCTTTTTCAATCAATTCTTTCATGGAATTTTCATCACCATATTGATTTTCTAAATTCAGTAAACTTGTCCATATGTTTAGCTTTTCTTTCTCCTCTCTAAAATGGTAATGAAATTGTTTATATTATAAATCAAATATGGAAAGTGTCATAAACAACAGCACATACCTGAATGAAATCTTTTTCAATGCACGTTCACCAATTTCACGTGCTTTATCAATCTGTTTACATTCGACCATGAATGCCATATATTCAATCCATATGTATGAACTATTCGGTTTGGCAACGATGGCCATTTCAAAATCCTGTTCATCTTGTGGTTTTCGATCTATATCGGTTAATTTTTGTTCCTTTTCACGTAACATCATTTCACGTTTTCTTGCCTCTTGACCTCGTTCCTCACGGTTTCGATGTTTTTTATTATTCAATCCATCATAAGCAGCATCGGATTCATCGGAATCACTATCAATATTGAAACCAGAATCCTCATCGGATTTTGTTTGTAATTCTTCAAATTTTCGTTTATTAGTCAATTTCGATAGATCCAATACATTCCAATCGAATCGATCGATTGTAGATGTCAAGTTCGATTTTTCAATTTGTTTTTCATGATTGTTTTTCGATTTTTGTTCAGTTTCCACATTTACAGTGATGACTTCATTTTTAAATTCGATGATTGGTGGCTGATGAGCGATAGGTTTCTTCGAATGAATTTTTTTAGATTCGATAGATTTTTTCATTTGATTATCATAAAGTATAACAAACACTTTAGCAATATGATGATCTTCATTATTATCAAAATTTTCAATCATAAATTGATAACTTTGATTAATGGTAAATAATTTCTCCACATGTCTTAGGTCATTATAATGTTTTCTTGAAGGTACATAGGCAATTAATCCGGGTAAATGACCACCCAAAATGGTTAGAATATATTTCGGATTCACATGAATAACCGTTCCTTTTATCAATTGATTTGATTTAATTTTTGTCAAATTTGTACGCTGAAAATTTTTCACCAGACGAATCAATTTGCTAGGTTTGGATTGTATAAATAGAATGAGATTTTTTCGATCAAAATCAATATCACAAACAATGGCCATTCCCATCTGTGAAATGGTTAAATCGGGAAATGTTTCATATTTCATCGCTATACCAGATACAGTTGGTTCATTTTTACAACCACTTCGGCTACAATCCATTTTAATGTGATCATCATTAATTTCTGTGATGACAAACGTAATAACTTCACCAATCGAATATGATGTCAACAAACGAATCTTTTCATCTTCATCCTTATTTTCCATCGATGATTGACGAATACATTGCAATTGATTTAGATAAGATTTTAACATTTCAATACTTTCATTCGAATTCTCTCTATTCCAAACGTCGGAAAGTTTCATTGAAAATTTAAATCTTTTTAAATAATTTTCATCATTAGATCCAGAAAATTCATATGATGATACATCGATTGCTTTGACAAATATTGTTTGGCCACGACAAAGACCAAGTTTTTGTGGTTCATCAATAAAACCATCTTGAAGAAATTTTCGTCTAACCACACCATATTGAGCATTAGTTGTTTCAAAGAATACACCGGTTGGTGTTACATTACGTACAATAGCCGGAAATGGTGAATTCAATTGAACATCATGTTCATTCATTATTAATGGATAGATTTTTTGCAGAAAAATCGGTTTCATCGTAACGCATACCACATTAGCTGAATCTTTCGAGAATACCATTAATTCATCGATAATATCACCAACTTTATATGTACCAAACATTATACGACTAATGTATGTATCATCCGATAAATGAGCAAGTGGTAGAAATACTTGTATCTTTTCCTGTGCATCATCCGTAAGATCATAACCTTTCATTGGTGTTTTAGAAATTATTCGCATTCGTTTTAGGATTTGTCCGACTTTAAGTTTTGAATTATATGTATCATTTTTCGTTTTAATCTGTAGATTCATTTTCAATTTTTTCGTTTCATCCAAATCGATCAATGAACAGACCATATGTTGTGCATGATGATCAACGGTAACGACCGTACATTTTATCAATTGTCCCAGACGAAATACTTTATCCGGATATTCAATTTTATAGGTTGCGAGAAATTTTAACGGTATAAAACCACGAACATGATTAAAAAATTCTAACAATATTCCTTTATCGGTGGTGAGACAAACCACACCTGTTGATGACATTCGTGCATTTATTTTACTCAAATCTTTGAACATTTCTTCATCATTCATTTTCAATAAAGTTTTCTTCGCTGTTAATGCTATTTTCGGTATTCTTGAAGAAAAATCCAATTTCAGCACTTTACATTGAACACGTTTTTTTAATGGAAAAAATTGTGAACGGGTTTTTTCCCAATTCAATGTAGGTGTATCTGTTAGATGAATATTCGGTATGAAACCATTGATACCGAAACCTATTTTTACATATACACCATCTGGTCGATATTTTTTTACTACACCTTCGACAATGGTACCAATATCTATATCATCGATGGTTAAATCTTTACGATCGATAAATGATTTTCGTAATGATATTTCAATAAGATTATCGATAAGATGAAATTTTTTCACTCGTACACGATGTGATGATCCTGGCCGATATAAACGATCATAATTATCTTCATCAAATTCTTTCGCTTCGAAAAGATTTTTTTTCAATGCAATTGCATAATTATTACCCGGTAATCGAAATGTTAGTCCACCATATTGTGTACGAGAACAAACAATGGCATTATCGATGATCAATCCGATACGTATCGATTCGATAAGGCTTTTTATTTTTTTTGATTTTATTTTTGATTTAAGTGATATGCACACTTGTTTTGTATGTGGATGTACGTACATAACATGCCCATGAACGGTATTACTGATTTGAAATTGTTTAGGCATTACGGAAAGATCATCACTAACATGGAATCGTGGTACAAAACCTTTGTAACCACCAGGTAATCCTAATTCAAGACCATGATTAAAAGTTCCGGTGATTGTGGCATTTGTTTTGATTCCCGGTGTATAGAAAAGAATACCAGGCTGATGATCATCTTCAATAGAAAATTTTTTTGCCATTTTATCATCAACTGTCAATGTTAGACTTCGTTCATTAACGTTTGCTACTGAACATTGAATTAATTGACCAATATGAAGGTCTACGTTATTATTCTGTTCAATATCTTCATTGGGTAAAAATGCTTTCATGTCTTCAACACCAATATCCATTAGATAGCCATGATCTTCTTTGCTTAACACTGCCGCAATTAGATTATAACCAGATGGTAATCTTTGAAATGTTTTGAACGAAAAATTATGATAAACATCTTTAGGATTGATTGAACCGATAACTTCGGAATGGCCAAATTTATCACAGATTCGTTTGGACAGAATCCGAATGGCAAAATATTCGCCCATATTGAATAATGAAGCTAATTTTGCAATCTCCACACCATGTTCATTTTGGTCATTGGCAAAATTTTCAACCAATTGACTATATGGTGTCGAAATATTCGTTATCGGAACGGTTACATTGATTCCACCAGTGATGGAAAATTTCAATTCAAAATCGGTTATCTCTTCGATGCAACCAAGTACGACCATATTTTCAATCAAACGATTCACGGTTAAATTTTCGATGACTGTCTTTTTAAGATTTGATTCTTGATTTTGTTCTTGCATATTATTATGATCTTTTGAAGTTTTTTTAGATCGCTTCTTTGGTTTTGCGGACTTTGATTCTGTTGGTTTCCTTTTTCTGCCTAATAAAATATATAAGGAATAATTAAAAAACAAAAGAAATTAGGTTAATAATATTACTTTTGAATAATTGTTCATCTTCAGCAATCGATGGTCGATATGATGGTAAGATCGAAGTCGGATGTTTCGATGGTTTTGATCGTGGAAAGCTTTCATCTTTGAGTGCCATACTTTTGGTACACACACACACACACACACGAATCACAAGAGACTTTTCAATTTCAATAAATTAATTTATTCAGAATGGATGATTTTAAAAATGTCATAAAATCAAAAGAATCTTTAAAATTATTGATAAACACAAATGATCAACGAATCGTCAACAATACACAAATACGCGTGTGCGTTTCAACCATGTGGTTTTTCTGGTCCATTCATAGACAATGTTCAGATTTTTTTTTGAAAATTTCAATATTTTTTCCAAAATGTTGGTTATCGATTAAATAATTGTACTATGGACCTGAGTCTGTTTGACCATTTTTCGATGATTTTTTCGTCCATAAAATACAATCATAGCGCTGATAATAAGTATCATAATGAATGTAATGATCATTGCCAAAAAGATTTCATTATTAATCAAACGAATCCATGGACGTTCGCCTGGAATCTGATTAGTTTCACTAATCATCATACCGGTTACCCAGCCAATATATGATTTGTTTACATCTTGAGCAAATTTTAATCGTGACCATGTTTTATCATTGAATTTATAAACATTAGTTAATGTGCTGAATAGCAAAAAATGAGAGGGAGAGATAAACAAATGAAAATTGATGAACAAAACAAATTGAATGATTATTACCTGATTACATATGGTAGTTTAAAACACATTGATGCAGTGAATTTTTTATCAATACGTAGCTCTTCATTTAATTGATCGAATGTTTTACTACACATTTGATGATATTCATTCAAATACTGTTGTCGTGATATGTTTTCAAACTTTTTAAATCGTAATACTTTTGTTTCATGATAATATGCTGATATAGCATAATAAAATAGATCCATTTGTCGTTGTCGATCATCATCATTAGTAGTATTAGTAGTAATGGGGATTTCTTTGAAACAAATTTCAAAATTTTCCGTACATTTTTCTCGATTAATTAACCATTCAATGTCCTGTTGACATTGTTGTAATTGTCCAGTACCGATTAGATCATATTCATTATGTTCATTATTATTCTCAATTGCCGATTTTGATTTCATCGCCGTACAAATATTATCGTATAACGGAAATTTTGATGATAATGTTCGATAACCGATTGGAAAACATGGAACATTAATTTTGCCATTTTTATCCGATTGCCGAGAGATTAATAATCGAATATAACGAAATAGAGCTTGTTCAGCACCAAAACATAGATTACTAAATGTATGAATTTTATATTCATTTCCAAATAAACGTATTTGTTGATAATTTCCATCATCATCATTGTTTATCATTGTTCGATTATTTTGTTCATTTAATAATACGGCACGAGCAATCTGTGCCGATGAACCACCCATATCTAATATTCCAAATGATGATTTATTATTCATTTGAATTCTGTTGAACAATGTTCCGGATAAATAATTGACTGCAATCCAAGCGAACATTCCCTCTTCCTGTCCACTGATGATCGATATTCGTCGTATATTCATACCGGATGTTTGAAATTTTTTTCGTATTTGATCAAATATTCTTGACACTAAATTCGGTTCTGTTTGATTCAATAATCTCATACCGGCTGTTGCACCTAAATAGATGGATATATTTTCATTTTTCACCTTTATATTGGTCGTTATATTTCGTATACAATGAAAAAGTTCATCAGCAACCATGTTTACTTTGCTACCATCATTTGTTGAAATGGGTTGATTAACTCTACAGGAATCAATCTCTTCAATCAATCCGGTATCATTTAGTTTATCCGCTTTCCATCGAAATAACACCACACGGCTATGCGTTGATCCAGAATCGATTGCAATTGAATACTTTTGAAAATGAAAAAGATTTTTTTTTGTTTTGTTTAGTTTGTTTTTGATATTTAATTTTGAAATTATTCAATCACAAATACTCACTTTATAATTTATAGTCGATGTTGAATGATAAAATATTGTTAATAATAAAATTCCGGCCAATGATGTGGCCATTAAAATGATACCAAAATGAAAACATCTATGTGATTGTGTTGATGATTTTATTATTGTCGATGGTAATGTTGCTGCTGTCGATGATGATGTTGTCATTGATGATGATTGTAGATATTTTTTCATGATTATTATAGATATAAATTATAGAATATATTAATGAATCAATAGAATTTTCAAACATTCATTTCGTTATGATGAAGGATTTGTAACATTTTTGTCATACATTGTAAATGTAATTAACATTGATCAACAATAATAAAAATAACCGATCGAAAAAATCAATAAATTTCGTACATTCAATTATAATTTCGATTTATCGATTAAAACACCTTTTTTTTGCTAGAACAGCTGAAATTCTATTGATTATTGTTACCAATAATAGGAATTATGTTATATGGATGATAAATAAATGACAATAGTAATATTCATAAGAAATTGTTTTAATTTTTTTTTTTGTCAATTGGAAAATTAATTGGAAATTCTATTGATGTTGAATGTTCAGCGATAAAAAAAATGTAGAAACAAAGGGTCCATGGGTGATTTATTTATTGTTGGTTTATTGTATTCGGATTTCTTCGGTTTCTGTTTCTTTTACTGCTGTTACTGTTGCTGTAAACATGAAAATACAGTTTAGTTTTTTTTTTTGCTTTATTAAAGTAACAACAAATACACACACACTATAGTGTTTATAATCATCACACAAACACATGACACTTGATAAAACTGCGGGAAAAAACTGTCTATCATTCTTGAGGATTGATTGATTGATTGAATGATTTTTTTATAGTAGTGTAAATTATAATCGGGAATTAACCCGATCATAATTTAAATTGTTTTAAATTCTTAGAATCATCATACGATATCATGATAATGATGATTGTCTGGCCATTGAAAATTTTAAATTAATGAATATTAAAAGAATTTGTCATCATAAGTATGAATGAACAATGTTTGATGATGGCACACATATACCCACATATACACGATAATTGTTTTGTTTTGTTTTGTTTTTGTCAATCGATTAAATTCAATGAAAACCGCTAATCAGGCTATATATATTGTGTGTGTGTGTGTGTGTGTGTTGAAAAGAATTGAAAAAAATGAAACAAACAAATTATGGCCAGATTTTTTTTTCTCTTTGCTGTTAGAGACTCATATCAATATTTTTTGTTTTATGGTTAATCGTCACTATCGTTTCATTAATGATGATGATGATGATTAGTATTTTGTTAAAATCCATACAATTTTTATAACGTGATTTTTATCATTTTCAAGACAAAAAAAAAGAAAAAAAACAAACAGTAAAACTAATTATCTAATCAGTGATAATAATAATAAAAATCCAATTCATGATAAATTGAACATCTCATTCGATTCAATGTGTTCATTGATTGATTGATTTTCCAAATAAATGTTTGTGTGTATGTATGTGTGTTTTTTTTGCATTAATAAATTTATTATTTAAGAACGTGTTTTCTTGGTTGACTAATTTTCAATGGATGTGTGTGTGTAATCTATTGATTTAATCAGTTAATGTGTATGGATGGATGGATGGATGGAATGATTGGTTTTAATCAACGTTAGTTAGTTAGTTAGTTGTGTTGTAAAACAAAAAATGATCATGACAAAAGTGGTAGTAAAAAAAAGGGAAGGTGAAAGAAAATTGATGTTTTTTACAAGTTTTTTTTTCTTGCTCACTATCTCTCTATGTGTTTCTGAGTCAATAACTATCATCATCTGATTTATCATCATTCATTTATTATTATCGTTAGTTTTTGTAATTGCTATAGCCATCACTAATTCGTTGAATTTCAATGATTTTTTTTTTGTCAATGAAAATGCAATTAAAACCATTGAATTGAGTAAATAGAAAAAATTTGGTGAATTAAATTTATTTTATTATTATTTGATTTTTTTTTGTATTTATTAGATTATTTAAAGATTCTATAGAAATGAGAGACTAATGACAAATGTAAGCAATTTATTTTGTGCAAGATAAGGCAAACATTGTGATTTTAATTGATTCAATTGCTCTATTCCATATAATTAATGTTTACAATACTCTTGTTGTAAAAAAAAGAATTGTAAAAATTGAAATTTTCATTTTGTTTCTATGACAAACAGGACAAAATATTAGAAACAAATCAAACAAATGGGTAAAAAATGTATTTCTAAAAATCAAAGTCAATATGTACAAATCTCTTTTTGTGATCGATTTTAATATCAAATCAAATTGAATTTCATTTGCATTTATAGATTCATTCAAATTGGATGAATTACAAAGATAAATTCTTTCAACAACAAAAAAAAAAAACATTGAAAAAAATGTCACAAAATATCTATACAATCGAACGACAGCCATCGGCTGAAGATGATAATATGTTTCGAATATATCATTCACAAAATGAACTTTTATCCATCAATGGAACATTATCGAATGATAATATAGTTCAACGTAACCTACGACAACGACGATATGCTGTAGATTCGGAACAATTTCAACGTAAACTAAATTATCGTCAACGTTTACGTCTTGCATTATTACATTATTTTCGTTCCGATAGTATTGCACGTTTCATATTCATTGTGATCTGTGTCGTTTGGTTTTGGATCAATTTTATAACAGTATTTTCTGATTTTTTAACATTCGATACAATTGTCTATATGGAATATCGTACACCAAAACATACAAGACCACCTGGCGTAACATTCTGTACACATTGTATTTATTGTCGATCCAGGTAAAAACCGATTCAATCAGATTTTGTTCATTTTTATTTTTAATAATAATATTTTTGGTTTTTTTTCCTCAATAGCAATAATCATTCGAAAAAGAATAAAATGCTTGTATTCAAAGCGATTGAAAATAATATCGATAATGAATTTTTCATTGATTATGAATACGATTATGATGATTTGAACAACGATAATAATTCTAACAAGAATGATGATGAAATTGTTTCATTGAATTTAACCGATTTCATACATTATTGTCGATTCTATCCAAATGCATTAGAATTGAATGAACAATTTAATAATTCTAAATTTATTGATTGTATGGATCTAGCTCCAGTTGTCGTCAGTATGCAAGAAGGACATAAATGTTTTACATATTTTAGCGATTTGTTTGGTGATATTTCACGTTTATATAATAATAATAATAATAATGATGATGATGATTATGGACAAAATAATCAAAATTCAACAATCATGATGGATTTTGATCGATTTCCATATTTAGAAATTAGTGTTAAAGGCAAATATCTTCAATCAGCAACAAATGGCCGTAATCAAATTAAAAGTTCAAATTTATTATATGATAATTCAGAAATTGGTGAAACGATTGGCATTTTTATTGTATTACATTCACCAACAATATTAGCTGATATGTTAAGTCTTTCATATCATCGTATATTTCCACGTAAATATATGCAAATTCAATTTATAAAAATGCATGAAAAACGTAGACCATGGCCATATCGAACAAAATGTTTTGATTATAATCGTCTTGTCAATATAACACCAGATGATCAACAACAATCAGTGTTTCGTGAACATAACAAAATTGATGAACAGGATCTACAATTATTTCGTTCACGTGGTGAATGTTTTCTTTATTGTATGTGGCGACAATTAGGACACGATGAACGATGTTTAAATTTCTATACCATATTCACTGGACATCTATATGCAATGGAAACACAATGTCGTACATTTGATTTGCTGCTACGTGAAATGAATGAAATTATCAATGATCAATGGAAAAATCGTTGGAAAATTATGGATGAAATTTCCAATGCGCTGCTACGGAATTCACATATTGAATTCTGTAATATTAATGATAGTTTTCAGCTTTATGGTCAAGTGAAACGTGATTGTTTAGCTAATTGTCCAAGTGAATGTCATTCGGAAACATTTTGGATCGATACAAGCTATAATCTAGATATGAATATGAATGATAATGATTCATTAATACGTATTGAATGGTCAACCGAACCGGTTGCCTATATTGAACATCGTGAAAAATTTACCACTTCATCATTTCTAGGTAATATTGGAGGACATGCACATATTTGGCTCGGTATTTCTGTTATTGCAATTTGTCGTTTTATAATTGAATCAATTAAATCACGATCAACTTCACGAATACGATGTTTACATAATCATTTATGGTTCATAAGATTAATACGTGGATTTCATATGAATAATCATCATACTTGATAATAAAAACTATCTATTATTCATTATTAATTAATCAATCAATAATTATGATTTTGAAAATAAAAAAATAAAAATCTTATGACATTGTTACAACAACAAGTGGAATACGTGAGTTAAATTGATACATTCCAGGATGTATTGATCCCGGATCTATATCCCTCGAATAATTGTCCTAATCGTGCAAAACAAAAAAAAAACAATCACTCAATAAATCTAGATAATTTAGAGTTGCGATAATTTTTTTTAAATTCTCAAATTGATTTGATTAATTTTTTCTGACTATAAAAGTCAATCTAAAATGACAATTTAGGCATCAACAAACATTTTTTTATTTTTTTCAAACTAAAAACAAACAAAAAATCCGAAAAATGAAAACCTTTATCGTCGTCTGTATGTTGGCTGCCGTAGCATTGGGTAAGTTAAAGATATTTTTGTTCTAAAAATGTCCACTTAAACATATTCCCGATTCCCAAAAATAGCCCAACATGAACACCATGATGAACATCATCATGAACATCATTCTATTGTCGAAGATCTGATTAAACGTGGTCATGCTTTATTACATTTGGTGCGTGAAACATTTGAACAACATCGTGGTAATGAACACTTATTGGATGCTCTTCAACATCAAGCCGTTTTGGTTGAAGCATTGGTGAAAGATTTAGAATCACAACATGAATGTGAAAATATTTTTGAATTACATCATATACATTTGATTGAAGAAGATTTATTACATTATGAAAATCGTATCGGTGAAGAGATTGCCATATTGAATCAGGAACGACATCATGAACATCATGGTGCTGAAGAATTAATTCGACGTGGTGAAGAATTATTACGACGTGCACAAGATGTTGTCGAACAACATCGTCATCATGGCGATCGTGAAATGGAAGCTATTGAACATGAAATGCATGCTGTTCATCGATTAATTGAAGAGATTCGTGAAAGACCACATGGACATGATTTCACACGTGATGAAGAATCATTGAAACGACATGAAGATTCGTTAGCAAAATTATTGGAGCGTGTTCATCATCGTCATCATCACGATGAACATCACCACGATGAACATCATCATCATGAACATGATAATTAAATTGAAAAATAAATATTCTCAGAATGAATATTTCAATTTAATATTTAAAAATTTTTCAGATTTCTCAATAAAACAAATTGATTTAACAATAAATCATTCATTCATTAATTGTTCGACTTTTTCACCAAATAATCGATGTGCTTCGGATTTTTTAATCCTTTCCGATGCGCGATATAATTTATCGGCTAATTTTTTGTCCATTAATAATCGATCAATAGATGATAATAATTGCTGTTCATCAAAATCATATGGTTCCAAACATACACCTAAACCTGTTTCCACTAATCGTTGACCATTATCTAATTGATCACAAAATAATGGCATAATAATCATTGGTTTTCCTTGCGCAAATGTTTCCGTTACGGTATTGTTTCCACCATGTGTAATAACCAAATCGATTAATGGTAGAATTTTAATTTGTGGAATGAATCGTGCACCCCACATATTCTTGCCCGGTAATTCATATTCATCATGTCTTGGACCTTTTGAAATAATGTATTTATGTTGAGTTTTTGCAAGAATCAGTGTTAAACGTTGCATTAATTCTAGATCAACTGAACCCATTGATCCCATTGAAACATAAATCCATTTTCCACTGAATTTTCCATCTAAATCATTGTGGTAGAAATCCTGGCCAACCAATTCTTCCAAATCGATCGTATCATATTGAATATTTCGATTAAATACTTCTAGATTGAACCACCGTGGATGTGCTGATTCGATTTTCCAATGATTTAATTCTTTCGGATATGCATAAATATTGAAAGCGATTCGTTTTTCCAATTCTCGTTGATCATCCGGATATTTTTCATAGCCAAGTTTTTCAATATAATCAGCGAATGCATTCTTTTTCATCATATCAGCCAACATTTGACGACATTTATTCATCTCATCGGGATCAGCATTCGATGGTAGACCTTTGTGGATTGAATCAATTTATTTGAAAATTTTCTTAACTACTAACCTGTAAATGGTGGTGGTAAAGCTGGATCCGATGCAAAAAATATAAATGGTGCAGACGTAATACATTTGATGACCGGTATATTTGAATAATAGATGGCAGGATGTATGTAAACATCATCGATTATGAACAAATCGATTTGTATTTGGCGCATTAATCGTTTAAGCGAAATTTCTACCTGTTGATAATAGCTTAGGAATGTATCGGATTTAACAAAATATTTCAACATTTGTCGTAGTTTTTCTTCGACGGTCATTTTTCCCAAAATTTTATATGATAATAAATCATTTGCCATTTGTTCGCCAGGTTTTTTCGTCGGTTCATTACGATCATTTGATACTTCATAGATGATTTCTTCAAAACCATATGGTCGTAATTGACCTTCGAATGCTTTTTCCAGAAGGAAATAAACACGATGACCACGGCTAATTAAACTATCAATTGTTGCACCACGGCAACCATTTACATGGCCAACAGCATTCAAAGATATGACCACAATATTCTTCATTGTTTGGGTCATTGTTTTAGTTTTGTAGTTGATGATGTTAAATGGTGTCACGACAATAATGTTTTCGTTTTGTTGATGATGTTGGCAAGAAATAAAAAAAAAATTAACCGTCATCATCGTCATCGTCATCGTCGTCGTCGTCATAAAATTCAATCCAATCTAATAATCTTATCATCAATCATATCAATATCATCACAGAAACATACTCCGGAATATATTAATCATTTATATCAAATATATCTTGTTTTTCTTGATAACTGGAAAACAAATTGATTAAAATTGATCATAATTTTCCATCATTTTATTATTATCATAATCATCATCAATAAAATATCCATATACACAAACACACATTGACATATCAATTACAATGTTTTTTTTTATAAATAAGATTCAAAAAAAAATCCACCTATAATCATTTATAATCAGTGATTATTGTATGATAATCATGTATGATTCAATGAAAAAAAAGAACAAAGTCTTGTGAAGAAAAAAAAACTGGAAACATCAAAATATTGATTGAACTTGTTAAAAAAAAAATTCAATTTTCAATTCAAAATTTCATTCATTAACAAATGTAATAAACATATAACATATGGAGTGGTTAAATGATTTGGAATTTTATTTTTACTTTAATTATTACCTAGTTGTTGTTGCGAAAAGAAGAAATGAAACAAAAATGATTTATATGTAATTCAAAACATTTAAACACAGCCGATAATTTAGTCATCGGATAATAATTAATAAACACAAACAGAAACTTCAATCAACATTCTTAAAAAAAAAACGAAACACAGAACACGACTAGGATACTTTATTTTTTGTCATCCTATTTTAAAGTGATTTGATCTGAATAAAGTTAATTTTTCTTATCAGGGCTATACATGCATGTATAATTAAAATTTTATATTCATTTATCAATGATGGATGATGATGACAATTATTTTACATCAGACAAAGATATTCACGATAATAATCCAGTCTGGACTGGTAATATAATAATAAAATAATTTTACTTACTAAATAGCTACTGGCATATTGTATGGTTATCTGGAAATTTTTTTTTTTTTTTTTTTTTTTGCTACCTAATAAATTGTTTTTTCTCGACACACACACACACACGTTTCCCTTTGGCCCAAATTTGTGTTTCTTTCGATCACTACTGTATTGGATGATCGAAAATAATGATGAAAACTCCCTCTTTCTCCAAAAAAAAAATTGTCATGTCTATCTTAAATCATCAATAAAATAAATGTTTTATCATCATTATCATTATCATGATGATGCTACTTGTCATTATTATTATTATTTTACAAGAATGATTTAAATGAAAAAAAATTTTTTTTTTGAATCAATTTTTATGAGTTTTGAACCTAATGATGATGATGGTAATAATGATTGAAATATTTATGATTGTTCGCCAACGTGAACCTTTTAATATTAAATGTAGAAAAAAAAATTGGCGAAGGGGAAAAAGGTTGATCCAAACACACTTAAAAGTCCATAATTCTGACACTGATGATGATGATGATGATGATGATGATGAAAATGATGACAATATAAATACGAGGTAAAAAATTATCTGGCAAAAATTTTTTTTATCTGCATTTGCCGGTAATTTTTGCCAACAAGTTTAGAATTCATGCTTTTTTGAGTTTTTTTTTCGAATTTGAACATTGGAAACAATTTAAAATTTTTCAATATTCATCATCATCTTCATCATCATCGATAAAAGGTAAGATTGATTGATTGATAAATTAATTGATTCTGCTTTGTTTTTTTTATTGTTTTGTAAATGATTTTCATATTTTTCTGCTTCTTCTGCTGAGATGGTGTATTGTTATGTAAATAATTGATTGATTAATCAATCAATCAATCGATTCTGTCAAATAATGTATACATTACATTTGTTTGTTCAATACTCATCTAACCATTCATTCTATCCAATTATTACCTGTCGAACAAGTATATTTTTCATCCTATCATACATAAACATTCAATGGTTCACGATTACGATTTGAATTATTCAATATGATAATATACATTAAAGATAAAAAAAATAAAAATAGATATTTTTCAAAAAATGAAAGAAAAAATGTGAACGAGGAAAAGGAAATGAGTAAAAAGCGAGAGAGAAACGAGTGAAAACATGAACAAACAAACAAACGAAAAAAAAAATCAAAATTGTAAAGTGATATATGATAGCCACAACCACGACGTTTGAACAATGTGTCAACATTTATTTATTATATAAAAAGATAAAATCGTTCGACGTGAAAGGTTTGGCATTATCTAGCTATCAGCTAACCAAGTTTTTGACTATTTTTGTATTTGTTGGTGTTGTGATTTTTGAAAATTAAATAATAAAAAAAAATCTTTATTCGATTTATTTCCATTGTGCATATTGGTTATTATCCATCTTTATCTCCTATCGGTCGCGAATACATTATCAAAAAAAATGGCTAGAAATTTCAATTGAATCGAATGTTAATCAATAGCAGAACAAAAAAAATTCTTTTCTTTTTTCCACAATCAAATTGAATCGATAAAAATGTGTATGTGTCTGTGTATGTTTTTGCAGAGAAATTTTCAAAAAAATAATGAAAAAATAAAATAAAAATGAAATTCATTTATACGACTTCATGTGAATCAAATCCAATCAATAAAATCAATCAATTTTATAGACCAGGTGGAAATTTTCTCTTACTTTTATTCAATTTTTTTCCATTCATTCATTAAAATTTTTTGCATCATTATCATCATCATAATTATTTATCGAATTGAATATTTATACAATTTCATCAAATCGATGCCCATCATCATATTCATCATCATCACTTAGCAACATATAATAATTGTTGTCGTTGTAATAACATCTACCAAAACAAACCATATAACTGGATTTCATTTAAAATATTTTCAATCATGTTTGCCTGTATAGATGGATGGATAACATCGTATAACATCATAATAATCCGTTTCGTTATTATTATTATTATTATTTTTTTTTTTTTGAAAAAATTTCCTATGCAATGCATTTATGTGGATGTGATGAGTGTGTTTATTCAACATAAAATATTCGACAATCCAAAACGAATCAACAGCAACATTAACAAATGAATGTTATGAATTTCGTTACGACGTTTTTTTTTGTTTGTTTGTTTGTTTGATGATGTCGTAAAATGATTTTGTTTTGTTCGACTTTTGTTATTTGTCAACCATGGTGGTTATGGTGATTTTTTTTCTTGGTAAATTTTTTTTTCTGTCTTTTTTTCGCTTCTTTGAATCGATTTTTCTCGTTATAAGAACAACATTCAATATTGTTGTTGTAGTTTTCATTTATAACAATCATTATCGAACAGTCATATATATATACATCATAAATTTTATCGAAGCCATATTATTATTTGAATATACGCTATCGTCATCACAAGCTAATTAGACAAAAAAAAATAATCGAGCCAAAAAATCGATGATGATGATGATGATGTTCTCTGTGTTGTGTGTGAATATTATTTTGTGCAATGTTTCTGTCAGAAATAAAAAAAAAAACAATAGGCTATCCACTTATATAGTTTATATATATTCATTTTATTAATAGTTGCAGAGAAATACAAGGACTAATGTAAGAATAATAAAATACAAGTTGACCCATCATCATCATCATCATCATCATCAATTATTATCTAATTATTGATGATTCTTTTTTTTGGGAAATTTACAAATCATTGATTTTCATCGTTATCATCCATATATTTTTTCTAAAAGTTTTGTACATAATATTAGGATTTTTCAGAAACAAAAAAAACTTTTATTTTCATTCAAATACACAACACACACAATTCTCATCCCAAATGATTTGGTTAACGTTTTTTTTTGGGCTTTGCTTTCATTCATTCATTCATTCATTCATTTTTTTGTGGATATCTTCTCGTTCGGTTGATGCCCACCGGAACTTTTTGTTTTTTTTTCTTCTTCTTGTTCTTTTTCCTTTCAATCAATGTCAACCGAAAAAGAGTATTAATTTGATTTGACGTCGTCGTCGTCACTGTCGTTTTAGTCGCCGACAACACACACATCAAAACAATATTTACGGCAAGATAAAATGTCCCAAAACAAAAATATTCAGTGATGGAAATTTCCTACCTACCATCCGAAACCAAAAAAAAGAAAACATCACGAGTTTTTTTTTCACCATCATCAACATCATGAAAGACATGCACACACACACACACACATCATTTTGACAAATCTTATGAAACTGATTTTTTTTACCCAATTATCAATTCTGTCATTTATATATGATGATGATGAAGTTGGAAAAAGAATAAACATACACACACACTCCATTATTTTTTATTTATTTTTTTTTTGGCATTCGAATATGGGGTGATGATGAGTGTATAAATCACGAAAAAAAAATATTCTACATTTTCTTCTATTTTACTTTACAAAATACAAATCCATCAAACTTGATGATGATGATGATGTCAAATGAAAATATAAACTTTTTTTTATGTGTCAGTATGTGTCTGAAGAATCAAAATTTATAACGAATAATCAAAACAAAATCATTTCAAGTGTGTGTGTGTAACAAAATGAAATGAAATTATTTATATGCCATGTGGTTGTGTAGAATTGCCATGATGATGATGACGGATTCTATGATACTCATGTTGATTATCCAATTACACTTTATTGTGTCTCATTCATTTTCAATTTCAATTTCTTCCACACTTTATGTGTCATAATCAAATAGTATAAAAATCAAGAAATCCAAATGAAATGAAATAAAACATGTTTTCTTTGTTTCCAAATGATCATCATGATGGATGAATTGGATAACATTTGATGGATTAGGGGTTTGTTCTTCATCTTTTTCTCGCTGTTGTTGTTGTTGTTGTTGTTTTCGAATAAGTCAGTTAGTCAGTCAGTCACTGGTTTTGACAAGTTGACTACATTGGCAATGAGAATTATTTATTTCTTTTTTTTTAATTCAAGAATCATAATGATGCTTTGATGATGATGAAGAGTTTCTATGGTTTTTTTTCATTTTGCATTTCAATTTTTTTTCACCATTCATTCAATCATGATTTTGACGAAGATGAATTTCATTTTTCATTATCACTTGCTTCTACTTTTACTTTTTTCCCCCCAATATGTATGTGTGTGTGTGTGAGTGTATGTGTTCGCATTTATTAATTTGTACAAACAAACGACGAATATGATGATGATCAATTTGTTATTCCTCGTTTTTTTTGATTCTCTTTTCACCATTTCTCAATGATTAGCGACAACGATGATGATTATAACGATGACGACAATTTTGTATTGATGAAAATTAATCATTCTGTGTGTATGTTTATACATTCTTGTGTTAAAATAGGCTACAATTTTGTTTTTGTTTTTGTTTTGGCGCCATTTGAAACTTTTTCGTTATTTCTTTTTTTTTCTTTTCATTTCTGTTTCATTTAAATCGTGATAATTAAAAAGATGATGATGATTATGATTTCAGATCATCATCATCATAATCATCATCATCATTCATTCCGGTTACGACGATAATTGTATGATGTGATTTTTATCATCATTCAAAATAATTCGTTTATCCGTATTTTCTTTCATTCAATCAACGAGATTTTTTTCACATTTTAACTATCAAAATTTAAATATTTACCTGTTTGTCCTTCATTCAATTCAGATATCGATTTTTTTCATTTTTCGATAACATCATCCATTATTGGTCTACGACTACGATTATCACCATCATCATCGTAAACATAATTATTCGATGATCGATCAATCAATAAAAGTAAAAAAAATATTTTTGGAAAATTAAAAACCGCGAAAAAAACCACGAAAAGAATTTTCGAATGGCAAGCGCATCGATGACAACATCACCATCATCATCAAAAGCTGGCCGTACGAAAACCTTATTATTAGGTTTCGCCATATTCATATTGGCCTGTTTGTTTATCGGTTTTTTAGCCGCATACATTGTTGAACGTAATAGTAAGTTTTTTGTTTTTGTTGAAAATTGTGAAAAAAAAACAGACACCAACCCATTATAATTCAAAATTTATATAGAGAATAATGATTTATCCAAAGATCAATCGACTACAACAACCTCGACAACTTTTGAAACAACTTACACATCGACATTGACTACATCACAAACAACGATTACATCGACTAAGCCGCCACCAATATCTGATAATCTATTACTTAATCATGATGTCATACCTATAAATTATCGTCTACAAATACGTAGCGATCCTAATGAAAATTTTTTCAATGGATCAGTACGTATTACGTTACAAGTTCTCAACGATTCAATCGATCAAATTGTACTTAATTGTAAAAATCTTAACATATCATCATATTCATTATCGAAACCATCGGTTGCGATTGAAAATTTTTCTAGCAATACGGAGTTTGAACGATGTATATTTGAATTAGATGGATCATTGGTTAAAGGTGAGGAATATGCATTACAGATTACGTTTTCCAGTACGTTTCGAAATGGACAGATTATCGGATTTTATCGTAGTCCATATACAACGATCAAAAATGAAATTCGTTATATGACGGCAACAAAATTTGAACCAACATATGCACGTATGGCATTTCCTTGTTTTGATGAACCATCATTTAAAGCTACATTTGATATAACGTTAATCCATCCAACCGGATTAAGAGCCATATCCAATCAAATGGAAAAAGAAACCGTACCGAGTATTGAAACCGGATTCAGCCGGACAACATTTAAACAGACGCCAAAAATGTCCACATATTTAGTGGCATTTTCGGTGAATGATTTTGAATATAAAGAAACAAAGACAACAACCGGTACACGTGTTCGTGTTTATTCACGACCAGATCAGGTGGAAAAAACCATGTATGCCTGTGAATCAGCGGCAACTATTCTATCATATTATGAAAATCTAACGGCCATTCCATATTCACAATCATTGGAAAAATTAGATCTGATCGGTTTACCCGAATTCGTATCCGGTGCAATGGAAAATTGGGGTCTAGTCACCTACAAGGAAACATATATCCTATTTGATGCCGATGAATCTTGTGTTAATGATAGGCGAAAAATAGCCAGTGTTATTGCACATGAATTAGCCCATATGGTAAGTGTAATTGTTTCGAATTATTTTTTCTCAAAATTCTGACCATTTTTTTAAAATGAAATTTCAAAAAAAGTGGATAGGTAATCTAGTCACAGCCACTTGGTGGAATGATCTCTGGCTTCAGGAAGGTTTTGCATCATTTATCGAATATTATGGTCAAGATCACCTGGACGCATCATTCAATATATGGAATCGATTTTTAATCGATGATCTACATCGTGCATTCACTACCGATTCTTTATCTAAAACACATCCATTGGTACCGAAAAGGGATGATATTCTTACACCGAATCAGATTACGGCTCTATTCGATACAATTTCCTATTCAAAAGGTGCATCGATTGCTTATATGATTGAAAGTATAATTGGGCGGAAGAAATTTATGGAAAATTTTAGCTATTTACTTAGAGAAAATCAATATTCAAATGTTGATACAGAAAAAATGATGAGTTATTTTTATAAGGATATTGAAACAACGACTAAAATTGATGGAAAAAATTTTCTAAATAAATGGCTTTATCACAATGGTTATCCTATCATTACTGTTGAACGTGAACAACAAACATTTAAACGTTCGATTCGTGAATCACCATCCAAATCTCAGCGAAGTACAATGAAACTACGATTAAAACAAACAATTTATCGATCAAATTCAACATCCATTCCACTGGAAGATCCATGGAATATTTATATCAAATATCGACATCCAAAACAAGAACAATCTGCGCATTTATTCAACCAATCAGAAATGATTGTTGATCTTGGATATGAACTTGAATCGAATGATTGGATCAAATTAAATCCTGATGGCCATGATTATTATGTTGTAAATTATCAACCCGAAGATTGGGATCTATTGATTAGTGAATTGAAAAGAAATTCCAAATCATTCAGTGTTGGTGATCGTGCAAACCTATTACATGATGCATATCGTTTATCCGAGATATCGGCACTATCCTATGATCGTTTACTCAATCTATTCACGTATCTTGAAATGGAAACAAATTATATTCCATGGTCAGTGGCTAATAATGTAATCACATCATTGATCAATAAACTTGGTGAAAGTGGTTTGGCATTGATACAATTTCGTGATTTTATCAAATCGATCGTTGCCAATTCATTCGATTCAAATGTTGATTTATCGACAACCGACAACTCTGCACAAAAACTGGATGAAATAGCCTTACGTAATGTATTAATTACGATAGCATGTAAAGTTGGCTATGAAAAATGCACGAAACAATGTTATCAACAATTTCGTGATTGGATGGATCGTGGAAAGCGATTAGATTCGAATACAAAATCATATGTTTATAAATATGGTTTACAGGCCAGTACGAATGAATCGGATTGGCAACGTATGTGGGATCTATATGAATCTGAAAAAGATGCAATTGAAAAATCGAAAATAATTTCCTCACTGACATCGACTACTAATCCAAATCTTATATCCGTATTGATATCATATTCTGAAGATTTGAATAAAATTAATAATGAAAATTTTTTCGCTGTACAACAATCAATCGCTTCGAATAGTGACATTGGAAGATCAATGATTTGGGAATATATTCGAAATCATTGGCCTCAATTGATCAAACGTTTTGGTTTGAATGATCGCCGATTAGGAACGTATGTTCGTTCAGTTATTAGTGGTTTCCGTTCCGAATCTCGCTTACAAGAAGTTATGGATTTTTTCCACCAATATCCTGATGCTGGTGCTGGTCAAGGAGCTCGTATCGAAGCTATCGAAACAATACGTGAAAATATTCAATGGATTGAGGATAATGAACAAAATGTTTCGAAAATATTAAATAATCGTAATCCGAATGAAAATCCTTGGTTACGTTGGCGACTTGATGAATCTGTACGGCCACAACATTATGATGTAAATCTTACCGTTTTGGTGGATGAGGAAAAATTTTCCGGTTCTGTTCGAATTGAAATCGAAATTCATCGTCCGATTCGTTATCTAATTTTACATTCAAAAGATTTGAACATTACATCATCGGCTGTATATACGAAACAACAACCACGTGTAGAAGTTTCAATTCCTTTCATCGCTAATGTTACTGGACATGACGATAATCTTTCATTATTCGATACGAAAATGACACATTTCTTGTTTCGACCAAATCAATATTGGATTATTCCATTACAGAAAATAATTCTACCTGAAACATATGTTGTTGAACTACGATTCTATGGCAAACTAAGTAAAGAATTAAGTGGTCTTTATCTTTCACAATATCAACGTTCTGAAACCGGTGAAACCGTCAAATTAGCCACGACACAATTTCAAGCTGGATATGCACGTAAAGTGTTTCCATGTTTTGATGAACCACAATTTAAGGCAACATTTGCATTACAAATTGAACATGGTGCCAATTATTCAGCCATTTCAAATATGCCCATATCATTTGTTCAACGATCATTGAATGATAAAAATATGAAAATGACAACGTTCGAACGTTCTGTAAAAATGTCCACCTATCTAGTGGCAATTGTTGTCAGTGATTTTGTATCAAAATCTAGTCCATTATTGTCAAATTTCAGTGTCTATACATATGATCGTGCGATAAATCTGGATAAAACCGATTATGCATTACGAGTTGGTCCTCAAGCATTGGAATTTTATTCGGAAAAATATTTTGAAATTGATTTTCCATTACCTAAAATGGATATGATTTCCGTTCCGGATTTTCAAATGGGAGCAATGGAAAATTGGGGTCTAGTCACGTATCGTGATATCTATGTTCTTTATGATTCAAAAGAAACGAGTACATTGTCGAAGACTAAAATTTGCCAGATAATATGTCATGAATTAGCACATATGGTAAGTGTTTTTTTAAAATCATTGAATATATTTAAAATTCAATTTAATTCCTGTTAGTGGTTTGGAAATTTGGTCACAATGAAATGGTGGGATGATCTTTGGCTAAACGAAGGATTCGCAACATTTATGGAATATAAAGCCGTAGATTATGTGGAAAAGGATTGGAATTATCATGATTTTTATGCCATAAATGAATATGCTCGTGTATATGAGTCGGATTCAATGACTAGTACTCATCCATTACAGACAAAAGTAACTGATGATAATTCGATACAAGCAGTTTTTGATTCCATCACTTATTCAAAAGTTTGTTGATTGAAATTGATTGAGATTTTTCAGGATTTTATTTTTTTGAACTTTATCTCTCTCTTTCTCTAATAGGGATCATGTATCATTCGAATGTTGGAATCAATGGTTGGTGATGAAACGTTTCGTATCGGCATTAAGAATTATATTAAAAAATTTAGCTACTCAAATACGTTAACCGGTGATCTTTGGAACGAATTGTCCAGTGTTGCTGATAGAAATTTAGATATAGAAAAAATTATGCAAACATGGTTACGAAAAGATGGTTTCCCCGTAATCACAATCACAACGAATAATAAGAATAATACGATGAAATTTGTACAGGAAAGATTTTTAAAAGATTCTCCCTATTCAACGACAACATATTTATGGTCTGTTCCGATTACATATCGTTTGATTAATCAAAAAATTCCCGATATCAGTGGAAATATTGAAAAATTCATAATGTATACAAAAGAAATGTACAAAGATGATATCGAAATTGGCGTAGATGATTTGATAAAATTTAATGTCGATCAAAAAGGTGTTTTTATTGTTAACTATCCAACGGAACAATGGAAACGATGGATTGAGACATTGAACAATAGTGAATCGGAGGTTTGGAATCAGACAAGTGCTTTAGATAGAAACAATCTATTATTGGATGCATTCTATCTCGCTCGTGCTGGTCGATTACCTTATAAACAATGTTTAAGTTTAACCGAATTTCTTCGATTGGAAAAATCCTATATGGTTTGGAAAAATGCAGCCGATATGTTAAAATTTATACGAGTTTTTATGGCTGTACAAGATCAGAGTATTGCCTACGATCAATGGGTACGAACAAAATTGATTGCCAATCATTATGATGATGTTGGATGGACGGCCAAATCAGATGATAATATGAATCAACGTCTTTTCCGTTCATTAATATTGACATTAGCTTGTGATTATGGCAATCAAGATTGTCTACAGAAAGCATCACAATTGTTCGATGAATACAGTAAAAATCCAACCGCTAATTATGATCCGGATATATTACCTGTATTTTTATATTATGCACTAAATTTCGAAGCAACAGATAAAAGATTCACTTTTCTTCAACAACGTTATGATTCGGCCAATACAACTAATGAAAAAATGACCTATCTTAAAGCAATGACAGCTACAACCAATGTGGATATGTTACAAAGATTGCTCAATAATTCATTGGATACAAATTATCTTCGTACACAAGATTTTTTCACATTTCTTGCCTATATGGCTGATAATTCAATTGGATTAGATTTAGCATGGAATTTTTATCGTGAACATTATCCAGAAATTCAACAACGATATGGAATGGATGATTCGGATGTTGGTCGTGCTGTATATCGTTTTGCGTTTCATTTTACAACAGATAAACGTCGTCAAGAAGTAATGGAATTATTTGAAAAATATCCTGAAGCCGGTGCCAGTGCACTTTATCGTCAACAAACAATGGATCTAATTGATGCTAATATTCGTTGGTCACGATCATTCTATAAAAATGTAATTGAATATGTTACCGATATTTGCGATACAAAACATTGTCCATGGAATCAATATCGATTGAATCGTTTGGTCAAACCTTTGAATTATGATTTGAATATTCAAATTGATACAGATACATTAAGATATAATGGTACCGTTAAGATAGAGGTGAATATTGATGATGAAATCGATCATATCATTGTTCATGCTGCTGATATTTTGGACGTTTCATCACCGAAAATTACACAAAAACAAACAACACAAAAACGAGAAACTGAAATCAAATCTGATTTATTGTTATCCACTGGACGTGGATTTACATATTCACCATTAGAATTCTATGTTATTCCATTGAAAATGAATACAACTAAAGGTGATAATTATATGGTGGAATTAAATTTCGATGGTAATCTATCAAAAGGTGGTCTAGTTGGCCTTTATCATGGCTGGTATGATGATAAAAATAATGGTACACGTATCAATCTAGCTGCAACACAATTCGAATCAACACATGCAAGAAAAATGTTTCCGTGTTTTGATGAACCATCATTCAAATCGAATATATCGATCACAGTGATACATCCAAAAACAATGGCACAAACATTATCAAATATGAATGCTTTATCATTCAACGATATTAATGATAAATGGATGGAAACAAAATTTGCAACGACACCACCTATGGTTACATATTTGATTGCAATTCTTGTATCAGATTTCGAATGTTCACGAATTAATAGTGTGGAACTTCGCAACCTATCGATTAGTGTATGTTCATCGCCATTATACGATCAACATCATCGTGAATATTCTTTAAGTGTAACACCGAAAATTCTAAAATTTTATGAAAATTATACAGGAATTGAATATAGTCTACCAAAATTGGATCAAATAGCATTACCACAATTTTCATCCGGTGCAATGGAAAATTGGGGTCTCGTGAAATATCGTCAGAAAAAATTATTATGGTCCGAAATGGATAATCTTTCTGAAGAGAAAAAAGATACATGCAATGTTATTGCACATGAATTGGCACATATGTGGTTCGGTGATCTCGTTACGATGAATTTTTGGGGTGATCTATGGTTAAATGAAGGTTTTGCATCATTCATGGAATGTAAAGGAATGGATTCTGTTCATCCAGAATGGAAAATTTGGGACACGTTCGTCAAAAGTTATACATATCAGGCAATTGTTGGTGATTATGATCCAATATCTCAACCAATAATACGTAAAGTGAATCAACCAAAAGATATGAAATATGTGACAAGAATCGTTTATAATAAAGGATCAACAATATTGAATATGTTTGAAAAGACAATGGGTTTGAATGCATTTCAACAATCAATTCAATCATATCTTGAATCACTGCAATATCAAACAGCAACAAGTGAAAATCTTTACGCAGCATTCGAACAAAATTGGCCATATAATGATACCCAGAATGCCAGAGATTTTATCATTTCTTGGACTGAACAAATTGGTTTTCCATATCTTAATATCACTTGTGACGTCGATGATAATGAAGTGAACAAATCCTGTCAATATGTACAAGAAAGATTCATACGAAATGGTGATCGTCCACCGAATGATCTAACTTATGTCATTCCATTCCAATATTATACATATGATGAAAAACAACAAGTAAAAGAATCAACGATTCAATTTTTAACCGAAAAAACTGGCAAATTAAACTATTTTGATAGCATCATCAAAATCAACCCAAATTTTAATGGATTCTATTTTGTTAATTATCCATCGGAAAAATGGTCAAAATTGATCAATGATTTAATCGCCAATAAAGATAACGTTGTTTCATTGTTAACGGTGAATGATCGTAGTGAATTAATAACATCATCATATTTTTTATCACGTGCTAAACTTGCACCATATTTTATTGCATTGGATATGCATAATTATCTTGTACATGAAACACATTATGTTCCTTGGACATTTCATTCAAAGTAAGTTTTTTTTGGATTTGTAAGAATGGAATTTAAAAACTTTTTTTTTTGTTTCATCTATAGATTGATTGCTAATCTTGCCTGGGAAATGGAACGTACTGAATATCGTGAATCATATCTCCATTTTGAACGACGTTTAACTCAATCACATTATAGTGGTATCGATTTTTGGAACATTGAAAATTCAACAATAATAGAACGAATGTTTCGAAAAATAATCATTCAAATTGCATGTGGTAGTGGTAATCATCAATGTTTAAAAGATGCACACGTAATGTTTGACAAATGGAAAGTTGAGAATAGCACAATTAAACCTGATCTATTTGCATCCACATTATCGTATGGTATGAAATATAGTAAAAATCCGCTAGATTATGAATTTGTTTGGCAAAGATTTTCAATAGAAAAAGATTCACACACCAACAAGACCGGTTATCTTGAAGCATTAAGTCATATATCCGACAGTAAAATTGTTCAAAAATATTTAGATCTAGCATTGAATGAATCAATCGTTTCGAATAATCATTTTGTACAATTTTTCCTCTACATTATTCAACGTTATGAACATGAACAAATGATTTGGCAATATTTTACCAACAATTATTCAATGTTATCTAGAAAATTATCCACCGATCAGATGGATATGATCATGACAAGATTTGCCGATCATACTGTTACTGAAAAACGACGATTAGATATCTGGAATTTTCTAAAAGATAAACGAACAGGAGTTTCGATGAGTGGACAAGAATCGACATTTGCTCGAATTGAATACAATTTAGCTTGGATGTCGAATAATAAGGAAAAAGTTGGTGAATGGTTTGGCCAGAATGCTTGTGGAGATCGAACACCTAAACCATGTCCGTGGGCAAAAACACGTATTGATAAAACCATTATTCAACCAAGACATTATGATCTAACCATACAAGTTAATTTAACCACAAATATCTACAATGGTAGTGTTAATATTCAAATCGAAGCTTTAAAACCATTCGAACAAATTGTTCTGCATGCAGCTCAAATGCTTCAAGTAAAATTGATATCAGTGAAAAAATCCATTAATAAGGATTCGATTCAACATGTAACAATGTTTCGATATTATCCAAAACAATTTGTTGTAATTGAATTCGATCAACAACAATCGATTGGATCGTATGAATTAACATTTAATTTTACTGCCAATCTTCTTGATGCTGGTATTTCTGGCCTATATAGATCCAACTATACGGATGGAAATAAAAATTACCGAATGGCATCAACACAATTTGAATTTTTCGATGCACGTAAAGTGTTCCCGTGTTTTGATGAACCAGCATTCAAATCAAAATTCAACGTTACAATTATTCATGATAAAGAAATGAATACAACATTATCTAATATGGAAGTGATCGATGTCAAACAGATTCCCAATACCGAATGGATACAAACAAGATTCAATGAATCATTAGATATGGTTACATATTTAGTTGCAATGGCTGTCAGTAAATTTGTTTGCAAACATTATTTGATTGAAAATAATCAGGTTACAGTTGGTGTTTGTGCATCACATCTTCAAGAACATAAATTAGATTATGCATTGGAAAAGGCACCGAAATGTTTAGAACATCTTGAACAATTACTTGGTCATCCATATCCAATGAAGAAAGTGGATTTAATTGCTATACCAGATTTTTCTTATGGTGCAATGGAAAATTGGGGTCTAATTACATTCCGTGAAACGGCATTATTATTCCATGAACAGGATACAACTTCGAAACGAAAAATGTCAATGATGAATACGATTGCACATGAATTGGCACATTTTTGGTTTGGAAATCTGGTCACATGTGAATGGTGGGATTTTATCGCATTGAATGAAGCGTTTGCAACTTATATGCAATATACAACAGTCAATGCCGTTGAACCAGATTGGAATACTTTTGATTTGTTTCTGATATCCGAATTTGAATATGGTTTATTATCGGATGCTAAAGATAGTCATCCATTAATACGTAATGTTACACGTACCGAACAAAGTGAACAATTCGATTCGAGTATAATCTATTCAAAAGGTGCTTCAATTCTACGTATGATTGAATCAGTAATGGGAAGTGATCTGTTTTATGCAGCACTTCGTAATTATCTAGCCAAACATAAATATACAAGCGTTAGACCGGAAATGTTATTGGCTGAATTCGATGAACAATTTGTATTCAATGATACTAATGAACAAACTATAAAAATGAGTGATTTTATTCATGATTGGTTCTACAGTAACGGTATTCCATACATTAATGTAACCGAATCTAGTGATGAAACCGTATATAATCTAGTTCAAGATCGATTTCTTTTGGAAGAAACTAAAAATACTACGATACCTAAATGGAAAATACCGATCAAATATTATCTTGATTCAACGTGGAAAGATATGAAAACAGAATTTATGATCAATGAAACGATGACAATCACAGCAAATAATTCGCTATCAATTCCTATCAATTTAAATGCACTTCATTCTGGTTATTATCTGGTGAATTATTCACCTAAAATTTGGCAACAATGGATCAATACATTCATGGATAAATCAAATGAAGTACCGGTGCTTGATCGAAGTGGCCTTATGATGGATGCATTCTATCTTGCACAGGCTAATCTACTTTCATATAATGTTCCATTAAATTTGGCCAAATATCTAAGGAATGAAACACATTTATCGCCATGGACAACGGCTATACGTGGATTTAGCTCAATACGACGATATATATCACATGCAAGTTTGTATGAAGGAAAATTCTGTGAATATCTTCAAAATCTTGTACAACCTGTTTATGATGAATTGGGTTGGAATGATACAATCGATGAACCGGTTACAAAACGGAGATTACGATCATCCATATTAGATTGGGCATGTTTTAACCGAATTAATGATTGTCTTGAACAAAGTGAACGATTATTTCAGGAATGGATCATTGGTAAACAGAATCAACAAATGGATAAAATTCCATCACCAAATCTATTGAGTACTGTACTTGATTATGGTATACAAAATTCTAATTCAACCGATCAATGGCTATTTGTTTGGTCACAATATTCCAATGAAACATCATCGACACTTCGTTCAATCTATATGAATGCATTAGCACAGACTAAGGATTCAAAATTATTAAAAATGTTATTAACACAAGCATTGGAAGCAAATCAAGTAATACGATCACAAGATTCATATTCCGTATTCATTGCTGTTAGTGGCTGTAATAATCGAAACAGTTTGGCATTACTATGGAAATTTTTCAAGGATAATTATCTAAAATTTATTCGAACTGGTTCACCATTACGTTTGACAAAAGTGTCATCATTATTAAGTAGTATTAGTTCCAGATATTTTTTCACCACCGAACAAAAAAATGAAATGAAACAATTTTTCGCTAAATATCCAAACATTGGTCTCACACAAAATCAACGAAATGGTATCCTAAATCAAATCGATAGCAATATCAATTGGATAGCAAATCGAATGGTTGAAGTGGAACGATTTTTATTGGTAAGTGAAATTTATTTTATTCTCAAATATCATCTGATTTATCCCTTGTTTTGTTTAAATAGTGTGGAAATGATGTTTGTCCATTCACCGAATTCCGTTTGAATTCAAATGTTATTCCCGAACATTATCGTTTATCGATAAAAGTTGATATTGATCAAGAACGATTTGAAGGAACAGTAGAAATCAATGTTAAACTAATGGAAACAATTCGTTATGTAATTTTACATGCCGCGAAATCATTGAATATAACCGAATCAAAAGTATTCAATTCTGATACGGAATTATCGATTAAACAGACATTTGCATATGAACCATATGAATTTTGGGTTATTGAAATGAAAGAATCAATCAACGTTGAAGATGAAAAACCATTGAACATTCAATTGAATTTTAGTTTCAATAGTAAACTTGGTACCGATATGACTGGATTTTATCTAAGCAAATATAATGATAATGGAAATGTAATAAAATTGGCTGCAACACAATTCCAGGATACTCATGCTCGACAAGCATTTCCATGTTTTGATGAACCATCATTTAAATCAACATTTCAGCTAACTATTGAACATCATGATAATTTCACTGCCATATCAAATACGAATTCAAAATCGATCGAAACGATTTCCAATGAAACAACAACATCGTCGTGGAAACGAACAGAATTCGAAGAAACACCAAAAATGGTCACCTATTTATTGGCATTTATAATCAGTGATTTTGAATGTAATCATGATCAAACACAATCATTGAATGGTACCGAAATCAATGTAGATATTTGTTCATCACCACCGGAAATCAATAATACAGCCTATTCATTGACAAAAGTATCGGATATAATTAGCAATTTTCAGAAAAAATTCGATTATTCATATCAATTGGAAAAAATGCATCTTGTAGCTTTACCAGATTTTAGTGCTGGTGCAATGGAAAATTGGGGCCTTTTAACTTTCCGTGAAACGGCATTATTATGGAATGAACTCATATCATCGGCTTCGGATAAAATGAGGGTTGCTTCCGTTGTTGCACATGAAATTGCTCATATGGTATTCGTATTCGTTTTTTTTATTTATTCAAATCATTGATTGATTATTATTTTTTCTCTCTTTAGTGGTTTGGAAATCTAGTCACCTGTGATTGGTGGACAGATCTATGGCTAAACGAAGCATTCGCATCATATCTAGAATGGTTTGCCGTCGATAAAGTTGAACCAGATTGGAATTATAAACAATTATTCTATATAACTGATTATATTCTCGGTATGGATGCCGATGCAAGTATTACTGCCCATCCATTATCTAGATCTTCGATTGATAAACCGGCCGAAATTTCCTATATATCACATATTACATATCAAAAGGTTCAATTTAATATTTTTTCATGTGAATCCATTGATTTTAATGATAATTTGTTTTCTCTCACTCTCACTCTCTCTCTCTCTTTCTCTTTAAAGGGTTCATCCATATTACGAATGTTTGAATATGTTTTAGGCACTGAATCATTTTATGGTCAATTACAAAAATATCTAAAAAAATATCAATATAAAACTGTTACGGCTGATCAGTTTTTAACCGAAATATCGGAAATTACAATCGATGGATTCAATGAAACAAGAAAATTCCTGGAATCATGGACATTAAAACCAGGATTTCCATATGTAAACATAACCCGAATCGATAACAGTACACGATATATCATTACACAGGAAAGATTTTTATCCAGTGGAAAATTCTCTAACAATAAGTAATGATTATGATTTCATTTAAAAGATTAAAAACTAATTATTATTTCTTTTTTTTCACAATAATTTCCATAGCGATTATTATATTATTCCACTTTCATACTATAACGATTATACTGTATCCACGGAAGCAAAAATCCAATTCATTTCGAATGGCCAACAGGAAATCGAATTGAATCAATCAAATAATAATGAATCTTTTCCATTGAAATTCAATTGTGATTCTCAAGGATTCTATATTGTTAATTATCCAATGGATGAATGGAAAAAATGGACAAAATTATTTCAAGATCAAACGACAATGTCAAAATTACATTTAACATCACAAGATTATTCACATCTTATGTATGATGCTTTTCGTTTAGCTAACGTAAATCTTTTGCCATTCGAAACAGTATTTGAATTACTTTCAATATTGAAAACAAATCAAAGGTATTCGATTTGGTCAACCGGTTCGACCATTTTTGGAAAATTATGGCCATATTTTCGTAATGTTAATTTCGATGATGGCAAATCCAATATGAATCAAATGATGCAACAAGCATATCGTTCATATGCACATGATCTTGTTCGTGATGTTTATCGAAACTACAACCTTCAAGAATCATCATCCATGCAAATAGATATGAATTCTCAACGATTACAAACAACAGTCACATCATTTGCCTGTGCATATGGTTTCGATTTATGTTTAGCCGAAGCAGAAGTAGAATTTAAAAAATGGCGTCAAGGTTATATCGATAGAATATCGCCAAACATAATCACTGTCGTACTTCGTTACGCTTTACAAGAATCAAATGATGTTGATGATTGGAATTTTGTATGGAAAAAATACAATGAAGAACAATCAACGGTAATGAAATTGAATTATCTACAGGCATTGGCTCAAACACAGAACAAACAATTGCTCACTAGGTATGTTTTTCAATTTATGATTTCTTGTTTGGATATTTTGATTTTTTTTGTGAATCATATTTTCGATTCATAGACTAATGAATTATGGTATGGAACAAAATTATATTCGTCGTCAAGATTATCTTGGTCTTTACACGTATATATTACGGACACCTGTTGGTTTTAAAATTGGATGGCAATATTTTCAACAAAATTATCGCCAAATTCTCGCCCAACGATTATCATCATCAAATATGGGACGATTAGCAACATATTTTGCTCGTTATATTTATACGGAAAAACAATTGAATGAATTTCAACAATTTTTCATTAGACATCGTGATACAGGTGTTTCCGATGTAAATCTAAATAAATCATTGGAAACAATACAGACAAACATTGTTTGGGCTAAAAATTATCGTATGAAAATATTCGAATGGCTGAGAAATCGACAATAAATTTTGAACAAAATCATGTATGATCGACGACGACATATCGAATGTTTATTATGAATTTTTTTTTTTTTTTTTTTTTGATTGAAAAAAACAATAATTTTTCTTTTTAATATAATATAATAAATCGTGAATATTTATTCTCATGACATTTTTTCAATTTGCAACAATATTGCACCCATTTTCCGAAAATTTTCTCATTCCGGTTATTACAAACAGTCTGACAATGGGACAAAATTAGAATGTATCTCGTACATACACACACACACACACACATTATCACGAGGTAATAATTTTTTCTCCCTTGAATATTTTTGTTATTATTGACAGAAAAAAAATAATTGTGATTCAAACATTTTGATCAATAATAATAATATTAACATTTTGTTTGTGAGTAAAATTATTAGCTTTAGAACATGTGATTAGATTTTTTCTCATTCATTCATCGATTCATTAATTTTTTTTATCATCATTTTCAATAAATTCTTCAAGTTTTGATAATCAACAAGAACAACCATGATCAAATGGTTGAAATTGAAGATTTTCATAATGATTACGTTCTTATTATTATTCTTATTGATAATAAATGTTAATGTAAATTTTTGTTTACCATCAAACAATGTTCAACCATTTTCGGGGGAATCAAATTTATGGAATTATCTACAAAAATTTAAATATTTTTCATCGTCATCACAAAAAACGACAATAATTTTGATTGAAAATCTACATTCCTTACGTTCAACATTGATTATTCGCAAACATCTGTATGAAATGGATTGTCCATTTGATCTTTATTCGAATATTACCATACAAGAACTGAGTTCAAATTTATCGTATCGAAAAAAACCAGAAAATCGTTATCGAAATGTTCTGGTGATATTTGATATATCATTTATTCACAACAAAGATGATAATTTGGATAATAATGAATTATGGTTAAAATTCACTTTTCTTATGCAATCATTACAAATAATTTATATAAAATGTTTAACTTGTATGCCATTTTTATTCATAATTTTCACACAATCACATGGTCATCATGAAAAATTTACAAACATTTTGAATCGATTATTGATCCGATTACTACCATCAGCCGATAAAAGATTTCGAATCACTACTGTTGTTGTAACCAATTCGAATGGAACGGATATCACCACCCCCACCACTGCAATACATTTGAGGCCAATTTTTGATGGTTGTAGATTATTCAATGGTGTGTTCATGCCACGAACCAGGCCTGATTTTGAAAAAATGAACATCTCATCATCATGGAAATGTGATCTTAATCAAACAATGTTGTCTGCTGCCATCAATAATGTAAGCAATTGTAATTAAATTTTAATATCTATTTTGTCATAAATAAAATAATGATTCTTATTATTATTCTGAAAAAAAGTTTACCCCACATTGTAATTTCGATACATTCATATTGGAATCACATTCGATTGATTATAAAATGATGGAATTATTATCGGAAAAAATAAATTTTCGTTATACACTCATCGATTCTGAACAGAATTGGGGCTATCGTATTGGTCCGAATCGATCATGGAGTGGTTCGGTGGGTCATCTACTTAATGGTTCAGCTGATCTAGCCATGTGTGGTATGTCGATGAATATTGATCGATCAAGAGTTGTTGATTTTACTCATTTCACTGTAATTGATGAATTGACATTCATAACGCCGTTTCCAATGGATGAACAACAAGAATTTATTTTTCTTCAACCACTCGAAATAAAAGTTTGGTTTGCAATTTTAGTTTCATTCTTGATCATTTTGATGTCACTTTATTTTATTTCAAAATCACTGATGATTAATGATCAACGACCATCATCATCGTCGATGATTGCAATGAATTTATATGCCATATTTTTAAGTAAAAGTATAACAACATTCACGATTCCACGATTATTCAAGATTCGAATCCTTTATCTATCGTTTATGTTAGCAATGGTTGTCCTAACACCTACATATTGTGGTTCATATTATTCATTTTTAACCATCGTACAATATCAGAAACCGATTGAAACAATCGATCAATTAATTCAAATTGCTCAAAGTGATAGTCATAATATAATAACATTACAATTTAGCTCATATCTAGAATTATTTATTGATGCTGATCCTGATTCCGGTACGACGTACACAATTGGTCAACATATGAATCGGTAATTAATGGTGATGCTAATAATAAATTGAATTTTGACATGATTTTTTTTTTCTTCTCATACACAGAAGCCATTCAACAATGGCAACAAATATTGAACGAGGAATTCAAATTGTACAAAATACTACTAATGATAAACGTTTCATTTATATTGATTCAAAAATGTCATTGGAAATTTCAAGAAAATTATTTGCTGAAATACCATTATATATTAGTGAAGATTCATTTGGATCAAATTTAATTGCATTCGCATTTTCCAAACAATCACCATTATTTCGTTCATTTGATTTTTAGTCAGTAATTATTTCTGTTTATTTGGAATGAATTTATAGGAAACAAAATTAAAAATTGTCTTTTCTATTTTCTGTGTATATTTATAGCATAAAAATTGCATATGAAGCCGGATTACATGAACATTGGTACAGGCAAATGTTTCGCTATTTTCCAGCTCAAAATCAACAAGCCGATGATTTTATTCTATCTTATGGTAGTGGTAAGAATCGTGAATTATCATTAATCGCAGATGGACTACAATTTAATGATTTACAATTAACATTTGCGCTATGGACGATCGGATTATTTGGTTCATCAATGAGTATGATTGGCGAATTCTTATATCGGAAATGGTTTATTTATATTATCTTTCCAATGACCGATATCGGAAATTTGTAATGCCATTATGAAGAAAATTAATGAAAAAAAAGAAACTACTTATGTACATTGTAGCGTATTCATATATCTTTCCTGTTGGCAATCAGATTAGAATTTTCATGAGAAAGTTGACACATGAATCATTATTATTTTTTGTATTTTGTACTGAATTTCTTTACTATAATTATAATTATATGTCTGTTGAGATTTTTTTTTCGCTACCAATTTTTTTTTTATTTTCTTTGAATGTCAATAATAATTTTAATTGATTCGGAAAAATAATTGTTTTGGTGACTGTCTTCATGTGTAATAATATTTTAGTTATTATTATTCTGAAATCGGTATATATTTTAAGAACATCATTATTGTATACATTTACATATAACGAAATGATCAAAATTTTAATTCATTTATCATTATTCATTTTAAAAATTATCATTATTGAAACAGTGAAAAATTCTGTTCTACACTTTCCAGGTGATCAAAGTCTATGGTATTATCTACAACGAATATGTAGTGAAGATTCATTGAAATTTCAAAAAATGAAAATTATTTTAATTAAAAATGTTCATCATACAATCGATAATCGTGTCAAGAATCGATTGAATGATTTTGATTGTCCATTCGATTTGTACGTAAATGAATCGTCAGATAAACTTGATTCAAATGTTTTTCAACAAGGACAAAAATCAGAATATCGTGATCGTAATTTATTGATAATTTTTAATTTATCTTATTCCATTCATAAGAAAGAAATTCAATCATATCTGCAGAGTTTAATAAAAGTTTTACAAATATTATACAATGAATGTTATAGCTGTCAACCATATATGCTCGCTTTTATAACGGCCAATAGCAATTTTAATCTGACTCACTGTTTGTATAAATCATTATCTGAATTAATCTGGAAATTGGACCGGAATTTTCGTCTAATAGTTATCGCTGGCAACGATTCGAAAAGCATGACTACAACCATTCATTTACGACCAATTTTTGATGGGTGTCGAATGACAAATTCTGTGTACATACCAAAAACTGACGAAGATTTTGAAAAAATTAAAACATCCTATTTGAAATGTAATCTTAAACAACAACGATTGAAAGTTGTTGTCAATGATGTAAGTTAAAAAAATCAATTGATTCACAATAATTATCGATGATTTTCTTTATTTGTTTCTATAGTTTAATCCACTTTGTTATGTAATTAGATTTCCTAATCTTCAATTGATGCCCTATTCATTGGATCGATATTTTATTGATCTTATATCAACGAAAATGAACTTTACCTATGATCTTATTGATGGTGAACAGAATTGGGGTCAACTTATCGGTCCAGATATATGGAAAGGATCTATTGGTCATATTTTTAATGGTACTGCCGATATTGGTATCTGCGGAATTTCGATTTCCTACCCAAGAGCACTAGCGATTCATTTTACATCGATTATAACAACTGATGAATTAGGATTTATATCTCAATCTCCAGCGGAAAAAACTCAATTATGGCTTTTTATGAAGCCTTTTTCAGTGTTATTATGGTTAATAATCTTGATATCATTTTTTGCCATTTTACTAACACTTTATTTGACAACAAAATTTTTGGATTATACTCACGATTATGGCAAAGTGCCTTCATTTGCATCAATGTCAATGAATCTTTATGCCATATTATTGAGCAAAAGTATCGATACAGATACTCGTGAGCATTATCAAATCAGAATCATTTATTTGCTCTTCATTTTAGCCATGATTGTTTTATCACCCGCTTACTGTGCCTCATTCTATTCATTATTGACAATTCCTAAATATCAAAAACCAATCGATACAATCGGTGATCTATTACAAGCAGCTCAAATGGGCTTTTACAAAATTATTACTGTACCACATGGTGCATATTATGATACATTTGTCAATTCACCAAGTGCTCTAACAACTTTACATATTATTGGTCAACATTTAAATCGGTTTGTTTCATCTATAATTTGATTAATTTTTATTTAATTTATAATTATCTTTTTTATAGAAGCAATGAAAAAATGGTAGACAATGTTGTGAATGGTATCGATATTGTTCAGAATGATCCTGAAGGTCGTTACATTTATATTAATTCCAAATTAATTTTGATATTTTTATCGAAATTGATGGCCAAAAAACCATTACATGTTGGTCATGGTTCATTTGGTGCTGATTTTTTAGCCGTAGCGCTTGCTCGACATTCACCATTGAGCAATGTGATTGATCTTTAGTATGTGTAATATAATTTTTATATTCATTCATTTTTATATATCGAGATCATTTGATATTTTTTTTTAGTATACAACTTACATATGAATCTGGTTTTGCCTATATTTGGTTTGCTAATATCTCAAGAAAGTTATCACATGGTCAATATCAATCCATGTTTCAATCACTTTTATCTCCATCATCCTCATCATCACCATCATCATCTTCAACAGTGGTTCATGATGGTGTACAACTAATGCATGTATTTTCAATATTCTTATTGTGGACCTTTGGTATCATTTGCTCTGTTCTTGTTTTTTCTGCCGAAATTCTTTATGAAAAATTATTTAAACTTCCTCATTTTTGAACAATAGAAAGGAATCAAAATTATTCTCATGGATTTCGTATCATCTATCAAAATTAACGTTGACAATTTTCCTATGAATTGTATTACAGATAATTGTATGTTTGTAATTTTTTTAATTTGATTTGCATTTTTTTAAATGATAGTTTAAATCAATAGTTTTTAGTGAAAAAAAAATATTGAAAACATTGTAGAGTAATGAATTCTTGTTATATTTATATAGCATTCATCCATTTACCCGAGAATATTATCGTAATGATGAAACAATGCCATATATACATGTACCCGACGACCGGATCGGTTTCGAATAACCGAATCAGTATACTCTGTTCATGCATACAATCGTGATGTCATCGGTTTCCGAATGTATGTATGTGTGTTTGTATCATATATTGTGTGTGGGGGCATCCCTTATATTGTCTTTATCAAAAATGGCATGGATTTGTTGAAATTCTCATTATTCTCAATTCCAATCTTTCCACATGTACAGTGTTGTTGCTTATTTTTTTTCCTTTCGTTCCATCGTTTCATCATATCCGATGTAATGGAATGATCATTTGGCCCTAAATTTATCGGTGGCCGGATAGTTGAGAGAGAAAAAACGTGGATCATCATAACGATAAAAAAGAAAAAAACCGGCAGTATATATCTATATAATGTTAAGTTCCATGATGTAGAAACAGACACACACACACACACACACACACACTTATATATAAGCACAGAATTCCATGATTCCACCGTTATATGTGACATGTCATCATCGTCATCGTGGACGAAACGCAATAATACTGAAACATAAATGGCTGCCATGTATGTAATGTAATTTGAAGTAGCAATGTAAAAGAAGAAACGGGGAAAACGATTCTCACATTTTAGTGAGCTCACACATATATTCTATGTAATAAATAAATATTCTTTTACAATGATACCAACAACAAACAAACAAATATTTCTTCAGGAACCGTTACTACTTCTTCCATTTTTGTAATGTTATTTATTGTTGTTGCTGTTTTTGCCTCATCCTACGAATGAAATGTCATTGTCATTGCCGTAATCATGTTTTTCGATTGATTCAACCATATATCGATCAATTGATTGATTCTTTGAATGATGATAATGGTATATATAAATTTTGAACAATTGATTTTTACTACCATTGATTGATATTGTTGTTTGTTTTCTGTTTTAGATTAATTTACGAATAAATTTAATTCAATTTTTCTAATTCAAATTTGCAAATATATATCATGTATGTATTAGAATGAAATTTCGAATGAAAATCAAAAGAAAAATTCTGTCACTTACCTTATCGAAATTAATACGACAACCACCACAATGAAACAAAATTCCAATACGATTACGACAAATTTATTAGATTCAAATATTCAACAACAACGCTATCGTCCATATCTGATGAACGACAAAAGAATGATGTTATCATCACGAATATCATCGAATAATCGTCACCGAGGAAATTATTCCAGTGCCCAACGCTCATCATCATCGATTAGAATGGCAACGAATACAACAACAAATTTAATGGCCATAAATCAACAACAACAACAACAATTTAATCAAACAAATTTTGTCCAAAATAATAATAACAAACAACCACAACAACAACAACAACAACAAATCATACGAACAAATCGTCAACAAAGACGACAAACCCAGCAAATGCCCACCACCACCATCAACACATCATCAACTGGTTATCAACAACGACATTTGAATCGACAGACAAAATTTCATGTACAGAATAATCTTGTCAACATTTTTCAAACATATTGTTCAGAAGTGAAAGAATTAAAAGACTTTTTCGAAATGAAATTTGCCAAACTACACTCAATGGAAACAAAGATTAATAATCTTCTGCAATTCATCATTGATGATGATGATGATGATGATGGATCGATTGATGGTAATGGTGAAATGAATAATGATGAAACAATAATTACGGATTTTGATAAAGATATTTTAGATCTTGATGAACACGCACAAACAATAACAATGAATGGTGATAATCAAATCTATTGTATCGATAATGATGATTCAATGTATAATGTAACAACGTTTCATCGTCATAATCAAAAAGATCAATCAACTATAATAGGTATTAATAATCATCGAAAAATTATTAATCAAAATGATAATGATGATGGTGAACAGAATATTTCAAATAATAATAATATGTTTGAACCGATAATCGACATACAAATCAAAGATGATGACGATGATGATGAATCTAATCATCAAGAACAATCGATTGTTTCAATAATAGATAATGGATCTACGATTCATTCGTCTACATCTCATTCCACAATATCAACACCGGTATCTGTGCCAATAACAATAAAAACGATTCCATATCAAAAAAGTGACACGAATTCGTTGACAATATTAACATCACCTACATCATCATCATTAAATCAACGGCAATCAATGATGGTAAATAATTTGGAACCAAGTGATAGTGGGGAAAACAGCACTACAACAACAACAACAACAACAAGGACGACGGCTTTATCAACACCAGCCACAACGTCGTCATCATCATCAAGAAAAATAACTCATAATGTACATTCGAAAAATGAATTTATGCAAATGATTGAACGATTTAAAGAAGAAAAAACATTGATACGTGAACGTATATCATCGAATGTATTCATGTTACGACGATCACCGGATAATTCTATTGTTGGTTATCAATGTTCAATCGATGATTGTACATATATGCATTTTCTACGAGCACAGGTTAATCGCCATTTCAAGAATTTTCATTCCAAAACATGTTATCATTGTAATCAACGTTTTAAGAAACCATATGAATTATCATTACATTTGAAAGAATTAGAAATGGATCCAAATCACGTACGATATTCACAACAGTTGACATCAATATCATCGCAGGCGCCATCATCATCTTCTTCATTATTAACATCAGCTGATGAGACAATGGAAAATATTTCTGGATACGAAACTTCGGATTCTATTCCAATTCAACCAATAACAACAACGACAACAACAACGGAAAGGATAACAGAACTTTAGGAAATTGCCATAGAATGATTTTGCGAATGATTTATGATGATAAATTGTTGTTTTTATTATGATGATGAAAATAATAAGCAAAATTATGTTAAAAATTATAATTATTTCGATCATAGAATCATGAATATTAAAAAAATGTTAATTGTTGGTGAACACTAGATGGCGGTAGTAACAACTTTTTAAAAGAATCGGTATTTCGAAATCGGTTCTTCACAAATGGTTACCACATGATTTTTTTTCAAAATCGATCGATTGACAATACAAGAGCATTGAATTGATTATTTGTGGTTGAAAAATGATTTTTTATTCGTTTGATTCATTGCTGATGGAAAAAAAATAGAAAAAATTGATTTTTTTTTTTAATTTTTTCTCAATTTTATTCCTGTGTACCTGGAGAATACTGACGGAAATCAGATTTCATTTTAAAAAATATTTTTAGTGCAGAACTATGATGTCATTTCAATCATTTTATTCGCATTCATATTTTTCGTGACTTTCAACATTCATCAAATGAATGAATAAATGTATGAATAGGGAAATATAACGTAATAAGCGATAAGAGAGTAGTAAGTTGAGAGTAAAAGAGAGAGAAAAAAAAATCAATATTTAATACAAATGGTGAATTGATCTGAAAAACTTTTCTTTTTGCAAAAATAATAATGATCATCATGCTCATGATAAATGAATTCCAGCAATATGGTTTTTTTTGTATATATATAAAAAAAATATTCTAAATTCAATTCCATTTTCAAAATTGTAAAACGAAAAAAATAGCTTAATTATATCATTCATTCGCTGATTTTTATTTTTTTATTTTGCCTCTTGATTTATATGGGACGATTGAAATTGAATTGAAATTTTCCGATTTTCACTGATTTTAGTGAATAAAAAAACATGTTTGAAACAATAAAATCCTGTTTGTTAACAATTATTAATAATGATGATAAAAATTTTGATATTTATCGAATCTATTTTAAACATCTATATGCCATTACTAATGATCATGATCAACGATATCGTCGACGTTATCAAATGATGATAATTTTGATGATAATATTAGATTTACGTTTCATCTATCTAATGGCCAATAGTAATAAAGATATTGATTGGCATCTAATCCATTTAAATATTGTCATCGTTGAACATGTTGATCAAACAGTGAACATTTGGTTGGCAACATTTTTCGCCATGATCATATATTTCATTAAGATACTTTATTTTCGTAACAATACGATGGCAACAAATTTAATACAATCAATTCTTGTGCATGGGAAATCAAAATTTTTTCATAATAATAATATCGATTGGAATGATGATGACGATGATGATGATGATCAATCAAAAATTCCTGAATATTATGTATATCGTATACGAAAATGGGCAATTATTTATCGAAAAGTATTTATAATCTTTTATTTTTTACTTGTAAGTAATTTCTTTGATCTGATTGAATCTAATATTAACTAATTATTTATTGATTCTTAACTACAGATGTATATCTATTTGTTTATGAAATAAAATCATTATATTATCTAATATTTCGATTCAATTGTTTCACTTCAATAGATGGTTTTTTATCGATACTATTTCAATGTTTTCTATTCATTTATATGATAATGGTTGTAATAAAAATATTGATACCTGTCTATTGGTTGGTACATTTCAAGTGGTAATCACAATTGCATTGTTCACGAAATTAAAACAAATTATACGATTATCATCAAAAGAAAATTATTATCACGAAAATTATTCAAAATAAGACAAATGAATATTGAAATATTACAGATGACCAATAGTACTGATCATACTTATGGTGTTATGATGTTTCTGTTTTTATTGGTAAATTATCCAACAAATGCCTATCTGGTTATGATATTGATTAAAAAACAAATGTCAATATTGAATAATATTATATTCATAACAATAATATCATATCAATTATCATTTATATTTATATTTCATTTGATCACTACACAATATGTTCATCAACTTCATCGGCCAGCTAAATATGTCATTAGAAATTATCTAAATCCATCATTATTATTGATTAGCCTAAATAATCGTATGAAAGTATCGTTTTGGATTGAAAATTTTCATACAAAAAAAATGTATGGCATTACGTATGGCGGTATCGAAGTGATTACATTGAAAACATTTTTCAAGGTATTTTTTTATGAAATGTGAAAAAAATCATATTTTAAATGAAATCATTTCTATTTTTGCTTTATTTCTTTGTCTTTTTGCTAAAATCAAAAAAAAAAACAGTTTCTCATGTTTTATGCGAAATTCATGATGATATCATACAAATTAATTGCTTTACGTCAATGAACAAAAATTTTTTTCCAGAATCACACAACGTCTAACATTCGATTCATGGTGATGATGATGATGATGATGAACAAGAATTTTTATGTGAAATTTCAATCAATTTTATTCTTGTACATTTTTTTCTACCATTTATGTGATGATAATTTTTTGAACAATGAATATGTTAGAGAAAACGATAGACGATGTCTCATGTTTGAACTATGTCATTTAGCATCTATGATTGAACCTTAATCATTTTAGATTGAACATGCTTATAAAAACGCATACACCAATTGTAATTAGAGGCAGATGTACATAGTGACACATACACTCTCATTCGTTACACACATTTCTGGCTACACACATTATTATTATTATGATTATGATATTTACATTGTTTCTTTTATCCACATCCATCTTTTCTTGTTCTGTTTAATAAACTAAAATCTCAAACAGGTTATGGGTCCACATGCTTAACGCTGTGATATATCCAGATTTATTTTATTTTTGTGATATCAATTTTGAATTTCATCATTTTTAAAATCTGCGATATATGAAAAATGGATTTGTGCTTAAGAAAGAAAGCCAAACGTTTTGCTCAATCATCATCATCCCGCATCACCAATACTTCATCAATGAAGAATCAATCTAATGGTACATCGATGGTGTTTGCGAAGAAGACAAAAGTCTTAAGCCCGAAAAGGCGTTTTCAACAGGTTCGTCAAATCGTAAATCGATTCGTAAATTGCAAAAGCGGCATGAACGACGAACAACAACGGTACGATGATGAAAAGAAACTAAAAGACCGAAAAGTTTCTCTGATTGCAGCAGTGTCAACGATTGAGTCACCTGATCTGTCAATACCACCAACGCCAAAATTTTATGCTGGATATGGTACAAGTAATCACATGGTGAACGACCAAAATCTATTGATTAATCAGCGTCGTACTGAACAATCAATTCAATCAATGAATGGATCTGTTCGAAATACCATCATCGGCGATCTTCCTTGTGAAGTTTTCAATGGCAAACAGTGGATCAAAAGTGTAATTAGCGATGTATTGTTCATCCCAGATCAACCATTTAATGTCATTTCAATCGGTCAACTTTGCCGCGAGAAGGGTTTTAATGGCGAAACTGACAGTGAAGGCATGATCCTTTACCGCCATAATCAACCAATAATGATAGCCGAATGGAGCAATCAATATGTCAACATGTTTGAGCTTCGTTTACGTGTCGAGCAAAATACAGCGCCACAAACTATTGCTTCTAATCAAAATGAATACGTTTCAAAACAAATGTGTGCTGCTGAATCATCACCAGATACCATCACCTCAACTATTGAATCAGAGGTTGATGAAGTTGGCCGCAATATCGTCGATGAATCTATTATTTCTTGTTTACCTGGTATTTCCAGAAGGGTTGCTGATGATCAACAGCTTCCAAACCGACATATTGGCATCTATGAATCAAATTTTAACGGTGATACGACACAATTTCCATCCGAAAAGATGATGAACATCGGCGTAAACAACAAAATTCCCTTCTTTGGTTTTAAACGAATCGTGAACGAACATTATGTTCTTACCGGCAACAATGATATTTTATCCTGGACAAGTGTTTCCAGAGAAGCCGAGATTTTATTGAAAAGTTTTGGATCATTTCCTATTGATGTTTTTAAATCATCATTTTCAAATCGTGGTATTTTTAATGGAATCGGCCATATTATCGATCCGCCACGTAATTTTTATGATTTCAATTATCATTATATCAACATGCAGCATATTGCTCATAGTGTCATGGCTTACCATCAGTCTGGTTCGAAACGAACTGAATCTGATGATGTTTATCGAATCAACGATTTGCCTCTATTGATTAAATCGGATGAAATTTTGTACAATTGTCAGATGAAGATGTACCGTATTGGCTATGATATTCCCGATCTCAAATATAAATTTTCTCGTATTGTTACCAAAATTGAATCGGATGACAATTTTCTTTTGAATTATCAGCCTATTTTCAAATGTTTAATTCCTGACAAATATCCCGATTTGAATCGTTTATCAATTTTTAACAAAAGTGAATCGAATTTTCATTTCGTCAATCATCAGATGTTTTCCCATTCTTTTCCTGATGAATTTTCTGTATTTAATTATTCACTTTGGCATCATCTGATTCGAAGCTCTTTTATTGGGCACATTATTTATGAATATCATCTTGGCCAACACTCAATCTTTTCTGGCTTTATTGTCATCATATTTTATACCCCCAAAATACCTCAAAATTTGATTTTCATTTCTTATTTTTGCCGATTATCTGGCCAAACGATAAATGGTACGGGGATGATGCTGTATCGACACGATAAGCCGAGTTATTTGCTGACTGATCACGTTGTTAAATCATTGAAAATTTTTATCGATCATGTCACAGCTGATTTTATTGATATTGGTTCACGTGCTCCTTATCGATTGAGCAAACATTTTATTTTATATCAACAGGAACCATATCGTAAGTTTTTACCTGAAACAATTTCTTGTCTCGTTACAGACGACATCAATGGACGATCATTTTATGGAAATTCATTTCTGGTCGCAATTTTTGATTATTCTGTTTTTATGGAAAATTCACCTATTTTATCGTATGATTTTGAACGTATCGTAAATGCCTCCATAGTCGATGACTATGATGTTTCATCTATCCGGACAGACCATCGATCTGTGATATTTGCCAAGGATGCTGTTTTGTGTCTGGCACGGCATGGCATAAAATCTGGTTTTATTTCTTCTGAATTGCCATTGCAACATGGTCTCATGGATTTATGGATACGGAAAATTGCGAACCAACCAATATTGTTATTATCGTCAAAATTGTTTGCTCTTCATGGTATAAAAATCAACAATCATATGATCATTTCAAATTATTATTTTTCTATCGAGCAAAATTTTGGACGACGAATTTATTTAACATATTTCCATATTTTCACATTTATTGAATATTCCACGAACAATCGTGATGAAAACATTGTTAAATTAGTGAAAATCAAGTTTCGAATGATCGGATATTTTATCGAAAATTTTTCATGTTATCGTTATTATCGACGCATTGAGCTATCCGATCTTATCACTATTTATGAAAAAGTCTCATGGAAGTCGTCACATCAATCGTATTTAAAGAAATTTACCGATTTTACAGCTATCAATGCTCTTCATCGTTTTAAGGTAAATATTCCCGAAATCAATGTCGATAATGGTGGAAGAAACAACGTAAAGATTATCACCATCGATTCCGGTGGAAGCGTTTTGAATTTTCTCGACACAAATTGTGGTGGAAGCAGCATATCTTTAATTTTCGAAAAGTTTTCTGGTACTGGCAATTTGATCATTGCTCAAATTATTTATGAACAGTCTTATAGACGTTTACCAGCAGCTGCTAAGTTTTTCCGTAGACAAAACGACATATTTTTAGCATCATTTGAAAGAAGTCTACTGACCACCGATCATGTATTGTCAAATTATTCACCATTACTATTCGACATAGCTGGTAAAATCGCAAAACCAAGATTGGTTGACCCACCACCAAATGAAATTATTGTATCACGTAAACGGGTTAACTTGAAGATTCGATTGTATCGAACCATACGATTTGATGATTTGATCATATCTCAAATTTTTAAATTAATTATCGTTTTTATCGTCTTTAATTATTTCGTAAAATATTTATTTGATCCTTTAGACGAAACCTTTTATTGGTTGAATTTAACCTACGAAGTAGATTTACGTTTGTATTTAGTTTTATTTGATCATATCGTATCTGTCCTACAAACATTGAACAAACCAAAATGGTACAATTTTATCTCTTATTTGGACGTATTGATCAATTTCTACAAATCTACTTCGATTGGACGAAACCGATTACAAAATAACTTGGATTTTGAAAATATCCGTATTAAGTTATATTTATTGTTCATCAAGCGATTGATATTCGCACGCATCGTTTTACTCGCTCATTTTCTGCTCAACACATTGGTCAATATCAAAACGGTAAAACGATTATATCGATATTTTGATTGGATTTCAATCGAACTTCTGGATTTATTATCGATGGATTACTTGGTATCATTGAAGCCCATTTCCATGGCATTTAAATTATTGGTCCTTTCATTTGTGGACATATTCATTCATCATATCCATCGTTACAACATTCAATTTGTTTTTGATCACATCTTTATTTCCAGAAGCTGCATGACCATTCGTCAATCGGGTGGAAGTGTTAGAGAAAACGATAGACGATGTCTCATGTTTGAACTATGTCATTTAACATCTATGATTGAACCTTAATCATTTTAGATTGAACATGCTTATAAAAACGCATACACCAATTGTAATTAGAGGCAGATGTACATAGTGACACATACACTCTCATTCGTTACACACATTTCTGGCTACACACATTATTATTATTATGATTATGATATTTACATTGTTTCTTTTATCCACATCCATCTTTTCTTGTTCTGTTTAATAAACTAAAATCTCAAACAGAATAATTCTATATTCTATGATTATAATGATGATGATAATAATAATGATATTTTTTTCTTTTGAATCACACACTGTTAACAAATCATTGATTTTATGATTAACAGTCAATATATGTGTGTGTGTGTGTGTTATATTAAAAAAAAAATTTTTGAATAATTTTCTCAGCACTCTCCACAATTGAATCAAATTAATAATATAATTTCGGATGAATTCATTGATTTTTTTTTGGCATTCTGTTCATCCATTGAAATCATTAACATTTACTTGGTGACTAGTTTTTTCTGCGAAGAAAATTTGTTGATCGATGATTGCATAATTGAAAGAATTTCGATGAAATGAAGCCTAGGCTGACAAGAAAACGAAAACAGAAAAAAACGAACCTTGATAAAAATTAATGATCAGGTTATACGGTTATTTTTTTCGTTTTGTTTTCTGTAATTTTTTTTTAAGAAAACAGAAAATATTTTGCAAAAATAATTTATTTAATTAATTTTCACTTATCGATCAATTTATATGCAATCATCATGAATTTAGCATAGAATGTGATGAACTAAACGGAAAAAAATTAATTGAAAATAGAACAGAGAGAATAAAAAGAAATTGAAAATAAATTTTTTTTTTTTTAAAAATACTTACACGAACAAATGAATTCATTGTAATTAGATTTGTCCGACCATATGTAAGACCATAACAACGTTTTGTATGAAATTTTTCAAACCAATGTGATAATTGTAAACGATCACGAATATTTACCATTTTACTATTACTCCCATGATGATGATTATTATTATTCGGTTGTGTTAATGAATAATAATGATTAATAAAATATTTGGATGGATAATGTATATTTTGACCAAAACGTATAGCAGTATAATGGAATAGAAAAATGAATGACCATTGATATATGGACATTGATAGAAATAATAATTGTTCAGTGAATGGTATTGATTTGATTGTAATTATCATTGTTACATATGCATTCATTGGACCATTTACTAATATTATTAGAAACATTAAAACAGCATATGTACGATCAACACTTTCCGTTAATATTAGTAGCTGTATAGTACGATTACGTATTTTACATATGAGTTTTATATCAAAATTTATCGATTCATAATTTTTTTTCATCCATCTTGTTTTAATCTGTTTAAATTTTATAGATAAAATCATTGTAATCGAGACGAATAATGCACTGAAAAAAAATGTAATATCCAAAAATATTCGACTACCAATAATGACAAATATTAGATGAATGAATCCGATCAGAATATTGATGATACCAGAAATGGAAGAAAAATATCCATGATTCAAAAAAAATATGATGTTTTGTACTTCATAAATTATAACCAAAAAATCTTTCAAATAATAGCATATTTGGAATGCGCAATTATTATTCATTAATTACAATTCAATATGAAAACCAATCAACTTACATGAAATAATATAAGTCATTTGAAATATTTGTTGATAAATCCGTATCCATAAACGTATATGCCGTACATATATTAATCGTTGATCTTGATTATTATAATTTTCAATAGAATAATCCACATTTTTATCATTAATATTTTTCATTTGTTTTTGTATTGTAATTGATAAAGATTTTTCTTGTATAAAAAATCTTGGATCACCATCAATCAATACACGATGAATTAATTGTGTTGCATGTGTATGATTACCAAAATATATTAGGAGGTAAGAAAAATACTGTCGTTTTTTTTATATGACTTTTTGGAATGACTGTCCCAAAAATTTGGCAAAGGTTTTGACATCATGTATGACCTCGATTTATTCTTTATTGATCAGGCTTTAATTTAAAAATAAATTCTTTCCAACTTTGGCTACCGGAAGTGCTAGCCAGCCTCTGGAATTCGACCCATTAAAAATCAAAATTTTAGCCATTTTGATTTTTTGCTCGTGGTGACCCCGAAGAAAGAGGTAATGGTCATCTGACCACTCAATGAAAATTCCACATGTCCTGGGAGTTGAAAAAAATTATAAGCGTAATTCTTCCGCAACTCATTTTTTCTCAAGAGCGGATCAAAATCCGGTCGGCCGCTATCAGCCGCTGTGTTATTCCGCCATAGGAAAAATATGCTTCAAAATGAAATTTTTGAAAAATTTTCATTAATTATTACACAAAAGGTTTTCGGCTAACCAAAAAGTCAATAAAAAATTCCGGTTGACAAAAAATTCCAAATTCTTGAAAATCGCATAACCGACCATGCAATGCATGTTCTGTCAGCCACTCTGTCAATGGCATAAATGTTCTGTTGGCGATTTCATAAACTGCATACAATATGAACTTTTCAAAAACGTTAAATTCATTCCCATTACATTATATCGCATGAACCGGAAAAGGAAATCAACACAGCTTACGAAAACGCTGTGAGTACCCGTACTGTTCAACGGTGGTTTCAGCGATTTCAAGAGGGCGACTTTAACCTGGAGGATCGACCGAGGTCTGGCCGACCTCAACAGATTGATGACGATAAATTGCTGGAATTGGTGGAAACAAACCCGATGTACACCACCAGTCAATTGGCGGAAATTCTTAATTGTTCCCGTTTATGAATTCGTATTGTTTTGGTACCATGAATGTCGATATGCAACAGATTCAACATTGATTGAGTGATTGCCAATGGTATTGCCCATTAACAAATTCAATGGGCAATGCCATTGACAGAGTGGCTGACAGCACATGCATTGCATGGTCGGTTATGCGATTTTCAAGAATTTGGAATTTTTTGTCAACCGGAATTTTTTATTGACTTTTTGGTTGGCCGAAAACCTTTTGTGCAATAATTAATGAAAATTTTTCAAAAATTTCATTTTGAAGCATATTTTTCCTATGGCGGAATAACACAGTGGCTGATAGCGACCGGCCGGATTTTGACCCGCCCTTGAGAAAAAATGAGTTGCGGAAGAATTACGCTTATAATTTTTTTCAACTCCCAGGACATGTGGAATTTTCATTGAGTGGTCAGATGACCATTACCTCTTTCTTCGGGGTCACCACGAGCAAAAAATCAAAATGGCTAAAATTTTGATTTTTAATGGGTCGAATTCCAGAGGCTGGCTAGCACTTCCGGTAGCCAAAGTTGGAAAGAATTTATTTTTAAATTAAAGCCTGATCAATAAAGAATAAATCGAGGTCATACATGATGTCAAAACCTTTGCCAAATTTTTGGGACAGTCATTCCAAAAAGTCATATAAAAAAAACGACAGTATTTTTCTTACCTCCTAATAGAACATAAATTAAATATACTAGTATCCAACCAATAGCGGCAAAATATACATTGAATATATTATCAATTTTAGCCATAATAATTATATCAAAGTGAATTAGACGCCATTCATAGGACCGATCATTGCCAACAATATATAAATACAGGAAACGTGATGACCATATAGCTATGATGAACATTTTCCAATAAATTTTACGAATAATATCCTTATTCTTATGAATAATGATTGAATAAAGATAGTGAAAATATTCATCAAACAATGGAAAATCATTATTATTTGAATTTTCAAATTGTTCAACATTGATAATGGAAATTATTGAATCAAATATTCGTTGTAAATAAAATTTGAGCATTGTTTTGATCTATCTATCTCTCTCTCTCTCTCTCTCTCTCTCTTGAATGAAACATTTGTAGCAAAATGGTGTTTGTTGTATACTCAGTATAAGTGATAAACATTCATTAAATTCTTTTTCAAAAAAAATGACAAACGATATAGATCGAAGATAGAAAATAGAAAAAAATATATAAAACATTTAATGATCCAAAAGAATCAAGGTAAAGGTAAATTTATGTTTATGTTTGTGTTTGTAGTACAAAAAATATATGAAGTTTTCAAGAATTCTACACATTCCATAATTATCGATAATGATGAAGGGTAGTTATTTGTGAAGAATTAACAAATAGTCAGAATAATGGTGTTTTTAAAAAATATACATGACCTTTAAAAAAAATAATTAATTAAATTAATTAACCCTTCGTTGGTGGAGTGACGTTTTATAACGTCGTTAATGGAGTGGGGTGGATTCGGCCCCAAAGTTTTTTGTTTTAAATTTCTGCTATTCATTATTTATATGATTAAAAGAAATGGGAAATATCCAATAAATTTTAATCATTTTATTTTCTAAATCAAATTGGAATGTAAGTATTGAAAATTTAAAAAAAAGAATACAATAAATGAATTATAATAAAGAAAAAATTATGGTTCAATTCTGTCCAACAATTCACGCATCACTTTATTATGTTCACGCATTTCGGACATGATTTTATGAAATTGTTCTTCACTTTTGAAAATTTGTGCTTTTTGTACCAGATCACGAAGAATCGACATTTCAGCAAAAATTTTTTCAAAATCCTGCTGTGAAAGGCTATGATGTTGATGTAAAACATTTTTAGCTTCTTTGATTAATTTCACAGCTTCATTTGTTACTTCTTCACGATCATCATCATTATCATTGTCATCAGCGGTGATCATAAATGATTCTGGATGTTCTAATTTTTTAATCAAATATGGTACTTTTTTTTCATATGTTTCCAGATACAATTCTTCCATCTGTAAATTTGATTCAGATTGTGTTAGTTGAATTTCACTTTTCAATTCGGTCAAGCCAATGATGCATTTTAATAGTTCGTCCATGATTTTTTTATTCTCTGGCGTTTCCTTTTGTTTACCCCAAACAGATTGTGCTTGTTTAAGTACAACATCACATCTTTGAATCATTTTATCTTTATCATATTCACCAACGATAATAACCGGCGCAGAAGTTGTCACATCGCCATTATCATCTTGTTCCAATTTTTTGATCATTTCTTCCAATTTTTTTTTCTGTGTTTGATATTGTAGATTGTCCCATTGAAGATTACTATCATCTTTATGGAAATGGACCATTTCAATCAATTGTCTGATGGTGAAAATTTCCTCTTCAATCTTTTGGAAATCATGACGATTTTTCTCGTTTTGTGGATGTTTTTTCAATGCATCTTGTGCTTGTTGAATTAATTCTTCATATTTTTTTGCCAAATCATCACGACCATCGTTTGCGATTGGAACGGTGTAGGCTGAAATTCAAAAAAAAAAAAATATTTTAAAACACGATGATATTTTCAATGTCTCAATCATCTCTCACCAATTGTTATGCCAAACATGGCAATAACCAACAATGCGGCCAATTTCATTTTCGATTGAGGATTAAGTTTTCTTGATTTGATTTGAAAATTTGATGAAAAAAACAATGAATAAATGACGATATAGGCCTTTTTGTAAAGGTATTTTATATAGTTTAGCAAAGATTCATTGCTTTTGTTATGCTATAAAAATTGAATGAAAATCCAATTGATTGATTGATAATCAATTAATTAATTGGATTTCCATTTTTTTCTTTTTCTCGAGTTTTCTATGCCTAAAAATATCTCAAACTGTTTGACAATACCTAAAACATTTTGATTGATTATAAATCATAACTATTGTTAAATTAGATTGGCTAATATGCTATCACAAACGATAATAGTATAATGATCATGACAAGCACCATTCTTGATTAATCTTTATTAAAATCGAATTTTAGATTAAAAATATGAGAACAAGCGCACCGATCAACACAACATCATAGATACAATTTTTTTTCAATTCTTTATTTATTGAATTTCAAATCAAAATTCTTTCAACCATGAATATTCTCATGATCAAACATTTTGATGATAATTTTGTTCATAATTTTTTAATTGATTCATGTAACTGTTTCTCAAAATTATTGATCAAATTCTTTTCCCAACTTAACGCTAATTGAGTAAGATCATGATTTTTCATTCGACGAATGCTATATGTAAGATATTTAATAGTTTGTTCGATTTCTTCAACAGCTTTCTGATTTTTATCCGTATGTTTGTGATTGGCCAATGCATTCTGACCTAATTTGATCAGATTTTGTGCACGATTGATTAATTGATCTTTGTCGATGACATCATCTGCAGATTGTGGTATATGGGCCGCTATATTTTAATAATATGGAATGATAAAAGAATAATGAAAACTTCGAATCGACAACAATTCTACATTACCGATTGTAAGGCCAAATAATGCCACAACTATGAATATAAAGATGAATGATTTCATTATTTAAAAGTTTTGTTTTTTTTCAATTTCGGATCGTAAATTGCAAATCAAACCAAAATGATAATCAAATAACTGCAATAAACATTGGTTTTTATTGGTGGATTCAATGATCCATTTCGATCGATCGATTGATAAGGTATCCAAAATGTTTTTTTTTTTTTTTTTATCATTCAATCACTGGTTTCATGATGAGAACAAAAACTGTACAAAATAATTAAGATAACGAAAGAAAAAATTGAATTGGTTTCAAAGTTTATTTTTTGTTTGTTTTTTAATTATGTTTTCAAAAAAAAAAAAAAAAATAACAAAATTGATTGTGGTCCGTACTATACGATAAATCATGACCAGCAGGTATACCTGAGATGAGTCCTCAACAATTATCTTTTGGAATATGACTGAAAAATGTCACAAATAAGATATTTGATCTTTTATGATGAATTTTCTAGAACAGCCATTCCAAAAACTGTGTATCGTGACCCAGTACTATGGGCAAAAAAAATTAAATTTTTTTTTTTGCATAATTCTACGAAAATTTGTATTTCTCTCTAGTTCTCGCTGAGTCATGTGTCACATTATACCAATAAATATGAATTTTTTACAAAACGGGAAAAATTCAAACAAAAAAAAAACAAATTTAATCTTAATCATAACACATCCGAATGAATATTTATAAATTTCTAATTAATTCATGTAATCGTCGTTCAAAATTATTCACAAAATTCTCTTCTCTTTCCAATGTCGTTTCATTCAATTGATGTTCCAATCGATGAATGACCATTTCAAGTTGACCAATAATTTCATAGATTTCTTCAACATTTTTATGATTTTTTTCCGTATGTTTGTGATTGGACAATGCATTGCGACCTTCATGGATCAGATTTCGGGCACGATTAATTAATTGATCTTTGCTAAGATCATCTCCAGATTTCGGGATTTGAGCCGCTATGGAATTGAAAGAAAGAAAGAAAACGGAAATCATGATTGAAAAAATTTTCCATCGACAACAATTCTACATTACCGATTGTAAGGCCAAATAATGCGACGACTAAGAATGTAAAAATGAACGATTTCATTTTTGTTTTTATTTTTTTTCCAATTTTGTATCGTAAGTTGTGAAATCAAATAAAAATGATGATTGATGATCAAATATTTCAACGGTTTTTATTTGGTTGATTCCATAATTCATTCTCAATAATTGATTGATTGATTGATTGATTGATCAAGTTGGTACAATAGGTATGATAAGGTATCCACGAATGTATCAAGTGTTTTATTTACCGTTTAATCCCAGGTTTGATGATTACTAGGAACGATGAGAATAAAAATTGTACAAAATAATTAAGATAAAAAAATTGAATCTGTTTCAAAGTTTACTTTCGGTTTTTACAAAAAAAACAAAATTGATTATTGTCCATACCATTATGAATTCTTTCACCTTTGACCACCATTTCTTTGGCCTCTAATGATGAACAAAAATAAAAATAAGCAAGCAAACGCATCGATCAACACAACATCATAGACACAATTTTTTCAATTCTTTATTTATTGAATTACGAATTTAATTCTTTCAACGATGAAAATTCTCATGATCAAACATTCTGATGATAATTCTGTTCATAATTTTTCAATTGATTCATGTAACTGTTTCTCAAAATTATTGATCAAATTCTGCTCCACTTTTAACTCTAATTGACAAAGATCATGTTTCAATCGACGAATACTAAATGTAAGATATTTAATAGTTTGTTCGATTTCTTCAACAGCTTCATGATTTTTTTCCGTATGTTCGTGATTGGCCAATGCATTCTGACCTAATTTGATTAGATTTTGTGCACGGTTAATTAATTGATCTGCGTCAATGACATCATCTTCAGATTGTGGTATATGGGCCGCTATATTTTAATAATATGGAATGATAAAAGAATAATGAAAATTTCGAATCAACAACAATTCTATAATATATTACCGATTGTAAGGCCAAATAATGTGACGACTACGAATGCAATGATGAACGATTTCATTTTATAAAAGTTTATTGTGAATTTTTCTTCAATTTCGGATTGAAAATTATGAAATCAAACAAAAATAATTGATAATCAAATGGCTTGGGCACAATAGGTTTTTATTTGATGAATTGTAAGACCAATTTTCAATAACTGGCTGATTGATTGATCAACAAGATAAATAGAGTTTGTACAAATTAAATATGATAAGGTATCCAAAAAATGTTTCAAGTGTTTTATTTATCTGATTCAATTACAGGTTCTATGATTACTATTAGTACCAGTGCATAGAATAGAAATTGTACAAAATAATTAAACGATGACAAAAAAAAGTGAATTGGTTTCAAAGTTTATTTTCTCCGTTTTCTTTTCAATAAAAAACAAAATTGATAAACAAACTTATTGTTGTTGGGGCAGAAATTATTATCAAAGGAATTAATAATTTTTCGCAAAAATGAATAAATCATTTTCTCACACACAAAAAAAAATTCAAGCAATAGTAACTGGGGCATGTGTAGTGTGTGGTTCAATATCATCAAGCCATTTACGAATAATATCCTCGTGTTGAGCTAGATTTGCTTCCAATACGGCCAATGCTTGTGGATTATTAGCTTCATTGATTTGTTTTACCAAGTTTTTTATTATAACAACTTCGGATTTTATCACCTGAACATCGATATCTTTACCTTGTCCATATTTTTTTATTGCATCTTCAGCTTCATCGATAAGTTGTTGAGCTTTTTTCAACAAAGCATCTTTATCATAATCACCGGCGATAATGTCTGAATCATCATGATCATGATGATGATGATCATGATCATGATGATCATGATGGTGGTGACCATGTTCTAAATAATATAATTCTTCTTCAATAATATTTTCAAAAATTAATAGTTCCATTTCAATTTGATGGAAATGATGCATATAATGTTCGGTCATATTTTCCATTTTAGTCATATTACGAAGTTGATCGGCAATGGCTTCAACACGATGAATTTCATGTTCCAAACGTATGATGGCCAAATGATAATGTGAATTATTCTGATATTTTTGTATCTCCTGTTCGGCATATTCTTTCAATGCATCAGCATGTTTAATCAATGATTCGGCAACATCATATGGATCTTTTTCGTTTTCGGAACCTTTCAAAAAGAAACAAATTTAGTGTGAGGAAATCAATAAATCAAAAAATTCATACCGAAAACCAAACCGGCCATAGCGGCAAATGCCAATGAATAGATTAAGAATTTCATTGTTACAAAAAAAAAATTGTATCGTTTATCGTTTGTAAGAAAAAACTTTCAATCAAAACACAGCGATGGATATTGGATTTCTTGGATTTAACTTTTATACACACACACACACACACACACACACACATATCAATATCATCCATTAACAATAATTGTTTTAAACGTGATCAACAAGTGATCTGATTATCACCATCAATTATCAGTTATCTCCAATAATAATCAAATCCGTGTTTGTTATTCGATATATTCGATTGCAAAAAAAAAAGTTTTCCATTTCGACCTTCGACAATGATGATATTAGATTAAAAATAATAATTTTTTTTCTATTAATAATTATTGATTCCGCACTTAGCAAATTGAGAGAATTGATTAATTAATCACAAGTAATCAGAGCACCTATAAATCAAATTATTATGAACAAACAAAGTGGCAATATATTTCAAAAATTAAAAAAATGAGATTAATAGTTTTTTTCGTTCGTTTTTTTTGGGTATAATTTAATTATTATCGTTGATTATCAAATTTTGTGACAAAGAAAAAGAGAAAAAAATTGTGCGGTTGTTTCATCCAATCTAGATTATTCTAGATGACGATACAAAACACTGATGAAAGATGATGATAATAATCAAAAATGGATGATTTTATTTGTTTGATTGTAATTGCAATCTTATCGTCAATGTATTGTCCAATATAATGTTAAACTGACCGATATGATTAATTGATAAAAATATTGTTGTTGCCAATGTTGGCTATAAGCGCTATTCATACATTGTGCATTGTAAAAATGTTTTCGTATCAATCTTTTTAGATAGCCTTTATATTTGATGAATTTGATTGCATTATTAAATTTTTGTATGTATGGTGAATCATGACGGAATGCTATGGCATATTCACCTGGTACATAAAGATTTTGATCATTTAACATTTTCAATGAACAATCTTTTGATGCTAGATATAGATTTTTTGGTTCTTCCTGTATGAATGCATAACGTTCATGATAGATTTTATACATTGCTTCATCTAATCGTGTCACTAGATTCGTTTTATTGCGTAATAATTGATCATATAACCATTGTACATTACGTATTTTATCACGTACTAATTGCATATTAATCATTGTTTTGCCATTCATAAATGTTCCAATAGCTAGATCAGATTTTATGGCAAGATCATCCATTGTTTGTAGATTTTTTACTAATGATCGTCGTGCTAAGGCTGAAAAACTGAAACGTAAAAATGGTTCAGTGAAATTTACATATTGTTTTCGTTTTTCTGTTACGGTCATATCAGCGATGGCAAAATCAGCTTTCTGTATTATCAAAAAAAAAAAAAAAAAAAAACAAGATAACATTAATGAGTATGCTAGGTCAATGGACAAAAAGAACATACTTTGAGATAGACATCACCAATAAGTCCAGATACTTTTCCTGTATGTTCATTACCGAAACCATAGGTACCATCAGCAACAAGATAAAGGCTATAATTAAGGCCAGTAAATTCTTCGATCAAATTCATTAGATCCACACAGAAACCGGTAAATTTATTATTTTCAACATTAATGAATGGTGCTGACTATTATAATATGATGAAAGAATAATAATCGAATCAAAAAATGAAACGAAATAATAAATAATCAATTCACTCACTTCAATAGTCACACCGGCAAGAATTCTGGCCGATACCAGCGATGATGACGATGAAGATGATGATGATGTTAAATAGAATGGATTAATTAACAGTATAGCCAAAATAATTAACAATAGAAATGGCCAATTAAACGTTTGAATCGATTTAATCATTATTATTAAGATTAAATTCAGCCTGATGATAATGAATAAATAATCATTGAACGGTGAGCATTGAACCTTTTTTCGTCTTCCGTTTTTTAGTAGAGACAATACAAATTTCAGGAAAAATGATTGAAAAAAGAATAACAAATGGACAATCTAACCGGAAATCCAGTAGTAGTAGAGGATAGAAAAATTGAACATGTATTATTTGCTTAGGATAATGTTGAACAACACATTGCAAAAAGGATGTCATTCAGCAATAGAAAAACCAGAGTGTAGAAAAAAAAAACATAAAATTTTGTCACATAAACACCAAATGGCTTTACCAATATCTTGTAATTGATTTTTGGTATTCGATTTGAATATATGTATCAGTCTCCATTATCATCGAATGTTTGCCGAAAAAAAACGATAGAACAAACAACAACAAGTTTTTTTGTTTCAAAAAAAAAATATTGATCGATCGTTGATCATTTTTATTTTTAATTTATTTTTTTTTTTTTTGCTAGGATCCATATCATTTGGAAACGGCATCATTTGATTATTCGTACTTAACAAAAAACAAAACAAGAAAAAAAATTGATAATAAAATTTGAATAAGCTAATCATTATTTGATTTTGATTTTTCAAAATAACATTGACGGATTGTATGAATCGCGTTGATTTTCTTTACGTTTCTTTTCATCATCATCAGTGATTCATTTGATAGAGAGAGAGAGAAAAAAAAACATTCAAATCTAAATCAATCCATTATCAATCAATTTTTGATAAACTTTAGTGTAATTTATTTGATCGAAACAAGATGGCGCTAAAATTGTAAAATATTTGAAAATTTTCAATTCAAACATTCATATTATTTTATTTAAAACATTCGTGAATCACGATTAGATATATGCTTTTGATTTTGATTAGACAAAAAAAAGTCATTGAATTTAATATTATTGAAAAAATAAATGAAAAAAAAGAGATAATAAATAAAGTCTGTTGAAAACAAAACAAAACAACAAAAACAGCAACAAAATAATTGTGTCAAAGTCAGATTGGTGCATTAAAATTTGTATATATAATGATGATGATGATGAATGTTCGAAAATATTTGTTGATATTCCGATAATGATAAAATGATTTTATCATCATCATCATTTTATTTAGATTTCAAAAAAAAATTGTGTTGTCAAAATTTTAGCAAATTTTGTGTTTCTGTTAATGAAAGAAAATTTTTTTTTAATTTCAGCCAAAATATTTTTGCTGATTATTGATTGATTTTCTTTTCTTGTATTGAAATTTCCTCGGGTTTCGATTCAAATCACGATTCAAATTTAATATTTATAAACAACCGGACGCACACCACACACACACACACACAGTTAATCCAACATTGATTCTTTTTCTTATATTGCTAATCTATTGATGAATAATTTTCATGTTATCAACCTTATCATACATATGTATACATTGCATCTATATTATATACATGGTCTATGAACTGGAAATCAGAAACCAGTCAACAAACATCAACGAAATCGAATGTTTTTAATTTTTTTTTTTTTTTTTGAACATCATCGAAGCTATCGATGCATCCAAGTTTTATTTATATAAAATGAGTTCGTTGATTCCAATTCGTTTTTTTTCTCTTTTGTTAATGATGACGATGCTAATGAATGATTATCGATGATGATGATGATGATAATAATGATAGTTGTGGTCAGAAAAAAAAGGAAAAGGCAAAACGGAAAGTTTTTCTATGTCCTCTTTAGTACAAATATCATCAATATCTTTTCTGATGTATCATGGTAATGATAACAAGTTTTGAAATCAAAAAAGAAGAGAACTGGAAGTGAAAACAAAACAAAAAATCTTGCTTCAAATTCAACACACACACACACACATACACACATACATTGAATCGATCCAAGATACAAACACACACATGTACAGACAAAAAGATAGAGAGATTCATCCGAGAAAAAGTCGAAAAAAAAGTGAAAACATTTACCTTTTATTTGACTTCACTTTATTTTTTTTTTCTCAATTTCCCAATTTTTTCTCTATATATCTCACTTATTATCGTCCAATCGTTGTTCGAAAGTTGTTACAGACACGTTTTATTGTTCATGTTATACTTCTAAATTTTTTTTTTCATGTTTTGAATCATGTTTTCGAATGTGTGTGCATCCGGTCAATTTTCGTTTTTTATTCATCGTTATTCATTTTCCCGCCACCGTTTTCATTTGTTGTCAATTACCGTATTATTATTATTGTGCCACATTTGAATGTAATTTCATGCAAGTAATGGTCTTTTCCTTGTGAGTGTGTGTGTGCAACCAAAAACAAAAAATTCGACATTTGACAGTCTTATTGAATGTGTTTTGTGGTAGTTTTGGTTACAGAAAAAAAAAATTTGTTTATTTTTTCCTTCCATTTTTTCATGAATAAATTTTCCATTTATTATTGATCAAATTTTATATACCAACACCAACAATAACATCGAAAAAATCGATCATTTAAATGAGGAAAATAATAAAAAAAAATCAATTTGTAGATGGACAGAAATGGTAACATTATTTTTCCTCGATTTTTTCATCAATTTTTGAATTGTTTTTTTCTCATTTCAATTATTGCTCATCTATTGAATCACAAGATTTTTTTTTTTTTTTGATTTTTTCGTCAGATGAAATTATCAAAGTTTTGTGCATCTCTATTTTTTTTTTTTTTTGAAACATTTCCTTTTAAATCAATTCCACAATAATTTACATTTCAAATATCGTGATCAATCATCAATTTTTTAATATCAATTTTGATTTGTCGTTGTTGCTCATTTATAAATGTTCTCATTGTTCACATTGTCATTTATTGTTATCAATCATCGTCATCGATTAGCGACAAATGAACAAACAAAAAAAAAATTTAGTTGTGTGTTCAATTTCATTGCCAATTTTATTTTGAATTGATTGATAAATAAATTTAAATGATGATTTCCAGTAATCATATGGATTTTATTTTTTGTTTCAAATTAAATTGATTTATTGAAATTTTGTTCATTTGAATCTCATTTGTTTTTTTACATCAAAAAAAAAAATTTCATTAATTGTCATTTTTAATTAAATTCAATCAATCGATCGATCATCATTGAGATCAATAAACAAAAATGGAACAACAACAACAACAACAACAGAAAGAAAATGAACCACCAATCCGGCATTTAATGCCATTAGATGAAAGTATAATGAAAAGTAAAAAATGTGTCGAATTATTGGTCGATAATCGTTATATGGATGCTGTAGAATTATCATCACAATTATCCGATCAATCATTGTATCATTCACATTGTCATTCAATGTTATTATTCTTCAAGGTTTATATGTCATTAGAATTGGTATGTGTGATTTTTTATTTTGTGAAAATTATAATTCCACAAATTCAATTAAAATATATAGCCAGAAGTGAAAAAAGCGGAAGAAGCATCACAAAAAACGATAAAATTTTGTGAAGAGATACGTTCACTTACATTACGTGATAATTTTTTTGTAAAAATGTTTTTCGATCATGATTATAATCAATTTAATGATGGTAAATGATGATAATTTTTGATTTATTTATTTATTCAAATTTTTTGAATTAAAAAAATCCTTTTCTTCCACACATTGTATATAGAGGAATTACATGCTGAATTGATTCGTGCCGAACAAACTGTTTTTGCAACATTGATGGAATTTTGTGTTGATCAAAGTATATTTGTTCTAATGAAAGTATCATATCGTTTACGATCAGTTTATATGATGTTTAAGTAAGTTTTTTTTTGTTTTGTTTTGTTTTTGAAATATACCTTGAAGAAAGCAGTTTATGAATGAAAATGAATGGAAAATAATAAAAGTCACTGACCTTTTTTTTCGTTATTTTACTTGAATTTCCTTTTTTTTTCTCTCTCTCTTTCTTTCTATACATCATCATTATAATCATGGATCATGGATCATGGATAATCATCTTTTCTTATATCGTTTCATTTGGATGAATCATTCATTTTAACAAACTGTTTATTCATGTTTTTTTTTCATCATCTTGAAGATCATTTGCAAAAATATTGGATACAAAAGAATGGTCAAGTGAAACATCGGCAAGTACATTTACTACTGGTGTCAAACTTGGTCTTGGCATCTATAATCTAATGTTTTCAATGGTACCAGAACGTTTAATGTCTATATTATCGATGGTCGGTTTTAAAGGATCTAAATATGAAGGTTTAGCATTATTACGAGAAGCTAGTGATGCTAATGATATAAGATCATTTGTTGCACAAATGTTGGTTTCATTTTATGAATGTTATCTGGATCAAATGTGGAATGTACGTTCTACAAGCACGGTGAATACAATTAATTATATTCAACATGGATTGAAAACAAATTCATTGGTATGTTTGTGGTAATTTAAATTGTAAAATTATTTTGTTTTTAAATGAATGTATTTTTTTTCTATTTTCATATCCATAGTCAATATGGTATTCATTATTTAAGGGAAAAATATCACTAATTGAAAATAATCTTGAACAAGCAATCACAGATTTTGAAGCTTGTGTACGGCTAAAAAATTGTATCGATATTAAACAATTAACAACATTATATCATTGGGAATTGATGTGGTGTTATGCGTTAGTATTTTTATTTTTACACAATTCAATTTAATCCTTTTCGGTTTATCTTGAAACAAAATAGTCTTAAAGGTGATTGGAAAAAAGCCATACAATGTTGTCATGATTTACGTAATATATGTGTATGGTCACAATCAACCTTGTGCTACTTGGAGGCAAGTTTTCGTATCATGTATTTGGAAACAAAATTATTGGATGATCAACCACCATCAAAGCCATTACAACGGCAACGTAATAATAATGGCAAAGGAAAACGTAAACAAAAACAAGTTCAACAACAACAACAACAACATTCATCGACAAATGATGAAACGATCCAACAGCAACGAGATAAAATACACGAACTGTTGACGTGAGTTGTTTTTCATGTTTTTTCCGTTTTTTTTTTTGGTCATTTCTTTTTTTGTATGTTCCTTTTACGGCGGCCGATTATTTAACGACATTCATTTCCGGGCTAAATTTGTTTTTTTCTCTTTCTTTCTTTGGTACTCGGGATCTTGATTGATTAAAAAATGGATAATTTTTTCACTCGTTGTCTCTCTATTGAAATAATAATAATAATAGTCAAGTACCTGAAAAAGTAAAACGTTATGCTGGCCGACGATTGCCGATGGAAAAATTTTCTTGTGAAAAATTCATTAAATATCAACAGGAAGGTCGACTAACATGTCCAACATATGTAAGTGATGTTTTTGACTATTCTAAATTTTTTTTTCTGTCCGATTTTAATGTTTTTTTTCTCTTTGAAAATTCTCATAAAAATAAAAAAAGGAACTGTTTATCACATGGAATCATATGATATTCATCTATGGCCAAGAACAATATCTATTACCTATTATTAATCATGTAGATAAATATTTGAAAAAATTTTCATCCGATTTAAGTAAGTGTTATCGATCACATCATCATCATCATCATCATTTAATGATTCCAAATAATAATGATCCGATTAAACAAAAAAAAACTTTCTCTCAAAATACTATTTAGGTGATGAAAGCTATTTCCTACTCATGTTAATCAAAGGTGCATGTTTTAGGCAATTGGATCGTTTGGATGAGGCTAAAACTTGTTTACTTGAAGTGGTAAAAAAGTAAGAAAAAAAACAAGCATTTTTTCCATATAAATTGATGATGTTTTTCTTTTTTCTTTCATTCATTGATTGATCATTGACACAAAAAAAACGGAAATTTTTTTTCACAGTAAAAAAATCATTAAACATGATCGACATTTGTATTCATTCGCTTGTCTAGAATTGGGCATCGTATTGATGGGACAAGAATTGTTTGATGATTGTCAACAAAAGCTATTGGATGCACGACAATGGATCAAAAAAGAAGATCCAATGGAATTATTTGTACAATTTCGTGTAGGAAAAGCATTACGTATGATGAGACGTTTACGTGATAACGAATCATCAATAACAACAACATTAACAAATGGCAATGACAATATTCCAATAGCCAATGGAAATGGTGATCATCATCATCATTGTAATAATGTTACTGATGATATAAATAATGGACATTCACAGATACAGGCAGAAATTGCGGTTAATGGAAATTCAGTGTGAATTTAATATTACTTTATATTGTCAATTTAAATAACTTCGAAAGAATTTCCAAACAACCGGTAATAATCATCACAATATAATATAAATAGTTTTTTCTCTCTATTATTGTTACTGGGAATAAAAAAAAAATATTTTCATACATTTTTTAAAATTTATTCATCTAGAATCTAGATTCTAGATGTTTGCATGAAAAATTCAATTTCAATTATACAAACAAAGATGGCCAGAATATTACAAAGAAAATAGAGACGGAAAATATTTTCCAAATGTTCAAGTTTAAAATCAAATGTTTCATTATCATCATATTTATTATTTTTCCGTTCTGAATCTTGATTATTTATTATTCTTGCTTTACTAATACTAATACCCATTTGTTTCCAATGTTCATCTGTTTCAATATCCGAACGATAATGATTCAATATACCGGCATCTTGTAGGATTCCAATTCTATTAGATCATTAGATTAGATTAGACAATTTTAAATAAAATATTATACATCCTTACATGCATTAACAAAATACTACTACTTACATTCGATTAAAATGTTCTTTATATGGAAACGATGTTCGTACCGGTATCGAAATCATGAATGTAAAATATGATGAATCAGGCTTACGCGGTGGTATATAAAGTAATTCTGGACCATTAATTAATTGATCAAAATGGAGAAAATCTCTTGAAGCAAGCACAGCAATTTTTTTCTCATTATTTTTTTCAAGAAATGAATGTTTTTTATTCGAATTTTTTATCTGATTCATCAATAATTCTATAGCCATTTTTCTTGTTTTTGTTGATTGAAAATTATCTCTTATTGCTTGAAATTCCATTATATTCGATGATGATGATGAAAAAAATGCATGCTGTGCAACGCTTACATTTGCACCAATTGGCAATACTTTACCGGCACTTATTGCCGCTGTCATTTCATAAATATTTTGTAATTTCATTGATGTTTGTGTGGTTAATGTGGACAGAAGGAAACAACAATAAAAACTGATAATAATTGAAATACACAATGCCCACATAATGATAAACATTTTACTGGATAATGGTATCGATCCAAGATGACGATATGGTTGACGAAGAAGTAGATTAAAACTGATCCATAAAAGATTTGTTGGTTTATTCAAATTATTTGATGTTTGAATCATACGTGTAATTAAATCAAGAATGCCCAGTACGATGAATACAATTAATAATGATAACCACACATCCGTATCGAATGGCCGGATAATATTTTCATAATTAAAATGAGCTTTATTTCTAGCCATCATGTATGTATATTGACTCAGAACATGTGGATAAAGATAATCGACATATTGCTTACGTTTATTTGTCATTGCAATTCCACCGAGACCAATATCAATTTCCTATTTGATTGATTGAGAAGAAAAAAAAATTGTCAGAATCAAAATGAAACAGATTTTCATTGAATTTCGATACTTTATTCTGAACTCTGGATACAACCGATTCGTGTGATACATTTTTAGGATTAAAAACTCTTATATTAATCAAATGATATGTGAAATTAAAATAATCTGCTAAATCTTGTATCAATCGACTTTCGATTCCACGTTGAATTTGATAGGATTTTTTGGCCGAATTCCATGTTATCCAATTGAATGGAAGATCCTTTTTCAATAATAATAATGTTTTCGTTAAATTAAATTATTTTTTTTTTCATCAAGAATTCTTACATCACTTACATTACGAAAACCAATGGTAAAATTTTCTCCAGATAAACTTGATGGTAACATTATTAAATGTTGGAATTGTCGTTTTTGTCATTGAAAGTTTGACATTTTTTTTGCCGTTGACATTTTATATTATCAAGAGAAATTTCTTCCGTAATTAAAATTTGATAATAGATTATTATTCATATATTAGAAAAAATCGATAATACAAATATAATTGGGATATATAATATTTGAAATATATTTTGAATATGAAATAAATAAACAAATAATAGAATAAATTATTCACATTCATTTTTTACTCATCATCATTATTATTATTATTGATTATATCTTTCGACTGTAATTTTCGAATAGGTATCACTTTCTGAAATATTTCAGTCCATGAAAATTGATCGATCATACCGTTCGATGCCAATAGCATAATTTCATAAACATGTGGTATGGATAGAATTCGTCGCTGATTCATTTGTATATGTCCATCAATCGGTAATTGACCATAATTCATTTGAAATTCTTCATGTGCACGTTTTAAACATAGACATTTATGACGATTATGATCGATTAAACCACCGATGATAAATATATAATCATTTGAATCTTTTATCTGGCGACAATCTGGTATAGTTTCTTTTGCATCACCTGTTAGATAGATTACTTTTGGATTTGATTTATAATCATTATTGTTTGGAAATAAAACTTCTGTCCAATGTTTATCGGTTACATTACAATCCCAATTATGATAGCTATGATGAAAACGTTCCATTAGTTCATATAGTTTACCACGTACGGATGTAATCCATAATTGAGCCGGTACCGAACTTCGACGATTAATCGCATAACAATACATTAGCTGTTTACAAAGTTTTCTTAATTCATTTTCATTCATAAACTTTTCATAATCACAATCGATAACAATGATTGTTTTACAAGTAGAATTAGACATTGAAACTGTTTGTAATCGCGGTTTTTTGACGAGCGTTCCATTAAGTTTATCTTGCTGCCGACGTTCACGGCGTCTTTTTTTCTCTTCACGTCGACGTTCTGCACGAGTTTCCGCCCATTTTTGTTCACGTTTTAACCGTCTTTGTTTTCGTTTTGATAACTTTGAATTTGATTCAGATTGGCCATCATCACCATTAGTCGATGAATTTGATGAACTTTTATTCAAATCAGTTTCATTATTCTGAATGTCTGAACTTGAAATGGATTTGTCTTCGGTACAAACAACAGCATCATTAGATTCCATAGGGAATGGATGAAAATTTCGTTAAAAAATTATAATTGTTGAGAAAAATAGCAAAATTGGCCAAATTGCAATTTGGATAACACGTGAAAAAACAACGAAGTGGTCACGTGTTTTATGAATAGGATCCGAATTTTGAGGATAACACGCGTGAATTTGAATGTAAACACTCGAGATCATCGTGTTTCGGTTTCATAATTATTTTGTCTTTTTTTTGATGAAAAATGGCTCGTCGTAGAAAGAAAAGGGTTTGTATCGAATTGTAGTTTAATCCAATATTTAAATTTTTTTATTCTATAGTCTAAAGGATCCAAAGAGGAGCCAAAAGAACTGGTCAAAGCACCACATTCGTTCGTTATTCATCGTGGTAGTATAAGCAAACCACTTGATCAATTACTTCGAAATGTACGACAAATTATGGAACCTTTTACGGCTTCTAAACTTAAAGTTAGAAAAAAGAATACAATCAAAGATTTCGTTTCGATTTCAAGTTATTTAAACGTTAGTCATATGATCATTTTTACCGAATCTTCCATTGCACCTTATATGCGTTTATGTCGTGTTCCACGTGGTCCGACTGTTACGTATAAAATTCTGAATTGTACATTAGCACATGATGTTGTGGCCGTACAACGTCGACCGCAAATAAACACAAAATTATTTCAGAATGCACCACTTTTAGTATTGAATGGTTTCGGTTCGGAATCTGAAGACAAGAGGATTCAGCTACAAACATCAATGTGGCGTAATATGTTTCCAACGATTGATATTCAAACTGTTCAATTGTCAAAAATTCATCGCTGTTTACTACTATCATTGGATTCGGAAACCAACCAAATTGAATTACGACATTATGCAATCAAAGTGAAACCTGTTGGCCTATCGAAAATGGTACGAAAATTGGTTACAGGCAAAAAGATTCCGGATCTTGGTCAATTTCATTCAGTTGAAGAAGCAATGGAACATTTAGATCCAGATTCGGAATACGAAGATGATGAAGAGCAAACAAAAATCGGACAGGTAACATTACCACAAAAAGTTGGTAATAAATCGGGAAATTTGGTGAATGAAAAAAGTTCTATCAAGTAAGTATGATTATGTATGTGTAAACAATTCATCGAAATTCATTGTTTTCATTCATCCATTTAGATTATATGAAATCGGACCACGTATTACAATGGAATTGGTGAAAGTAGAAAATGGTATCATGTCTGGTGAAATACTTTATCATTCATATGTACAAAAAACAAACGAAGAGATTGTCGAACAAAAGAAACGAATTGAGCGACGAAATTTTCTTAGATTATCACGAAAACGACAACAAGAAGAAAATGTTCGCCAAAAACAACAAGAAAAAATGGCTACAAGTAAAAAGCGAATAAAAATTGATGAAGAACAATCGAATGAATGTGATGATGATGACGATGATGATGATGATCGACCATCATCGTCAAAAACAAAACGAACTAAATTCGAATCAACTACAATCAATAATGATGATGATGAATGCAGTGATTATCAAATTTCCGACGATGAAATGAACATGTTCAATGATGATGATGACGATGATGATTGAAAATCGAAATCAATTTTTTTTTTATTTTCTAATTTCAAATCTAAATTCAAATTCAACATTTTTGTATAAATCATTTATCAAAACAGAAAAAATGCTTTTTGAAAATAAAAAATTTGTGTTTTTGTTTTCTAATTTTCATAATTTAAATTTCTAAAATTCTTATCTATGAATTGGAAAAATGGAACGTTCAATTGTATATGGATGGATTGATAGAGAAAAACAGGAATAATTCAATCATTGCTTTTACTATCAGGATATAGATTAGTCCATGAGGTAAGTTTCAGTGCCGATGGTGATTGATGATCAGAATTCAAAATCGATCCATGATGATATATGGCCGTCGATGGTGATGACAATAATGATGACGATGATGATTGAATTGTTTCACTTGGACCAAAAGCGGTGATTAAAACATTGATGACTGTAACCAAAAATATAACAATAACGCTTGCATTATTCATCATATCAGCACGACGACGATCATGGCCATAATTAATATTCAAACGTCCTAATGCAATGAACATGATGCCAACAATGATTTGCATCAATATTGATATGACAATTAATGAAACGGTCACTTGAAAATATCGATGATGATTAGCATTGATTAGGACATCTGAAAAAAAATTTGAATAGGAAATCAATTTTTATTTCATATTAGTAATTATCGATCATCTTACATTTTAATTGTGAAGCATTAGCACACATAAGACCAAGATCCATAATACCTTGTGCAATTGTTTTACGTGTTGCATACATATTCATATCCATAATAGGTGTACGATTATGATTCGATTGATGTGATGATGATGATTGTTTCAAATCGATTATATCGATAACACCACCACCACCACCACTACCATTATTTCCATTTCCATTTAGATCGCTTGCCGTTTCTTCATCAGCCTGTTTGATTGTATAAACAAAATATAAAACAAAACAAAACGATTAATTTTATCAAACATTATTATTCAAATGAATAAATAAAATAGAGACATAAGGAATATAATTATTATTGTTGTTGTTGTTAGCATTTATATTTGGATTACTAATGGCACGTAAATTGGCCATCGGTGGTTTTGTAAATCGAACACGTTCGAATGGCATTATTATTGATGATGATGTTGATGAATTATTTGTTATTGAATTATAACGGTCACTATTACGACGATGGTAACCGATTAAACGACGATATGATTTCATCAATCCAAATGGAAAAAAAATCAATAAATATTTTTTACAATAAAATAAATAAATTTTCAATAAAATCAAAATCCATCAAAATAATACAATCAAAATGTATATGTTGTGCAATGTTTGTAACAATCGGTTTTCGATGATGATGATGATGACCTGTACATTCATCCATTTACCGAAAGTTTCTTTTTTTTGAAAAAAAAATACAAAATCTAAATCATCATCATTATCATTATGATGATGAACAATATATTAAAAGAGAAACAACATGGCAGATGTGCAAATTATTAAAGTTGTTGTTGTTGTAATTTGCGTATCATTCGCGAAATTTTAACTCTAGCTGTATGAGAAAAAATTTTTTTAAAATAATTTTTAACTATCCATAGATAATCAACAATCGCTATAGACGATGCTGTTGTTGTTATTATTTATTGATCGTGTTTTCTTCTTGTTGTTGTTGTTGTTTTTGATCTAATAATGATAATTAATGAAGAGAAAAAGAAGAAACACACACACACAAAAAAAAACTTTGATCGAACAAATATATATCGAAGAAGAGAAGAAGATCTAAAAGAATTTGATTTTGTTTTGTTTAAATAAATAAATAAATAATAATTACCATTGAAGATGTAATAAATAAATCGTGTAGCCAATGTTTTACATTATTCGATCTTACCATTGTATACCGAAAACCAAATTTCAACAAAAATCAAAATTACTCTATGGTTCAAATGATTCTATTATTTGTTGAATTGAATGTTGTTGTTGTTGATTAAAGTCTGAATCGTATTCGGAACGAAAATAATCAAAAAAAAAAAATTTCAAGATACAAGATGATGATGGTTGTTACAAACAACAAGTTATTAACATTCATTAAAAGTAATTATGATTTTTTTTTTCATTCATTCTTCTTTCTGTTATAACACGTGTCCATCATCATTATCATTTGTGAGAAATGTAGAGTATGGCACACACACACACACTCCCCATTTAAAAAAGTTTTGAATTGTATGAGAAAAAAAACAATGAAATGAAAATAAGGAAAATTTTGACAATAGAAAATCATCATTCCTTTAAATTTGATCATCATGTGTCGAATTCTATTATAAATTGTTTTAAATTGAACATGACAAGAACAAATTGTAAATAAATAAATTGTGAAAATATTTGACACACAGATGTTTTTTTGTTGATTGTTTGATCGATTGATTGATTTTTTTTTTTTTTTTTTGAATACAATATATGTACTTACAAGTGGAGCTTTTCGATAATTTTCAGTTATCGTAACGGCATAAGTCTTATTTTGATTATTATGATGATTATTATCATCATTTGGTAAATTCATAGATGTTGTTACGGACGTGGTTGTTGTTGTCGATGGTTGTGGTGGTGGTTGTGATATGAATTTTGGTACAGATAATAATGATGATGATGAAAAAACATTATCATTACCATCATTGATGGCCAATAATGATGATGGCTGTAGCGTTAAAAATGATGTTGTAGGAGGATGTGTATGATGACGATTTGTCACAAATACATGTGGTATAGAAACAGGTGTTGATGATGATGGTTTTGGCAATGACGATATTGGCTGCAAATGTTTCGATGTCATCATCATTATCATCATTATGAAAGTGGTTTTTTTCTCAATCTAATATATCTTTTCTTTTCTTTTTTTTTTTTTTTTTACCATTTATAGCTATGATCAGCCGTACGATGAATATGATCGATTCGAATTCGAATCAATTCTAATTTCGTGAATGAAATCCAACAACGACTTCAAATCTCCATCAAGTTGATGAGATTTTTGGGTTTTTTCAATTTCCATGTCCATGTACAAATATGAAAAAAATTGTACATTCAAAACATTATTTTTTCTTGTTGTTGTCAACAAATTAATCTTCGTAGAATAATAATGATGAATAATAAAAGACAAACACCCAAAACGATCGATATTATTAAATAATGCGTCATAGGATATATATCGTCAGATTTCTTCTATATTTTCATTATTGAATTAGCGGGATATCTGAATCTAATAATGGAATCCAATGATGATGCATGAGGTGTTAAAACAAAAGAAAATAATAGAATCCTGGAGAGCTATGTACGCGGATGATGAATGAAAAGAATCGAACGGATAAAATAACAACAACGGCTAATTGTCCATAAAAATGTTTCTAAAATAATATCTCCCAATTGAACTACAACAACAATATTGTGGTGTGTATATTTTAGTTTTTCTTGTCCTTTTAATATTGGTTTTTTTACCAACCAGAATAATCATCCATAATGTTTAATAATGATGATGACGTTTGGGCGTTGGCTCGTACCATTGGAGTCATTATAAATGTTCAAAAACTATTTATATGGTTTTTATTAGTTTATATTTGACAGGCGTCATACACATTAGACTTGTGTATTGGCTCGTTGTTGTTGTAAAACAAAAAAAACCGAAAATCAAATTTTGAATCCCGAACCGAGAACCAAAAAAAAAAAAAAAAACAAAACAAAAATCTATCTACCAGAAAAAAAATTCATAGTAATTGCGCACGCCTATCATCACCATTCATTGAAATATTTGGGCGAATTTCAGTTAAATCAATCATTGTGTGTGAATTAATGAATGAATATTCGTTAAGTAAAAAAACTCAATATTGATGGTAAACGCCTTTCCAAAAATATTAAGGTAGAAAAAAAAATCTGAATGTGAATATTGAAATTTTTATTCAATAATTTATCCCAGTTTTAGCTTCGAATTATTTTTGTTTCCACACTAATCATTTTCAACAAATTTATTTATATGCATCATTATCGTCATCGTTGTCATCTGGATAATGATCAACTGGAACAAAATCTGGCAAGCATATAATATACAATTGAAATACAGAAAATTTTTTCAAGAAAAATTGTTTTGCCTTTACATTGATCATGTATCATCGATCAAGAATCAATAGATTTGGTGTGTGAGAAAAGAAAACATCAAAAAACTCACATTTTAACTTTCATCGTTTTTTCTAATCGAATCGCAAAAATGATAACCATATTTTTTTTTTTGGTTGACGCCTTTCTGAACTGACTATTTGGAATCATTACAATAATTTAATCATTCGATTTTGATTTGGTTGTAAAAATCAAAAACTTGTATTCAGTAAATATGTTGTTTGTTTGCATTTGTATGCGATGACATAATAATAATTTTGTTCAATTTTTTCACTTTTAGCTAATATCCTATTCATTTCATCATCAATATGACTTTATATGGTTCGAAGAACTTGTTGATTTGACCCAAAAGAATAAATTTACAAATTTGTACGTGTTGAACGTTTTTTTTTGTTTCATTATTCGATTCAACAAGTTTATCTACCTACGCGCATCGTATTCAATGAAAAAAAGTAAAAGTTTTTTTGGCCATAATCATGATCGTACTATTGATTTAAAACTATTCAGTGTGAAACCATATATTTGAAAACAACATTAACGTTCTACACAAATAAATTGTTTAAATTTTATTAAATCAATCATCATCACTAATTATAATGAGTACATCATCACCACCGTCATCATCGATTCACAATAATAATAATGATGATGATGATGATGATGATCAACCGAATTCATCATCACCAATAATTGGGATGATGAGTAAATTACAAAAAAATTCACCAACATCCAATAGTAGTATTAAATCGTATCAAAGTGATGTTCAACAACAACAACAACAACAACAGCTGAAAAATAATGGCCTATCACCACGAATTCCAAGAAAACAAATTCCAATGACTAATAATAATGTAAGTTTTATTCGAAAGAAAATCTTTTTATCTCTAAAATAATTGAATCATTGATTCTAAGGAAATGGATATTGACGATCAAAAACAAATTATTTCATCACCATCGATTATTATAACAGCATCACCACAATCCGGAATCCAGAATTCAATGAATGGTTCATCACAACAACAACAACAACAACAGCATCAGCATTTGAATCGAAATCCTCAACAATTATCAACCGATGACTTAAATGGTTATCTAGATTTCGATGATGATGATTGTTCACCACGTACACGAATGATACCAAAAGATTCTGGAGCAAATTGGATACAAATGGATGATTATCATTATCAACAAAAGTATAAGGGTAAAAATATTATAAATGATGATCAACAAAAACAACAACAACATGGAAAAACGGATAATGATCGAATCGATGTTAGTCTTTATACTACTAAAAAAAATGTTGCCCAAGGAATGTTAGTGATTGCATTATTATCGGCTAATTGTTCACAATTAAAATATCTTCTTTATCATTATGAACGTGATGTTCCTATCGCATCATCATCCGTATCATCGATTCCATCATCCGGAAACAGAGGCGATACTAATACATGGGCTACAATATTTCATACCAATACTAATACAGGATCATTAGATTTTTATTTTACAACAAATCTTGCCTGTATTTGTATATCAATATTTTTACAAATAATCATTGGAATATTGTTGATACTAAATAGTCGTCATAATGTTTACATTCATCATCGTTATCAAAGAGTTGCAGATTCATATTCGAATTGGATATTATTAGCCGTATTCATTGTTACGGTTGTCAATATATTTTTATCCGTATTTATTTCAGCACGTTGATTGAACATTATCAGAAAAAAAATTGTTTTCCAATTTTATTGGATTTTAAATCAAAATATTAATAAGTTGTTATAGTATTAGTAGTAGTAATAATTATCTATCAATAAAATAAATGATCGAATGTTTCCAATGACATTAATGATTCAATCGTATGATAATCATCACGATTATCATTTTTGTTCTTGTTATCAATTTTCAACATATCCCGCTGTCTATGACTAATCAAACGCTGAAGAAATCGATATGGTATCTTCGTATTGGTTGCGAATCGATTCGAATGATCACCAAATGATGATGATAATAAATGAATTTGAATAACATTATTATTAAATTCTATAAATGATGAACCACCAAATAAATTTATGGTACAAGCACCTTCATAATGTTCTACAGGTGATGATGATTCATTTGTGGTCGTCATAGTCGTCGATACGATTGAAACGTGACCACAAAGAACCAATACACCATTCGTATTGAATGTAATGAATCGATTCTGGTGGTCATCATCATAACCAAACCAAATCATTGATATATCATCATTCGATTGTTGATTCATACAATAACTTTGTATAATAACACGATTCTTATGATTTAATAAACGAAATTCAGCTAATTCATCATGTTCAATGCACGGATTAAATGGTAACATACGAATTTGTTTCAATCGTTTTGACAAATCAATAGATGGTGGTGGTGTTTTAATCTGATGATAAGTTCCATAAAAAAATCCAACAATTCGACCATCCGATGTGGATTCAACAAGATAACCGTTTATACTTGAATCCATTTATTTATTTATTCTTTCACCAAAGATTTATCTATAAAATTTCCAAATATGTATGAAATTAATGAATAATAAAATATGTGCAACATTTTTTTTTGTTTTTATGTAAAAAAAAGGAATCAATGATAATTCAAAAAAAATTCGAAAAATCGAACATTATTATGTATTATATATTGGTAATGGAAATCAAATGAAAATGAAAAAAAAACTTTATAATAATCATAGTGATAATCAAATAAAATCTACAAATGAAAAAAAAATTGAAATAAGAAATGATCCAAAAATTGTTTCGGTAAACAAGTGCCAATGAATGAAATGAATTTAAAAATCGAAAAAAAATCTCTGAATTCTCCATTCGTAACTCAATTCGGATTTATAAAATTTTCTTGCTTATTTGATGGATGGATGAATGAGAAAAAAATGGTTGCTGCTTATCCAATCAATCAATTACGTGAAATGAGGCCAATATTATAACAATCACCCGGTCTATATGGTAGTGCAAGACTTCCTTTCGGCTGTAACATTCGTTCGATTTGTTTATGATTTTCCAATGAAAGCGATGTTAATCGATATTCCAATAATAGGTTAGCCACCGTTGTCGATATGATTGTATTGACCATTTTATAGCCTAAACATGAACGGCGGCCATGTGAAAATGGGAAAAAATGATCTGGTTTCAGTACGGATCCATCGTCGGTAATAAAACGTTTTGGATCAAATTTAAATGGATTTGGATATAATTTTTCCGATAAATTCAGGTGATAAATATTGAATAAGATCATCGTTCCTTTAGGTATGAAATAACCTGAAAAAAATAAATTTAAATAAATTCAATTATTAATGATCCATCAATCAATCAATCGTGGATCAAACCTTGAATAGATGTATCCCAACGGCTTAAATGCGGTACGATCGGTGATAATGTTAGACGTAATGTTTCCATAATGGCTGCCGTAACCAAAGGTAATCGATGTTGATCTTCAATCATTATCATTGGTTGTACGTTTTTCTGTCGTCTAGCTTTTGCTTCTTCATTCAAATTAACAATCGATTCCTCTTTTTCGATTGCAATCGATTTCACTTGATCATATAGTTGTTGTTGTGCTTCCGGATTAATGGCCAAATGACCTAATAAACGAAACAGTAGATTTCCAACGGCCGAATTCCCACCAACTAAATCACCGATTTCATACATCATTTCATTCCATTGCATTGTACGTTCATTTTCCAGATAATGTTCAAGAATAAAATCCAAAAATTTTGCCGATGATTTATATTGTTTCTGTAATAATATACGATCAACAAAACGTTCATCACAATTAATTTCCGAAGTTGATGACGATGATTTGTCAATATCAGAGGTAACACCGGAAATTTTACCATTCCCATTATCAATAATTTTCTGCTGTTTGCGCTTCAAACAAAGCTGTTCAAAACGTTCCAAAACAATTTGTTCGACCTGACGAAATATCCATGTTGAACATTGATATAATGAATGAAAATATCGTCGTATGGGCGTAAAATATTGTAAAAATGGTAGAAAATCGCTTATATACATTTCATTTATATCGGAAAATATATAATCAAATTTTTCGGCTATTTCTACAAACGATTTCAATGAATCATCGATTTTAGATCCACAATTCATACCCTCACGCTCTGAATCGACAATATCTTTATCAAGTAAGAAATGAAAAAATATTTGACATGATAACTGAATAATTGATTGTTTTTGTAGAATTTTCATTCCATTCCCAGATGATGATGAATCGTCATTACGTCGTATTTGTTGTAATAATCGTTGATTAGCTATACGTATACAACCGGATAAACGTTGAAATGTTTGTGTACCAAATCTTGGTATAACCGCTGCATGTGCAATCGATCGTCGTTGTTTATGTACATCGGTCCAATCACAAAGTGCTAATGCATTTTGTCGATCCATATCAAAATATAGCGCATGACGATTAAAATGTGGACGATTAGCGAAATGTTCACCTTTTGTGATTAAAACTTCACGCATTGTTTCGACTGATGATATCAGTACGGTGGGAAATCGACCCAATTGTAGCCGACAAATCGGACCAAATTGTTGGCGGAAATTATCGAAACCAACCCATGGATTATTTGAATATTTTGCCAATTGAAAAAGATTACCAATAATTGGTAATGTAAATGGACCAGGTGCATCTACGAATATACATGCGTGTGTAAGGAAGAAAGAAAAGAAATTATTTAAATTATCGAAAAAAATCAAAGTCGTAATTCATTGGATGACAAGTGAATTACAAAAAAAAAAAATTCACCCATCATCATAATCATTTTCAAAGCCAAGGCCAAGGACAAAATGATAATAAATTGTAAACAAATGAAATAATTTTTTCTAGCCTGAGAAATGTCATCAACAACCAATACCATGTCATTATTAGTTTGAAAATTAGTTTTGTGTATATTTAATGCCTTAAAGGCCTTAGAAATTTCGATCAATCGACGGGTGTTCCATCATCATCTTTGTTATCATCATATAGAATCAACAAGTGGAAAAAAATGCAAAGCGATCATCACACACATATGACCTTGGCCTGGATCGAATGTTTTATCGTTTTGTTTTTCATCATTTTACATTCGAATTTATCTAGATAAAATGTTTGTCGTGTGTTTGTATTTTTTTTATTAACATATAAACAAACAAGTGAAAGTTTGTATATGTAAATGTGTGATGGTCGTCTTTGGCTTTTAAAAATTTTAAATTTTTTTTTTTGCAACTTTTTCTTCCAAATCTAAAAACAATAATGATAAACAAAATCTAGGTGATAAATTATATAAATATTTAAATCTCAATCTCAATCACTATCGTCATTGATTATCGGTCCATATGATATTGACCTTCATCATGTGATAATGATGATGTTAAAGTTCGAAACCTGTTGTGTTGAAAATGATCGGAATTTTGTTTGAAAATTTTGAAAAATGTTTTTGTGACAAAGTTAACAATTTAACAAAACACACATATAAAACTTACATGGCAGATGATAAACATTTTCCAATGATGATAGTCTATCAACTTTCAATAATCCAATCGATTGTTCTAGTTTATTTGGTCGGAAAAATTTCCGGTATAGTTTTTGGAAAAATTTTTCAATAATTTTTTTCATCGATAATTCCATCTTCAACGACGAATCTTTTATATCATTATTATTATTATTATTATTCTTTGATGATTTCCATTGCCGTTGTCGTAATTGTTGTTTATGTTGATTTTCATTTGTTAAGGATGATTTCGATTGAACAAATATTGAATCATTGTTTCCGGATATTCCTCGTTGACATAGACATTTCAAATGATTACGAATCCATGATGAAATGATTATTGCCATAAATACCGTTATTAATATGGTTATAATGATAATTATGGCCATCAATTTTGTTGTTGTTATTGATGATGAAAACATTTCCAACGGAATAAATGGTAACATTTTGTTTGTTTTGCTTTTTGCTCCAAAAATTTCTCAAAAAAAAAAAAAAAAAAAAAAAAAAAATAAATGATTCTTTAATTCAAATCAATGATTATGATGAATGAATGAATGAATGAACAAACAAACAAACAAACAAACAGACAAACAAATAATAATAAACGATTAAACAACACAGCACAATCTTTATATATACGGTGATGATGTGATAAAAACACACACAGCAGGGTTGATTTTGTCTTTTTTTGTCTTGTCTCCTATTTTCTCTACATGTTCACATGATGATGACCATCATCATCATCATCATAATCATCCTGGATGTAGCGCCACCAGAAACAACCAGCTAACTAACTAACTAACTAACTAACCACAATATATAATCTGACCAAAAAAAAACCTTTTCAATAATAATGATGATGATGATGATGATGATCAAGAATGATGAAGTTCTTTAATTTCATTTCACTTTACTTGTTTGTTGAACATTTTTCAATTTCATTTTTCCAAAAAAAAAAAAAAAAAAAAAATTAAAGTAAAGTAACTAAAAAAAACTTTTTTTTTACGGTCAATCTTATCTTTTCAACAATCTATTTGGTTATTGAATACGATTTATATCTATCTAATCTACCTATTTTTCTGCCTACCTCCCCATACATATTTGCTAGATTGAGCTTATCAACCACATTTGACGACGAACCACATTTTTTTGGAAAAAAAATTCTACTCAAAAAAAAACAAAAAAAAAATTAAAAAAACCCGTTTTCGACCTTCGAAAGCACCAAGCAAAACGAAAATTTTTCTCAAGGAATTTTTTTCTCTCTCCCCCTTTCTCGCTCTCTCGTTCTTTCTTTCTAGTTCACCAATCTCCAATCTCAAGATGATGAGCAATTGATTCGAATGATAATTTATTATCCCGAAAAAAAACCCTAGCCACATAGCCACATAATAATAGTATACATAACAGGTGTAACAGGTATAACTTTCTGACAATCAACAACAACGACAATCATCATCATTGATCAAACGTCTTGACCAATCAACCAACCAACAAGGCCACATAATCACCTTCACCTTCAACACCATTTTTTTTTTTTTTTGTAAAAAAAGAGAGAGTTTAACCACCACCATTTTTGTGTTTTTTTTGGGGAATAAGGAATTTTTTTTCAGTTTATTCGATTTGAAATAAACTGGTCAAAGAAAAAAAAAATTTGAAACCGTTCTTGGAACCCAAACATAATTCATAATCAAACTGTGATAATGATTTTTATCAACTGGAATTTGGTTTACATCATCAACTGGATGATTCCGATTCATGATGATGTGTTTTTTTTGGGGGGGAATAAGGAATGAGGATTTTTTTTCAGTTTATTCGATTTGATTCCAGAATAAACTGGTCAAAGAAAAAAAAAATCAAACTGTGATAATGATTTTTATATAACTTAAAATTTGATTATTTTTGCTTTTATTCTCGTTTTCATTTTATTACATTAGTAGTAATTATAAAAAGAAATTTTGTGTGTATGTGATGTCTGTTGTGTAATATTGTAATAGAATTTTTTTTGCTGTTGTTGTTGTTATCGTTGGTTTACAATTTTTTTTGATACCGGCCTAGTTTTGTATTTGTGTGTATCGGGGTAAGAGATTTGATAATTGGGAAATTTTCTTTTTTTTTCATATTTTGTTTTGACATGAAATTTGGTTTTATTAGCCTGAATTAATTGATAATAAATTAGTGTGTGTGTGTGTGCATGTGTTTTTATGTTTGAATGAGTATCATCAATGTTTGAATTCTTAAATGGCAATGTATTAGTTGTGGATAGTGATGATGACGATGAACAATGGATCCAAAAAAAACGCTTATAAAAATTGATGGCGAAAATTTCCATATGTTTTTCCATCCTTTACACACACTTTTTTCAACTAGTCAAATAAAACATATGTAATGGTGTATGTATTAGATCGAATCTAGTTCCTTTTAAATTTGCTCCACGTAGATTTACTTCATTCAAATCGGATCCGGATAGATCACAGTTTTCTGTAAAAGGAAAAAAAATTGAATAGAATTATTATGAATTATTTCTTCATTGTCGAAAATAATTTACCAAGATTAGCACCGGCTAAACATGAATGATCAAGATTACAATTCTGTGCATTAGCATTTTTCAATGATGCAATCCTTAGATTTACACGATGCATTTTTGATCCTTCAAGATTAACATTCTGAATACAAATGAAAAGGAAAAAACAATTAACAAATTATCATCAAATGAATCATTCATTCATTGACTTACATTAAGATTTGCACCTTCCAAATTAGTCAATTCAGTTAATGTTGGTGAATCCATATTTGAACCACGTAATATTGAACCTTCAAGATTACAGCATACCATATGACAATTGATTAATGATGCACCTTCCAAATTACATTTAGACATATCGGCACGTTCCAAACAACAATTACTTAATGTAGCACCCTGTAGATTAGCACCACGTAATATTGCATATTTAAAATTTATATTACTTAAATCTAGCCGTGAAAGATCGGCACCAGATAAATTGACACCTTGAAATCGAAGACGTGTTGCCGTTGATGTTTGTATGATTGCTTTAACAACATCTTTACGTGTTAATGGTGCCAAACCAATGGAACGTTCAATTGTATTTTGTAATAATGATTCCTGTAATACGGTTGCCTCTAATTCCGGTATTAGTGAATAGAAACCATAGAATTTTGCCTCTTCCAATACACCCATTGGATTTAAATGTTTATCAATGATTAGATTACCATGTCGTAGATAGCCTAATAATGGTTCAAAATATTCAGGACTACGATCAATCATATAGGCACCTTGTTCATCGATTAATGATGGTACAATACAGGTATTATTATTATCGATTAATAATCTTGTCATTGTCATTGTTGTTGTGGAATTGCTGTTGTTACACGGTAAATCATCATCACCATTATTTTCATCAATTTTTGGCATTAGATTATGATCACAGTTTTTATCATCATTATTATTATCCATCGATTGTTTTTCATTCAAACAATCGTTTACATTAATTTCATTTCGTTGGTTATTATTGTTGCTGATTAAATCAAATGTTGATGATGATAATGTATCGAACATTTTTGCCAACATTGATTCTGGTTCTTTTGCAATGATTGTTGAACGTGTTGTTGTAAATATTCGACCACCAATATTTAATTTAATCCATTCATCATTTAATTTTGTTTTCATAATCATTTTTGTACATGAATTATTTGTTCCATTACCACAACTGCTACAACTACTATTACGGAATGATGATTGCAATTGTAATTGTTTATAATAATTATCAGATTGTTTTTGTTGTTGTTTATTATCAATTATTTTGTTGTTGTTGTTGTTGTTGTTGTCGCCGTTACTATTATTTTCATCATGAATCATACATAAACATTTGGCAGTCATAATATCACCGGTATCATTATTAACAAAACAAGCAAATAATATTTCATCATCACGTATTAGATTTATATCATCAATTTCACCATTTGTACAAGTAAATAAACGTAATTGTTGTTGTTGTTGTTGTTGTTGTTGTTTATCATTTGATGATTCGACAAACTTTATTGTGTCATTTTTTAAATTTTTTCGAAATTTTTTATTAATATCCGCTATTAATGTATCGATATCGTTGGGTATGGCAAAAACCTATTTAATGAATAAAAAAAAGAGATTATTAATTTTTTTTTTGTTTTTTCTTAAACATACACAACATCATAATATAATAATATACCTTGCCATATGGATGTGAATGACATTTTTGTAATTGATCAATATTATTGTGTGGTCTTGTATCTATATAAATAGTAACACGTTTATGTTGTGTTCCATTGTTGAATGCCATTATTTTTCGTATGTCGTATTGTTTGTGTGATTCAAATTTATTTTTTTTTTTGTTGTTTTTTGTTGTGGAAATTCAAATCATCAAATCTTTTTAATAATAATAATTTCTATATATCTATATATCAAAATTAATCACAGTGGAAATGATGAAGAAAAAAAAATAAAGCATGGTCAAATCATTCATTATTGATTATTGATTGATGGTGATTGCTATCAAGTAAAAGCGAAAGTGGAAAAAAAACAAGAAAAAAAACGATGATGATGATGATGATGATAAAAGATGAAACTTAATGTTTTTTTCATACAAAATTCATTTTCTCTCTCTCTCTCTCTTTCTATTTCGGAAACGACTATGATAATATGGAATATATTGATCGTGAAAATTAATCTAATCGAACATGTGTGTGATATCGATTTTTTTTATTCAAATGAAGAAAAAATGAATTGACAAATAAAAAATAAATAAATAAACAAATTCTATCCTGATGATTATGCTTCTACGACGATTATCAAAATAATATTCGAATGTTAATTATTACTAAACAACAACTGCTTGAAATATTAGATTTTGTTTTTGCTTGCTCATTTTATATATTATTATTCTAAATTGTATACTTTATCTAACACACACACACACACAGGAAAAATCAAATCATATGAATCACATTTCCATGGATAGATGGATGGATTTGGATTGGAAAACTTACACTATTTTTTTTTGTTTTGTTTTGTTTTGAATGATGAATTATTTAGGCTGAATAACACAATGATTTTTTACATACATACATACACACACAGAAAGAGAAGATAAAGATGAAACAAATGAAATGAAATGAAAATTGAGAATCGTCAAAAAAAAAATTCTGAAATATCAATACATACCTAAATGAATAAATGAATGAATGGATCGAAAATGAAAATGAAAATGAATTTTGAAAATAGAAAATGAAATGCAAGCGACGACCAACCAAAAGCAACAAAAAAAAGAAAAAACAACTTTCGTCTTCAATTTCGGTTGTTGCTGTTGTTGTAGGTGGTGGTTGTGGTGGTGGTAGTAGAGATATTTTCAAAATTGAAACCGAAAATAAATCGACTTGAGAACAAGTGTGTACAATTTTAGATTGGATGATGATAATTTTTTGATGAAAGAGAAATTTCCATCAAATTTTCCATCATCATTATATTATTATTTGTTTTGAAAAACCAGAAAAGAGAGAGTGTTTAGGTTCGTTGTTCTTTCGGTTGATCAAACTTTCTCAGGTCGTTTGTTTCAGGATTTTGATACCATCATCATCATCATTCAACAATACAAGCTGGTTTCTCTTTTTTCGATTGTTTTGATTTCTGGTTTTGGAACGTCATTTTTTTCTTGAACAAAAAAAAATAAATATTCTATTCGGGCACTGTTCTGATGATCTGGTTTCGTTTTTCTTGGTTTCTCTCTCTCTCTCTCTCTCTCTCTCTTCTTCTTCTGGACAAGCTGGTTTTCGTTTTGTCGTCTTCTTGTTGTTATACACACATTACATTTATTCAGTCTGCCCGTTTTTCGATGTTTTGTCGATGAAAATTTGACCTAGATTTTGATCGTGGTTGTTGCTGTTGCGGTTGTTGTTGGCGTCGGCTGCTATTCGATTTAGTTCAAAAAAAAAAATTTCGTGTTTCAATATTTTTAGTAGATATTTTGGTTCAACATGACACGGGCATACATACCCAGAAATAAGTGAGAGAGAGAGAGAGATGAAGAGATATAACTGCATTTCATATCGTTCTCTCTGTCCCTCTATCTCTATTTTTCCCGTTAGTCGGTCAACACGACGGCTTATTGTTGTTGATGATGATGATGGCTTACACATCCACATTACAAATACACACACACATAGAAAGACGCCATGCATACATTTTACACACACACACACACATTCGACCTATAGACGCCAACCAGCTGGATTTTTTTTTCTTTCATTCTTGGTTTGGTTGCTGTCTATATATATAATATATAATAATAATGTTTATGTGTATTTTTTTGTATGTTTAAAAAGCTAAAATTATAACGGTATATATTTACAATGATATCTTTCTTTTTTTTTTCCATTGCTACTGCTGCTGCTGCTTCTGCCGTTTAGTTGGTTAGGTAAAAAAATGCTTCTACCTCATGTGTATGTGGAATGTCATTTCTATTAAATACAATCTACATTTTATATATGTAGATGGCGACGATAATTTTTTTTTTTTACTGGTTAAAAGATCGATAATAATTGTAGCAACAATAATTTCAAAAAAAAATGACCATGATCATAATCCAGGTTTTTTTTCTGTTTACAATAAATGAATTCAATTCAAAAAAAAGCGCAAGCGTATTTGAAAACACCGGAATAAAATATTTTACATACATTGTATAACTTATATATTCTTTATATATTCAAGGGACCCTAGTAACAAGAAAAAAAATATGGGCCAAATGTGTAGTTACCAGAGTCCTAGAATGCGCTTTCACACACACACACACTCACACACAATATATGGCTGTAAATAATTAAAGAATTGTGGATTGTGGATTTTTTGTTTTGTTTTTTTTGACACTTTAATCACTGTTATTATTATTATTATTATTATTATTGCAGACACACACACACACAATGATGACAGCCATAATTGCCATTAATATTATTAATATAATAATGACGATGATGATGATGATGATTACAATGATTTTATTTTTTTATTTTTATTATTGTTTTTATGATGACGATGATTATAATGATGACAAGTTCCTTATAGCAATAATAATAATCATCATCATCGTATATAATCGAAACGAACAAACAAGATTGGCACATTCATTTCATTCATTCATTCATGTGTTGACAAAAAACAAAACAAAAATTTCCTGAGCAATATCGGAAATAAAAAAAAAAATAAAATAATAATTTTCCCATTTAAATTGCATGTATGTATATGTATATGCTTGCATACAATTGCATAAACGGAAACGGGGAATATTTGCAAAAAAATAAAAATTTCAAAAAAAAAACAACAAGAAGAAAACAATTTACACATGACTACATGATATTTGGATATTTTTCCGCTTTTTTTTTCTCTTGTTAAATAACGAATGATGATTTTGATGAGCATGTTTTCAATTCCTGAATGAATGAATGAATGATTCAATGATGATCAATTTTAAAAGAAAAATGATAATATAACACGACAATAACCCTTTAAGTTTTTAAATTTGTTTAAAGGAAAGAGAAATTTTTACCGTTTCATTTGTGTGTGTGTGTGTGAGCGTGTATTGTTAACGATATTTTTACCCGTAATAATACATTTATGATTTTTATTCATTTTTTTTACCGGCTAAAAATAAATTTCGGGACATTTCTTTTTATCATGTCATGAAAATGATAATCTATCTAGTGTGAGCAAGAAAAGAGAGAGACAGAGAGAGAAACAAGCAAGCAAAATCACAAATAAATGTTGTGGTTCGCTTTCTTTCCATTACATTTGCACAATTAAATGAATGAATCCAAAAAAAATCATCGACATTCAACATGATATGTTGTTTTTGATTTTTTTTCTCTCAATGTTTGAATGTTGATGATGAAGAGACATCAAGATGATTTGTTGGGGCTAAATTTAGCTGTTCAAAGCACAAATGTACAAATGCATTCTCGTTTATAAAAAAAAAATACCACAAATTTTTCAGATCAAACATTTTTATTTTATTTATTTATTTTTTTTTTTTTTTTTGATATCCACGCCTATGCCGATACCAAAATGATGATCAATACTGGCTTGTATAGCAGTGAGGGTGATGATGGTTTGAACGGGTTAATCATTACGATGCTTGTTCAATGTTCGGTGATGTTTTTTTTTTTTTTTTTTTTTTGATGGCCTAAATTATTATCAATTTTTTAGCAATAGTAAATGATCATATAAATATAACAGAACGTTGTTGTTGTTTGATATTGCAAACAAAACAGTTTCAACAACAATAACGTGTCAAAATGATAATCTCAACATTTACATCATCATGATAATGATTGATAGAAACAATAGAATAGCATATATACACACGATCTATAGATGGTAAATTATAATGTTGTGTGTGTGTGTGTGTTTGTGTAATCTTATCCGGATCATTTAATAATGATTTTTTACCCTGGATAATGATGATGATGATGATGATGATTACGGATCTAATTCATTACTTAATAAATTTTCGAGAAGAACAAAAAAAAAAAGAAAAATCTTTCTAGAAAATCTTATGTATTATCCATCATCGACAGGCAATAATTTCGACAACGCGAATAAACACGATTTTTTTTTCGTTCATCATTTATCTCGATAAATGTCTACGTTTTTTTTCTTATCATCCTTATTCATCATCAACAAAATTAATTAATAATTCAATTCAATTTTATTTAATAATTATCTAATTTTCATGAAATCTTTTACCAATGATGATCATTTAGTAATGACGAAAAAGATTTTCGATTCAAATCACAATCATTCATTAATTTTGGTTTAATTTTGTTTTTTTTTGATGATAAAAAAAATTTATGAATGATGATTATCAAAAAGATTACATTATTTATAGAGATAATCGATTGATGTTTATCATCATGGATAATCGTGTGACACGATTCAATTGTGAAACACATGTTGAATTCTACGACGAATGTCGATTTTTAGATCATAAATGAAACCATAGATAAAACCATTGGACATATACACATTATCATTATCATTATGGTGATGATGATGAATACATATATGTGTGCTATATGTCCGGATTCCAGTCATCAATATCAATATATATTACACATGAACATTCAACAGGTAGTATTATATATATATATATAGTGTATTTATGATTGTAATTTCATTGTGTGCGAATCATGTGAATTATATAATGATATCTATTTGATTATGTTTGTATGTGTTATGATCATGGTAATATTGATCATCTTTTACATTGTCTCATTCCATCATTCAATATTTGAAATCAAAACATTAAAAATGATTTATTATAATTCACAATGATAATAATAATAACAATACAAAAAGACACTATGCCAAGAAGAAGGCACTTGTGTGTGTGTGTCATCAATAATTCACAAAGATCATGATGATGATGATGATGATGATATATTTCGTTTGGAAATGTGGAAAAATAAAATAAAATCCAAGCCTTTTGTTCATGAGATATTTTTTTTTTTCGTTTGTTGTTCGCTTGGTTGGCTGATTCTCCAATATCTTGTCTACCACGATTGGGACACAAACAAAAAAACAAACAAACAAACGGCAATATTATGTACGATTACACACATTATATATACACAATCCCCCGATAGGATGAATGATCAGATTTTTGTTTCCCTGCTGTTTTCTGGAACAAATGATAATGATGGTGATGAGAAAAATGGCAAAAATATTTTTTTTTTTGATCCATTAATGCCAAATGGATCAAAATGTGAGAATTATGAATTGTTCCAAAAAAAATGTTGATGTTTTTTTTGTGTTTGTGTTTGAATAATAGCAAACAAACAAAAAAAAATTGCCATACATCTACAGTGTGTTCAATTTACAGAAATGCTCCAAAATAACGAAAACGAAAACGAAAAAAATTTTGAAATCCACACACACACACACACACACACACACACTATTTGTATTTGTAAATTTGCATCTTTTTTTTCATTTGTATTAGATCAAAATGAATCGATGACCGACTTTTCTTTTATGGTGATGATGATGATGATGATGATGACAATGATCATTATCATTTTTGAAAACATTTCATTCATTTTGATCATTCATTTAACTTAAATGATTGATTTGTGTGATTATTGATTCATCACGATTGATAATGTGCGTGTATTCGTGAATATTTGCGTAATTTGTATCGTTAATCAAATGACAAACAATCTCGAATATCATTGAATTATCATCATCGTGAGCATGATCAAGGAATTATTCGATCAAGAAAAAAAAATTCAATATGGTCAAATCACACATACAAACAAACATTGTCGACATTGACACCACACAATATCATATTATACACAATGTATTTGATTCAAACGAATCAACACATTTTTTGTTTACCATAAAGCATTATGTCATTCTCTTTCTCTCTCTCTCTTTCTTTTGGTTTTTCTTCAAATTCATATTGTCACATTATCATCATCATCATCTAAAGACCCGAAAAAAATGATGATGGTCACATTCCAATGATAATAATTTTTTTTTTTAGCAATTCATTGACAATCTTTTGTCTGTCTGTGTGTGTGTGTACATTTTGTACATATTATCAGATCACCATCATCTGAGCAATGATGAATCTTCAAATTTTTTTTTTGCAAATTTTTTATTTCATTTCATTCCATTTTCCAAAACTTATTTACATTTATTATTATGTTGACAATAATCATCGTAATGTCATCTTTTTTTGTTCATTTCATTTTTCATTTAAACGTTTCAGGTCAACATCAAATATATATTCATTTAAATATTCACATCGTATTCATACAAACATACGAAATAGAAAGAAAGAAAGCAAAGCAAAAAAAAAAAAAATTCATCAATTCAAAGTTCAAGTAAATCAAGGTGATCATCATCAACGAGACAAAAGGAAGAGAAAAACTTTATATCATTATTATTGTGTGTGTGTGTGTGTGTGTGTGTATAATTTACAAAAATCGGGGTATCATTTTTTTTTTTTTTTTTTTGAAAAAATTTTTAATTATTTTTTGTAACTTGAAAACAGGTGATAATTTTTTTTGTTCTTTCTTTCTCTTAAATGACATCCATAATGATATTCGAGTTGACATTTTTTTTTTATTTTCTTTTCAGAGAGTTCAAGGAATCAAAATTATTGTTCGTCATTGTCGGCCAATTTAGAATGTCCGAAATTTGAAATGAAATGAAAAAAAAAATTTCATCCATTGGTGTGAAATTGTAATCATCATTTTCTTTTTATCCATTTCAATCATCATCATCATCATCATCATCATTATCATCAGTATTGGAACTGTGTGTGTGTGTGTGTGTGTGATTTTTTCCTGAATTATACAAGATCGATATCACACAATCATCATCATCATCATTGGGGAGAAAAAAAATGGTCAAAATGATTATTGTTCATCATCATCATGTGAATGAAATCAATTGAAAAAAATCGATCAATCGAAAATGATGGAATTTACAAAAAAAAAATAAAAAATCCAAATCTTACACGCAATGCAATGTAAACACAAACAATTGCAATTGTTGCATTGATGATGATGATGATCATATAAGCATTTATAAATTGCTGTCGTCGTCGTGTCGTCTTGTTTCTCTTTACCAAGATCATCATCATCATCATCATCATGGTTATGATCATCATCTTCTTCAATTGATCATCTTGATTTCTGTTCTCTCATTTTCTATGAATTTTTTTTTTCGTCAAAAATATTTTCTCTGTGAAATTCTCTCATCATCATCATCATCATCATCATCATTGAATTATTAAGTCACAAGTATTATCATTTGCCACCGTTTTTCTGTCTGTGTGTGTGTGTGTCTCTTTTTTTTTCTTCTTGTTTTCGGATATGGATTTCGTTGATTTGATTTTTCGATTATTCTATTTTTTTCCATCGAAAAGCCGACAACGATGTATGGATCATGAATGATGATGAAAAAAAAATAAATTTTTTTTTTAATTTAACACAGACAACACAAAAGAGACTTACTTGCTTCTGTATTTTCTGCTTCAATAATATTTTTAAAGATATATTGTGAGAATGGTTGATGGTGGTTGAATATCATCATTTTCATTCATGTTTTGACGACATAGTTCAATATCATCACTCATCATTATTTCCATTCATTCTATTAGACGGCCAACGACAATTCGTACATCCATCATTATCAACAATCATCGATTGTCTACAATCGATAGTCGTCAATGTTGCATGTGTTTGTTTTTAAAATTAGAAATTCGAATTTTTTCGTTTTTTCTCTTATTTACCACCCTCTTCATATTCAAAACGATAACGGTCTTTTTTTTGTTTGATGAAAAATATTTCCAGTTTTTATAAATGTGAAAAATTATTTATTTTTTTTTCTCTTCGTCATTGAACCAGTTTTATTTAAACAAAAAATTTTATTCTCCTATTAAAAATCATCAGCTACCATGGCTATCATTGAATATCATTGGTGTAAGAAGAAAAAGATGGACAGCAGCAGCAACAACAACAACAACCGATCAATATTAATGTTGAACAACACTAAAAAGAAAATGAAAAACCGGACCTGTATGATGGTAATTCATTCACGAATATTATATAATCATAATCATTCCTTTTTAATGTTACCATCATCATCATCATCATCGATTTTTACCATCCTAATAATTTTTTTATCGATAATGATTACATCATCGATTTTTGATAATATAAAAATGGTCGATACATCACCTATTGCCGAATCAATGTCAATGTTTCGTTATAAAACAAACTTTTATGAAATGTTACGTATGCGTGCTAAACTAGTACGTCATTCAACTCGTAATGTACATACGGCATTATCATTTCTGAATTCTAATTCGAATAAAAATACATCATCATCATTATCAATGACCAATAATGATAATAACACTAATAATAATAATGATGATCCAATTGGAACAGGCCTAACAACAACAATACCTAATAATGACAATTACGATAATAATAATGATGAGGATCCTGTTGTTGTTGTATCATCCGTATCATCATCATCAATGTCACCATCGTTGACCTCAACAACATTAACAAATAATAATCAATCTGATGATAACGATGATGATATTGTTGTCATAATTAATCACAATCAAAATGATGTAAAAGATCGTGAAATAATTTCACCAACAACAACAACATGGCGACCAAATCTTTCTTATACATTAATAAATAATGATAAACGTGATGATCAAAATGGCCAACAACAACAAAAGCAAAATCCATCCAATGTTGATATTAATAATTCTCATTTAAATCATGTATCGACAATGGCTACAAATGATGATGGTGATGATGATGAACATAATAATTATAATGATAATATCATGGCCATTATTGGTGATGTGGGAGTTAATCATGGAAATAATAACCTGAATAATAATTATGAAGATTATTATGTTGATGTTAATCCTTCATCATCATCAGTGACGACAACGACAAAATTAGTGAAAACGGAATCATCACCTTCATTTACAACAACAACGGAATCAATGCCATATGGATCTAACAACAACAATATAAACAACGATAATCATATACAATTTGTTCCTGCAAGTGAATCATATTCATCATTGACAATACCTACACATTTATTATATCCATCATTATCAACATTTATTATTAATAACAATAATAACAATAGTCATAATAAGCTGGATAAAAACAATACTGTTGGCAATCAACAACAGCACGTGTCATCACCATCATCATCAACAACATCATCATGGTGGAAACCTTCACGTAATAATCATATTTGTGGTATACAATCTTCATATCATGTAGTTTCATCGTCATCATCATTGGTGTCAATGAATTCGAATATTTCTCTATCAACACCAACAACAACAACAACGTCGACAACCGCTATTCCGCAATTGACTACAATGACAACATCCAAATCGAGCACCGTCATATCATCTCCACATTCGTCATTGATTCAACAACAACAACTTCGAACAAGTCGAATCGTTGGTGGCGATGCCGTCATACAAGGCGAATTTCCATGGATGGTAAATATGAATGAAAAAAATTCAAAATTTCCGCTAAAAAATCTATCTCAATTAACCTATTTTAATCGAAATGAAAAAAATTCACAATGCTCTTACGCCATCTATCGAGAGCGATAGTAAAATTTTTACAAAATTACTAATTCTTTTTTTATTACCTTTCAACAGGTGTCGCTATTGCTTCGTGGAAGACATTATTGTGGCGCCGTTATAATCGATCAGGATTGGCTATTGACCGCTGCACATTGTGTTTATGGTCATGATCCCCATCAATTTACCGCATTGATTGGTAGTATATTCAGTGTTTCGGCATCATCATCATCACGGAAATCATCCACAACAACAACTACAGCTTCGACATTATCACAACAAAAGTCATCAACTCATCGAACACCGTCATCAACTTCTTTACCATCGTCATTATCTTCAACGATAAAACCATTATCAACAACGAATAAAAATTTCTGGAATCTATTCCCACCATTACCGCCACCACATCAGACCATATCGAATGTATTGAAAGAAAACCGAACAAAAGAATATTTCAATGTTGTTGATGATGATGAAGATGATGATGATGTTCATCATCATCATCATAGGCCAATTAATACGGATGATCTAATCATTGTTGTTGAAGATACAAATGAAGAGGAAAATAATGATAATTCAGATAATCTTAATACATATCATCATCATATTTCATCGATGGATATGAATAGTAGCCATAAAGAATCATCGAATTCAAATTCATCATCATCGGATGGATTGGAAAAACATGGATCATCTATGCATAAAAAACATTCGAATCAAAATCTTCGATTAGTCAAAATTGAACAATTGATTGTACATGAAAATTTTACTCGTACCGAATTTTTTCGTAATGATATTGCATTAATCAAGTATGTATAACCACTCAAAATTATATGATTTATTCGACAATTAATTCATTATCGATTGACAATCGAAATTTCAACAAAATGAAATGAGTCTCTTGTCATATTGCAATCAGTAGTACCAAAAACACCTGTATTGATTGATGAAAATTATTTTTTCATTTCGCTTCTGTGTGCGCTTATACCACTCGAATACATCTGAAACTGGAAATGATATACAATGCCAGTGACGAAGGAACAGAAAAATGATTTCTCTGGATCATTAATCATTTATTTGTTTGTTTGTTTTAGTGTTGTTCACCGAAATTTACATCATTTTTTCGTTATCCATACAAAAACTCCACAACCACTCAAACATTTTTTGTACATCATCAAAGTCAGAATACAGCTAATTAATTATCACTATAGTTGTTTATAATAATCAATTCAGTAAGATGAATAATCCAAATGAAGGTAGGGAAGAAACATCATCAGATTAAATTACTTATTCAGAGGTCATTCAGGTCGATTTTTGTGTTTTTTCTTTCTTTCGTTGTTGATTATTGTTGGCCACACCAATCAATACACTTCATCTTTTGCCGTTTTTTCAATTATCTTCTTGGGTTTCTATCCCATTTTTTTTTTCTTCTTTTCTCTTCATCGGAGAGAGAGGTGTTAATTAATTGCCAATGATGATGATGGTGGTGGAGGCCTGGATTTTTTGTTTTTGCATTTTATCTTGAATATCATTTGAAAAAAATCGAATAAGATTGAACAATTAATATATCCTTGAACACACCTTCTCTTCAAACCTACCAACGCGTTTTTTTTCGCAAAAAAATTTGATTTGAAAAACGAGGCTCACTTATTTTGACATTATCTTTGGTTTTTTTTCAATTTAATTTAATTTAATTCAATTTTTATTTTGAATTCATTCAATAATAATGAGATAGCATCATTGTCTATTTAAAATGATGATGATGATTAGTAAATTTCTCTCTTTCTAGACAATTTAAACGACAATTTGATTTATTAATTTCAATTTAAATTGTCGAAAATTATCGAAGCTTTTTTTTGACAGGTGACATATTCATTCATTTGTCTGAGTACATTTCATTTTCAAGACTGTATAAAATTATCATTAATTTTATTCATTTGTTTATTCATTCTCCATAATCACACCATCACCATTATATATAGGCTTAGTGAGAAGTTAATTTATAATGAAAATATATCACCAGTTTGTCTACCAACAATATCGATGGCTACATCTATATACAATCAAAATCATCTAATCACAACATCATCATCAATGATGAATGGACAGCCAAATTATCATCATCATGATTTAGATGATTTGATGGATGAAATGAATATTCCATCATCATCATCATCAACAACAACATCGATTAATAATGTTGATGATGATGATGATGTTGATCAGAATTTAAAATTAAGTCATCGACGTGGTTATCGTGCTGCAGCGGTTTCACCAAGTTTGATACCATCATCATCATCATCATCATTGGATCATCATCATCATCATTCAACCGGAATCGTTGTCGGTTGGGGTTCAGTTGAACGTCATGGTGATTTATCCGGTACCGGTTCAAGTGCAACAATGGATCAATCAACACAATCACATCATCATACATTGGCCGATGATTTTGTTGAACAATGGAATCGTATGCGTAATAATAATACTGGTCATACAAACAACAACAATAACATGTATATCGATAATGATAATGATGGCCGTTGGACAATAATGAATCCTGTATTAGATTCAGATGATCTATTACAGTTACGAAAAGTTGAACTGCCATTTATTGATCGTTTTACATGTGAACGTTGGTATGCAAGCCGTTCACGGCCAATACAATTGATTGAACGACAATTCTGTGCCGGCCTTTATGAAGGTGGTAAAGATGCTTGCCGTGTAAGTGTTTTCTATTGAAAGTGTAAGATTTTCAATAACTAATAATTTTATATTCACTATTAAAGGGCGATTCTGGTGGTCCAATGTTGGAACGTTTACTTACATACGATTCTATTAATCATCGTATGATGGAACAGTATCGTATTGTTGGTATTGTATCGGCTGGAATTGGTAAGACTAAGAATTGATTTCTTTCATTCACTTTACTCAAATTTTCAAAAATATTTTCACAGGTTGTGCTCTACCAAAATTACCGGGAATCTATACACGTGTTGAATCATATTTAGATTGGATCGAATTGAATATTAATCATTATGAAGAGGAAAAAGTTCGACAACAACAATATAATAATGATAATAATAGTGATTCAAATAACCTTTCCTCATCTTCTTTCATATCACCATCGATAATCAAATCAAATTCTTATCATCCACATTATCCACAAACACATAATAATCATATTTATAATTATGAAACAAAATTAGATAATTATCATTATCATCATCCATCATTGAATGATCATGATATGGATTATGATCAATCTATATTATATCCGGATAATGTATCCGAAATAGAACCAAATCCGGATGAAGATCCAGATCTAGGTTGGAGTAGATAGAGCATAAAAAGTCATAAAGTTCATAATTTTTTTGATGAGAATTTCATTTTTATTATTATTATTATTTTGCAATGAATTTCTCATATAGAATCGACATGCATACAAACACACCGAAAGCATCTATTGATCATTGACAGAATCTAGTCATATTAAACACACAAATATTTTATGTCGATTACATTTTTCTGTTCAAAAACCATACCAATAATTATGTATGATTATTCAAATTTTATTTAAAGTTAATAAATTAATTTCAATAAAAATGAATCGAATATAAGATTATTGAACAGACTGACAGTCATTATTATTATTATCATCACGAAATCATTCATCATCTCAATCATCATCCTTATATTATGATTATGGTGTCAACAACAAGTTTATAATTGATCATCATTCATTCATTGATGTATTTCAAAAAGAAATTTGTTTTAGATAATCAAGACAAATAATAATAACCATTGACAAGTATTATCAATGACCAAAAAAAAAAACAAAAACATTTTCGATTGTTTTCGAATGGCATTTATTTTGACACCTGTTTGAAGATATATGTGTGTGTTAATTGAACGAACAAACGAATTGATGTTAATAATGATGATCATCATCATCCTCATCACCATTGATGATGACTAGTCATTTTTTCTTCTTATCATCATGCCATCATCAATGGTAATCATCATCAATTCGTTTTTTTGGCCGTATTGATAGCATACAAAAAAATTATCCTGATATTAGGAAATTCAGTATTTTTCCGATTTCTCTCTCTCACTCTTATTCGACAAGATAATTTTTTCAAGTCTTTGACGCTTGTCATTTGTTATGAAATTATTATTATATTATAATATAAACGAAAACAAATTAGGCCAATTTGATAATGTTGTGGTGTTTGTGTGATGTTTATTAGAAAATCAATGTAATATGTGGCGGTCATCATTTCATCATAATCATCATCCGGATGATCATCCAATCATTCGACAACGATGATGATGATGATGATGATGATAATTACGATTATTCGGATGATATGATTCTTCGTGTCCAATTTTATTATTATTATTTGAATTCAAATGCTAAAGCTTCAATTAAAGGCTCAAACACATAGACACACACATTTGTTGTTGTAAATTTTAGTGTGTAACGCAAAAAAAATAGACAACAACAAATAATTCTTCATTGAAATGAATTGGTTTTGTAGATTGGTTGGTCGAATTTTTTTTTTGGGTTTGCTACGACTCAAAATTTTAATCATTTTTATACAATTTTGTTTATGTCATTGTTCGAGATACTGTAAAATAATAAGCGAGCACACACGCGTGTTCTTATTTATTCGGGGGCCATTTTGTTCGTTCATCTTCATGATGATGATGATGGTCATCATTATCATCTTTGAAAATGGTCGACCATTTTCATTCTTCATCATCATCATCATTGACGTCGTCATCGTCGATCCTATTTCGAATTGGTTTCGATTTATGTCGACTTCTTATCATCATCATCATAATCATCATATATTCATTGGCTGACATTCATCATCATCTTCATCAACCAGGTATTTTTTTTTATTTTTTTTTTTTTTTGATTTTGGTCACGCAAAGTCATGCCAAATGGTCATCATCATCATCTTCGTCGTCATCGTCGTCGTTGTTGTTGTCTTCAAAAAATATTTCAACGACTTTGTTTTGTCGTCATCATCATCATCATCAATATCGACAAAGAAAAAAAAGGTTTTTTTCTTTCGTTCGTCTACAAAAATATAACTCGAATTTGCTCCATAAAAATAAACTGATCGTGTCTTCGAACCATTTAATGTTCATCATTTGTGTTCAAAAGAAAATAAAAATAACGAGTACGAATCAAGTGAGAGAAAAAAAAAGAAAACTTATCATTTATTTTGGATCGTTATTTCATGATGTTCTTAATTATTACGTTATCTACGAATGGTCATATCCAAATATGAACATTTATTTTATTGTCGTCATTAGATATTGATATCATCATTTTTTTTTCTTAAATTTTGTGACAAAAATATTTTTTTTTTTTTAAAACCTAAAAAAATAAAGATTTTTTTTTCTCTATTGTCATCATCCATTATTGTGGTCATGTCATCGTCATTTGTGATAATAATAATAAAAAGTTTCACGATTTTATTTTGATGGACAAAACAAAACTGATAAAAATGATTGGCAAGTTTTTTTTTATTGCATATTCTCGATAATATCATTATTGTAATGAATCAATGAATGTGTCTGTGTTTACGTATAATGTAACGGTATGTCACGAAATTGGAGCAAATAATTATTTTTTTTTTCTTATTTTGTTCTGTTTGTTTGTAACGTTTAACCAATATTGTCATATTGTGACTGTAAATTTTTTTTGTTTTGGTCATATTATTATTATTCGATTCTTGATATGGAACGATGATCATTTCTTTCTTTCTTTTTTTTTTTTTTGCTTTTTCATCCTTGATCCTTGATTTTTAAATTTAAATTGAAATTTTTCGTTTCATAATATTAATTTTAAAAAAACAAAAAATAGAGACAACACCTTGAAATTGAATGAATTTTTGTTTTGTTCTTTTTCTCAACACACACATACATACACACACACACATGACATTTGACATAAATTAATACTACAAACTATTAGGTGATAATAAAATGAAATCATGAAACCAGAAAATTTCGGAAAGAAAAAAAAATAGAAATTTGTGAATGTAAATTAATTAAAAATTTCAAAAAAAACAGCTAATAATTTTCTGTTCTGATGATTTGACTCCCTAATCATTTTTTTCATTGATGAAATTTTTGTTTCTTTGTTTGATTGAACAGAATTAAAATTGAAAAAAACTAAATTGATAAGAAGAAGAAGAAAAAAAGAAAAGAAGTAGAGCAAAAAAAATAATAATAACGAAAAGAAAAAATATCGAAAAATAAAAGAAAAAACTTCGATAATATCAACAAGAACAAGATGTATAAGAAAAAGATTTTGGATAAAGATTGAAAATCAATTAACACCGTCTTCGTCGGTGTTTGATCAGATCAGAAAATCATGAAATTCAACAAAACAATCAATAAAAACCCCTTGTAATAATAAAAAAGTTCTTACCGTACCGCTAAAATCAATCTATATGAAACATCCATACATCAATGATTAGCATATTTTTCAACAAAACATTACAGTTGGCAAAAAAATTTTGTTATTGTATCGATCATATCAGATGATAATCATCATCATCATCGTTATTATTATTAAAAAAAACAACAAAACATTGTGCTATTTTTTCGCAAATAGGTTTAAGGCCCCATTCATCATTTTTTGTTTGGTGTTTGGTTATTGTTATTGTTGTTGAAATGATTATAATCAATGAAAATCGGTAGCCAGTTTTTTGTTGTTGTTGTTGTTAATTATTACTATTATTCACACCTTTTTTTTCGGTTATCCACCTACTTATCTAGCCAACCAAAATTGTTATTATGCTTCTGTTTTTTTTACACAAACACACACATATCAATTTTAAGTTGATCAAATTCACAATTTGTGGTCAACACACCTGAAGGTGATTAATTAGAGCTGATAATAATTATTATTATCATCAAATTTTGGTAGAACGTGGCTACCATCACAACCACCTGGACATCAATCTATTTTCTTCTGTTTTTTTTTGTTGTTGTTGTTGTTGTGGCCATCAATTTTCGGTTTGTTTTTTCTGTACAATTTGTAAGTATATTTGATCTTTGTGTGTCTAGACTGTAGACTTTTGACGACAACAATGGCGAATCAAGTATCATTCCTCAGATAATAATTATTATTTGACATTCGAATTGGTGGCTAGATTTTTTTTTTTTTGATTTTCACAACCTAACACCTTTGACTTTTTTTTGGTTCGGCGACCCTAGGATCTAGAGTTTTTTGTTAGTGAATGATGGCTACTTGTTTTTGATCATCATCATCATTTAGTATTATTCTAATTATCACATGTGTAACTATAAGGTTTGCGTGTCATTGTAATAATCATAATCATCATCATCATTTGGGTTTGGGATTTTTTCTAAAAATTTTTGAAAATCCAAATGAATGGCAAAAATTCTAAAAAAAATCTCATCCAAAAATGATCAATCAATCTATCATTTGATCGATACACACAATCATGTGTGTCTACTACTGTAAGCATTCACGACATTGGTCCATGATCAGTCATGAATGCTTACATTCTTACCAATAATTTATGTTGATCATCAATTGTGTTCACGATTTTTTTCTTTTTTTTTCTATTTGAAAATCCGAATATTCATTGTCCAATTATCACCTATGTCTGTAGCTTGGGGTCGCAGTACTCATCATCAATAATGATAATTATCATTACCATTTAACAGTGACTTTATTTTAGAGGCGAAAAAGAATTTGTTGTTTTTTTCTTTTTGATTAACTTCTGATTGATTGATTGACTGATTAGCTTTTTCATATTCTGATGATGATGGTTAATGGTCACGCGTTCAACCTAATGACACACGGTGACCATTACACTTATCATTATCGACTGGCTTTGACTTAATCGGGCGGTTTTTTTTTCTTGTTGTTGTTGGCAATTATGATCACACCATCATCATTGAACAACATATATTTCAACACCTTTGACCTTTTTGAACGAGTTGAATGATATCAAAATATCAAAAAAAACTGTTTAGCCATTGGTTCATAGTTCATTATTATTATCATTACTGTTGTTGTTATTGTTGTTGTTATTTTTATCGTGTCATCATCATCATCATTATCATGTATCTAGCTAACATTTGACTTGAATTCATCCTCTATCCCCCCCAAAAAAAAATTAAGTGAAAAACTATTTTTCCTTTGTCATCTTTAGCCAGATTTTTGTATTTATAGTATCGAAATAATATATTCAAAAAATCATTTACAAATTGAACTTGTTTTTCCTTGTGTCTTTTTTCAGGTTAATTTTTTCTCATCTTTGGCAGAAAATTCGGTTAATGTTTTTTCGTGAGAATCATCTGTGATCAGGTCAGATCGAATGATAACGTTGGTCCATAAATGATTTGCTTACTCATCATCATCATCATCATCGATTTCTCATTATCGGTCATCGATAAAAATTATTTTATATTTCATCTTTAGAACAGCTAAAAAAAAGGAAAAAACAAGCAAACGGAAATGATATTGATGACAACGATGACATGACATGTTGATTATGATTATTCCGTTATGTCATGATGGTGTCGATTTGTTGCTTTGTCGTTCATCCATATTTAAATATCAATTGATTCCCATGAATGAATTGTCAAATTTTAAATTTTTCTCTTTTTTTATATCATTATTGACCACTATATGATTGGATTGTTTCCTTTGTAGATTCTCGATATCGATTCCGGCCATTAATTGTTGTGTATATTCAGAATTGAGCCAAATCATCATCATCATTATTTTGAAAATTCAAAATGATGATGATGATTTATGGCAATTAATTGATTTTTTCCGGTGGGAGTGGGGGGTTGAGAAAAAAAAATGAAGAAAGCTTTCTTTTCTTATCTTGTCAATCATTTTCCAATTTCCAATAGATGAAAATGTTTTTTTTTCATTTTTTTTTGTCAAAAATATTACTTTTTCGATAACAACAATTGTTTTCTTATTTTTTTTTCTTTCAAATACTAATCGATCGATCAATTCAATCCAATCATCATCTGAACATTTGTTTCAAATTGTTCTACGAACATTGAATTTACAGATTCGAAAAAAATTGAATTTAAATCGGTTTAGCTTGTATGATTGAATCACAATCAAATCCTTCATCTACACAATTGCCAAACATTTTTAATCGAATTTCCAATAACTTGAAATTTGATTTCTTGATTTCCCTCAAGAAATCGATTGATTAGTTTATTGTGACAGTGTGTGTGTGTATGTGTTTGTAATATACATGTCAAATATGGTTACCATAACAATTTTGAAATACAAATGTCATTTTGTCAAAATGCTTGTGATATATTACAATAATAATAAAATGACAGACAGAAAATTCAGAAGAAAGATGAGATGAGAAAAACGTAAATCAAGCTCCGCCTATCGTTCTCTCTCTCTCTCTCTCTCTCTCTCTCTCTCTCTCTCTCTCTCTCTCTCTCTCTTCGTTTTGATACATTTAAATATTAGAATGAAAATGCTCAAACTTTGAAATCAAATAATCGCGCGCACACACACCTGCGTATCAAATGTAAGTCTCTTTCTTCCTCTCCCTCTTTTGATTCTTTTAACAAAAAATTACATCATCAATTCAATTTCAATGATATATTATCTTTAGTGTTTAATAAATGTATATGTTGGTGTGAAGAAGGTGAAAGAAACAAAAAAAAAATACAGGTAATATGGAAAATGTTCTTCTTATCAGTTCAATTGATTGAATGATTGATTGATATGAATTACGACGAATGATCGAATCGAATCGAATGATTGAATTCGATTTGAGCAATATATGTCACACACAATGTATATATATGTGCATTTGTAAATTTGCCCTTCCCATTACAATTATATTATAACCAATCGTATTTAAGGTAATGATGATGATGATAAAATAAAATAAAATACAATGTGCACACAAAACACTTGGTGAGAGAATGTTGTTGTTGTTATTGTAACATGAATGTTTAACCAATGTGTATGAATATGTGTGTGCAAAGCACACATAAGGCGTAAGCATTTATTCATTGAAGTCCATCCCAAAAATATATATACTTACCTTATACTCTATGATGAACATTGGTTTTCTCTTTTTCACTAAAATTGGTTTTATTTTCTTTTTTTTCATCATCATCATCATCATCATCATCATCACATAACCACAAACATACACACACACATATTTTGACATGTTGATTTGGTTTTGTGTTTAGTTCTCAATTTTTTTTTGTTGTTGTTGATGGTGTAGTAGTTTGTCGGTTTGTTATTAACGTCGTTTCCAGGTTGTTATTCATAAATGATTGCTCTTTTGTTATGGTAACACACACACACATATACACACACTTGAATTGTGTTATGAATGATGCTTGTTGAAGAATATAACGAAATCAAATCACCGATCTACATATATGATCATCATATAACCATATGTGTTTGAATTGATTACACACTGAAAAAAAAACTTGACTTTATATCGATTGATCATTGATTGTTAAGATTATCTTCCTCACCCGATTATTAATCATGAACGACTGATTTTATTATAAATTAACTTTTAAAAATTTTTCATTTGATCTCAACATTGATGAATTGTGTGTTTGATTCAGCCTTGAATATAAAAAAAACTTTGATTCATATTCCAGTTCCTATGTTATACATTTGTGTGACATTTGCATTCTTTGATTCCGTATTTTGATTGCAAGATAGAAAAAAAAATATCATCTCATTTTATTTCATCGATATTGCATCAAACAATCATAATAACAACAATAATCATCGATTATTCGAAAAAAAGAGAAATATTAAATGTAAGTTAACTACATTTTTTTTTTAATTTTCAAAGTTTCCCACGATTCAATTTAACAAAATTGAAAAAAATACAAAACCAAATTGAATTGGATTTTAATTTTAAGGTTTTGTTCCATTCAATTCAATTCGTAGTATTATTATTACAATATGACGCCCATAAAATTAGCTTACACACACACACACACACTAGACACCTGAATGTATAGTTCATACGACTCTTGTGGACAATTGAATGTGGAAAAATTTTTTAAAATTCAAATCACTAAATTCACAATGATTATCTTTCCATTAAATGTTATCATAATCCAAACAGGTGTATGTAATATTTTGGTTGAGTGTGTGTGGCATCGGTGAATAATCATCATAATCATTCAAGCTGAATCCTGTATAATAATAATGATAATGATGATGATGATGATGTTCACTGGCATGTAATTATTGATCACGTTCAATTTTTTCCTATTTTTTTTAATGATACAATCGAACACAGGTAAATCACACGCACAAATAGAATGTGGCTGTTGCAAATAGAATAAAAATTATTCGCATCAATCGTTTTATAGTTGATTTAAAGAGAGATTATTGATCAGATGGTGTTTGTTTTGTTTTTCAGTATCTCTGTGTTTGTGTGTGTGTGTGCCATATGATCAATTTTTTTTTATTATTTACCAATATTCGATTGATGATCACAGATGCTTGAATGTTGAATCGTGATCGATTGGATTGTTTCATTTTTTTTTGCTGGTTTTCACAATCGAAATTTATTTGAATTTTTTTTTTTTGTTTATCCGAAAAAATTGGCGTGCGTTATGGATGAATCTTTTGTCTTTTCTCTCTCTCTCCCTCTCTATTTGTATTAATTAAGACATTTCATTGAGTGTGTGTGTGTATGTGATTGATGAGATTTGTTTGAATTTTAATATTTTCATTGATTGATCATTATTATGGATACATTGTTCAAATCTAACTAAATTAAATTTTTTTTTTCGAAAAATATTTATTTCAAAAAGACGACAGAATTCCAAAATCAATGAATGAATGTCAATTTGAAATGGTTTCCTTCTTCTTCTCTGTCATCGTTATTATTATTTTAGAATTACAATCAATCAGTAGGCGTGTGTCCATATTGATTTGACATGATTGACAAGATGTCATCAGTTATGATCAGTGAACACATACTTGATCGACACACACACACACATCAACCCAATACAAGTCAACCAGACATAGATGATTAGAGAGAATAGGTGATAAAAATAATAAATTATTAGGTTATAAAGCTTTTTTTCTGTGCAAAAAAAACATGACCATTTTTTGAAATTTTTCATGTATTGAAAATTGATTATTGCAAAATAATAATAATGATAATGATGATTATTGATTCCTATTGAATTATTGAACAATTTTTTCGAAAAATTCATGGTCGATTGCTGGTCAAAGTCGGTCAGTCAGTCAGTCAATCAACATAAGGTGTAAGGTCAAGGTTCATACCATTATATATTTTTTTTAGGTAATTGTGTATTATTCATAAATGGGAAGAGAGAGAGAGAGAGAGAGAGAGAAAGAAAAAAATTTTAGCTATGAATTAAATTTCGGTTTCTGGTGAGAGAATCAATAATATTACAAGTAGATATAATTCGGATAGATAGGCAACAATAAACAAAGCTCTTATCGTTTTGAATGACCATTGTCTATGCTGTTTTTTTTGTGAAAAAAAAAATTTGACATTCTTTTTCTTTTGCCAAATAATAAACGTATGATGACCTCGATACGGTTAAATATGATGATTCTATGATGTTTTTTTTTTGCTAATCAATGTGCAATGTGCAATCACATTTTATTGTGTGGTGATGATTTGGAACCTTTTCTAATCTGAGTGAGAGAGAGAGAGAAAACAATTTCAATGATCAGAATGGAATATATTTTTAAATTTGAATTAAATTTTTGCATTGACAAACGTTTCCTGCCCAAAGGGAGGTCTAATCGTTGTCCAGGATGTTTTCCATCATTATTTTTTTTTTGTTGTTATAATTAATTTAATTTCAATTAATTAACAAAATAAAAGAAAAAGAGAAAACAAAAATTAAAAAACAATTTCTGTTTTTTTTCGTTGCGGCATGATGAATCATTCAAACATTTGTATCTGAAGAGATCCGGTTTCCACGAATGATGATTATTCATCCGATTCAATTTTTTCTCCATTCAATCAATCGAATCGAATAGAAATTGAATCGAATTGATTAATTAATTAAATTAAGTAGAGAATAAAAATCATTAGCGTAGCATTTTATTTTCTGGTTTTTTTTTGTTGTATATGATCTCCTTGTGTTTGTGTATATGTGTTCATGTGCATCTGGTATATGGTGAAACCAATCAATCAATTATCGATTCTCTCTTTCCCTCAATGTATAATATCTATTAGATTTCTACTTCTTTGTCTATGTGCATATATCAATAACGATCGTGTATTATGGTAAAAATGAACCACCACAACCACCTGTTCATCAATTGTGTTTAAATAATAATCATCATCAATAAATATATATAACCGAAACAACATTGAACATCCTTGTCAGTGTTGTCAATATGTGTATGTAATGAATAAATTTTCATCTTTTATATTCCACTAATAATAATAATAATGAATAACAATTGACAATGAACATAATAATATTCATACATCATAACATATCACTATGCAATGTAATGTATGTTTGTTTTTTTCTCTTGTGATAATTTGATTTTTTGTCTTATAAATTATAATCATATCGATTTAGTAGTCCGTAAATTTTTACAGAAAAATAAACAGAAAAAAATGATCATTTAACACGCACCACTCATCAATCTCAAATAAGGCAAGAAAAAAAAATCAGAATCATTCTCTTCGAGGTAGACATAGAAACAGAGAAAAGGTCATCCACATTAGTTGTATACATATATAAAGGATCTCAATATATCTTGAACGAAAAAAAAGGTTAATTTAATTTACAATTTCTTTTTTTTAAAAAAGAAAGAAAAAAAGAAAGAAATGCAAAATAAAAAGAAAAAACTATGAACAAAATCAAAATTGCTCATCCATTTTCATCATCATCATCATACAATAAAAAAAAAATAATGCTCATGATAATTGGTCATTGTCACATATACATATGATGTCATCTGAATACGAAATACATTTTGAATCATTTGTTTCACGATTCTTTATGATTATATTAATATATGAACTTTTTTTTTCTCGTCATTTTCTTAGTGTACCATGTCTACTGTTTTCATGTTATAATAATAATAATTATTTTTTGATTGTGCTCGAAATTGTCACCATTCAGTTGATGATGTAATGATAAGTTTCATTTGGAGCTTTATAAATAGGAAAAAAAAACGTTTTTCTTTCTGATGACATATACTGTAATGTGTGTGTGTTTATTGTTTAAAATCATTGAACAGTAAACACACACACAGATGGAATCGTACTTAGTTACCAGTGTTTTAAAAATTTGATTTACGTGATTCTATTGTTGTTGTTTTTTTTGGTTTTAATCATGATGATGATGATGATGATTTTTTTTCTTTTCTCTACTTATTCATTTCATGTGAATCATAAGATGTTTGTTTGGTCATTCATATTCACAAGTGTTCATTCTTTATATAATCTTAATATTCTGAATGAATTTGGTAATCAAGTCACATAATTTGTTTGTTTAGATGATGATTTAGTGAAGAAAAAATGGTCAAATTGTTTTAGCTCAAATAAAAAGGTCAAGTGTGTGTCTTAGTGTCTTGGTCTATTACTACTACTGCTACTACTGTGAAAAAAATGTAGTTGATTTTTTTTCCACCTGTTGTTTGTGTTTATTGTTGTTCATTCACCTGAAACACAACAACAACAACAACAATACCAACGATATGATAAACATACACACACACACACATTTTGTGACTTTCTTTTGTTCATGTGTAACTTTTGATGATGTTGACGAAGAAAAAAAGTAGATTACGCCCAAAATAAAAATGTCAACAAAAAAATGACACGTTCCTAATGTTCCTGTGTTCTTAATGTTGACGACGACGACGGCGAAGACGATGATGATGATGATAATAATAATATCATTATCACCCAGTATTTTAAAGGAAATATTTTTTTGTTTTGTTTTTTCTGTTGTCATAATAATGTGAATCAAAACCACCGCCCAATATCAACCGGCCAAATGGCCATTTTATCATATAGTGAATGCGTGCGTGTGTCTATGGTTTTCATTCACGAAAACGGCAAAAATTGTTTTTCTTTCTTTCTTCTTCATCGATTTTATATTGTTCATGATGCATAACCGATGAATGAATGAGGATTGATAAGTTTTTTTTCTCGTAAATTAAATTTCACAATTCTACATTACCAGAATCGAAACCAGTAATGCAGCAACAACAATAACAAAGAAAAAAAATTCATTTGCCAAATTATAATCGGAAATGTCATCATCATCATCATCATTTCAAGTGACAAATTTTCGTTGATGATTTCAAATGACATTACAATTATTATATCCTGAATGAATGATGATGATGATGATGATGATGATGTCTTTTTTTCATATATATTCCTCTCATTTCAAGGTCAAAATTGTCATTTTAGAAAAACAAAAATCTTAATATTTTTCTTTTCTAAAATCCATTGCTAATGATTCCATGTCGTGTGTGTGTGTATGAAGGATTGTCAATTTTTTTTTTTTTTTTTTGATATAATTTATCTAGAATGAGAATTACATCTTTTTTTCTCTCGGTTATTAAAGGGTTTCGTAAACCCATGTTTCTTACCTCTTCTCTCTCTTTCTCTCTCATCAATTTTAAACACAGATTTAATGTCCCCATGATCCTAATGATGATCAAAGATTCATTATCAAATGAACATTATGTAATAATGTTTACATTAATTAACTTAATCATGATGATGATGATGATGATAATGAGGTAATGTAAGGATGAAGAAAGAAAGAAAAAAAATTTG